GTTGTGAACTCTAAAGCTTTAAACTATTTTCACAAAAGCCTCGGGCAGCCATTCTGTCCTTTGACACAGATGAGGCAGGTACAGCCACTGTCCTAAATGATGGATGCCTCAAGCTTTCTTATATTTTAAAGATTCAGATGCAAACAGGTTTCTCCCGAGCTAAATGAAGTGTTATGCCTCCTGCAACATTGTTTCACAGAGGCAATGCTTGATGAGTCGGAAGCCATTTTGTTGCTGCGGCTCGCTGCCACTTGGCGATTCATCATGCAGTTCCGGTTTGTTGCTGTTTACCAGTTTATACCTCCTCTTAGGAAAGGTTCTAGCTTTGCTAACAGGACGAAACACTACAAGTTTACTAAAGCATGGAACTATTTCACTCTTTAGCTAGAGCTAAACTGTTTCAAGCGGAGGTGTGTTACCTTTAAACAGTTTTTCTCATCCTGCATATGCCACTTTCTTACCTATTTGATGTTGATGGACCCTGTGTTTTGAAAAATCGGGCTCGGGCAAGAGTTGTGAGTAATGCCTTGTGGCTCAGAAACTTCGTTAAATGTAGGGAACAGAGGTAACGGAAACTGTACAATTTCAATTAGGGAGAAGTATCAGAAGGAATTTTTCATAAACAGAATGTTAGGGTGATAACGAGCTGGTGATGATTAAACATGATGAACTATAACCCTGAGACTAGGAAAAAAAAAAAGATGAAAGTCTTCCTCTCTTGTCTCAGGGGCATAGTTCATCATGTGTAATTTCTCAGTTTTTTTTCCTAAATTAATATTGCACCATTTGGCTTACCCTCAATCACTGCCTCCTATTTGTGTGTGCAGGCAAACTTTTTGAACATCTGACTGAAACAAGGGCCACACAATCAAGTTTGCTCTGTCAATTACTCATAAGCAGTGGTACTTTATATGGGACTTATTAGGGTTCGCATTTGCCGTGTTTGTTTCGTGATACCAAAAACATGTTCAAAACCAAAAACAGCATAGCCATTTTTCTTTTTTCGTATATGTCGTTGCAGAATGTTGCTCGGGATACTTTGCTTGTTATTTAGATTTTGTTGCTGCTAAAGGCAGGTTGAGGGTGGTAGATGGCACCTTTTGTCCTCTGGCCACCAGTGCAAGCTCATTGTCCTTGGGGGCTGATCAGGGTGATCAGGCTGGTCAGCAGCTTTGATTGTGCTCGCATAGCTGAGAGACTTTTAAAGGAGTGAGCTTGTTTGCATTGAAGGGGAGGGACATTAGAAAGGACCAGCATCCTCTCATGTGCAGTCCATACTACTAATATGTTTACAGAAGCAACATATTTTTGCCCCATAAAGGATCATAATTATATATAGTTGCATGAAGTTTAGTTGCAGTAATTAGGTCATGATTCTATGCAACTTCCTACTTGTGTAGTTATAATTAAAAGGAACTCTCGTCTACCTAGGCTTTCATCAGGCAATATTTTTTCTAGCTGAGAAAGATTGTTCCCAAGAGGTTGTCACCAGTCACTTAGCAAGGCATCCGAGGAACCCCGCACCACTAGGCATGCTTGCAATGAAACAGTTAACATACTTGAAATGTAGTAATTGCACGGCACATGAGTGGTTTAGCCCCATAATGCAGTTCAAAATACTTTGTCCGAATTGCGAGTTAAAAACATACTTTTCGTGTAAGGCTTGTCACAATATTAGATGCTGGAGAAAGTCAGCCATCTGCATTAAGCCCTAATTTCTAACTCTTTTTGTTTACGTTCAGCCCATTGAAAAGCATAGCGAAAGCGCCCAAGCATGCATTTGACTTTCCACCCCGCTGTCTCCTACCACACGATAAAGTCCGTCTGCTATGGTCAGCATCACCATGGCAGTGAAGCATCTTCTTTATGGAGGAATGCACAAACGCAGCGTCTGAAGAAAGCTACGGGAGGCGCCATCTTCCGAATGTCGTCTGCTAACGTGAACGCCGCAACGCTAGCTGAAGTCTGACGCACCGTTGTGGAGGTCGACGCTGAGAGCAAGAAGTGGTCACCTGGTGAACCCTTGGCAGTTTCAAAGAGGCTTGGTGCATGCTTGGGTTTGAGATTATATTAAAGTTTCCCCGAGCGAAGCGAGTGGTGGTGGCACAGTGCAGTCTTTTTGGCAGTATAGCTTGGAGCCTAAGCTAGCGTTGCCGCGTTGGTAGCAGACGGCAAGGAAAATTGCGCGGCTGTAGCTGGTTTCAGACGCATTTGCGTGCCTGTCTCTTGACATTCGGTGACCATAGCAGACGGGCTTTGTTTTGTGGAAGGAGACGGTGGTGTAGCAAGATCAGTTGCATACTTGCGCTCTTCTGCCATGCTTTTCAATGGGCGCAATGTGAACGAAAAGTGTTAGAAATAAGGACCTAATGCAGATGACTGATTTTCTCCAGCAGCTAATATTTTGACAAGCATTACACGAAAAGCATGTCGTTCAGGCCATCCGACGGCTGGTTTTTCCCCCCTGGGACAGAGAAATAAAGTATCAAATTGTCAATTGCACTGGTGCACTTGCAAGTGCAAGTGCTGCACCATTCACGCCAAAATCCACCATGAACGAGTCTGCTACATCTTGCGCCAAAATGCCGATCTTGCTCAGAGTTCTACCACACCTGCTCAGAGACAAAGCAAAAAAAATAAAAAAAAATATATTGGTTGACTTTAATATTCAAAGATGTAGGAGGAAAGGAAAATGGTATAAATATGTTTTTTACAGCATTTCTACCCACCGTATAGTTTTTTCATCTCAGATCAGAACGCATTTGAAGGCGCAGACACACACAACCACGAACACTCATAATAAAAGCGCAGGTCTTGGTGCACTCTTCGTGCCTGATTGGCTTAGCCGATGAATGGACATATACGAAAAGATGGCGAATGCCATAACCTGGCGCTTTTGACGCTGTTTGATTGGTTGATTGGTGCCATTGGCTCATAGATCGGCTGCGATTTAACTTTGGGTGAAACCAGGTGAAACTAAGTATAGAGATTACTCGTTGACCTCGCTGGCCACTTCATTGTTTGAATTTCCAGACGACGATGGCATTGTTAGGAGCTAAAACATATGAGAAGAACATTGCAAAATGGTGGGATGTTGGCTACTGTGGTATGACAGAACCAGGGTGGCATGTCTGCCACAGCCTGCATAGTGTGGCTGCAGTGTACCGTGGCACTTCCTTTGCTTGCGTCAACCTTCCCCGCCTCACACGAGTGTGCGCGCATAAAGCTTCACCGCTTTGCATTGTTTGTGTGCGTCGAGCTTCATTGCCTTGCACCGGTGCGCTGGGAGCACCAGCTCACTTTGGCAAGCGCCTGAGTTAGCGCGGTTGTCTTGGAAATTATGCTCAATGCAATTACAGGTCTACCTTTTTTTTCTTTGGTCTCGATTTCAGGTTGACCTCTAACTTTAAAAAGCTATGCCAAAAAAGGGGAAAAAACAAAAATGTACAGCGTGTCCCTCCGAAAAAATTTTGACTGCTAAAATAAACTGCATTGCCCAACACAATTTTTTTTTCCGAAAACGTAAAGCTAGCAGTCTGAACCAGATGCTTAAATTTCAGCGCAAACTGTTATCCTATTTAATTATAAATGATTTCCTGCAAATTTTAATGGGAAAATGTGGCCCGTTCTTGCCTTTTTTTCGTCAACTTTTTCCCATTGAAAATTTCAGAAAATCGCTAAACGGCAATGCGCAATTTATTTTTGCAGTAGAATAAAATGCGGTAAATTTTTTGTGGGACATTGTGTATGCACCAACACGCGACCCTGACGTCACGTTGCTGCGGTTGGTACTGCTTTTGGCAGGTCGCGCGCGCAGATGCCCTACTTCAGGCGAATCCGGTTCCTGTGCACATGCAATGCCCGCACCTTGTGTGGGAACTGCGCGTTTGCCCACACCTTGTGGGGGCTTGTTTGGAAACAGCGCGTTGGCCTACACTTTAATAAATACGGTAGTCAAGGTAATTCCCGTACAGCAGTCGGATCGAAGGAGCAGAAAACCGACTCAACGTTGTTTCCAAAGCTGCCAAAATGCAGTGTCTCTATTTTAAGGCAAAATATTTATGAGTGGTTGTTTGTTTAGTTTACGATTCTTAGAATCTTGAATTAGAAAGGTTTGTAAAACTTGCGGGACATTTTGATTGGTAGACACCTTAGCGGATATGTGGCTTTTTGTGGGCATTTCGTAGACTAAATAAACTACTGAATGTTAAGAAAGGGGGGGGGGGGGGGGGAATGGCTTTATATGAACTGTAGTGTTGTGGTATGATTAATTTTTTAACATTTTTTTAGTAACCGTCGAAAATAGAACTTACTCGCTGAGCCTTAATTTTCACAATGAAAGTTGTGTTTTCTTTTTGCATTCTATCTATTCTAATTACAAAAGATAAGTAATATGCTTCAGTACGAAATAGCTCTCAATCATTTTCAATCTTTATTTTCATTTAAACATGGTATGTTAACAGACACTGGCATCTACCCCAAAAGCTTCAGTGGCTGCTCCAAACCAATATTTTGCCTGCTACAAAAGGTTAAATGCTGCTTCCATCACTGGACATGCCAATGTCCAGTGATGGGACATTTGGACATTTTCGGATGCAGTTTAGGGGTTTTCGATTTCTTTGATCTCGAGTGAGGACAGCAACCGTTAGACTGCGTAGAAGCCAGACTGGAGTCGTCCGCAGGGCTAGAGCTTGTCGAAAGAACATAATTGTGTGTGGAATGCTCGGGGGTATGGGGGGGGGGGGGGGGGGGGAGAATGCTTGGGGGCCCGGTTTCAGAACTTGCGCTTTAAGCTCGACAGCTTCTAGAGTAACATTCAATGGTAACTGTTAACTTCAACTATTTTTGAAGATGCAACACTGTGAAAGGATGGCTCTTGTTTGGTGGAATCCCCACCAGTGAGTGCTTGGTACCTTGCTTCGCAACAATTTCTAATGGAGCAACGACGTGTCTCTCTTTTTCCACGCTTCGACCGATGCCTGCTGTCGCCGTGGGAGCAGTCAAGTTAAAAGGGCACTTCATGTGGCGCAACCACCTCTGCCTGGTCTTCGAGCTGCTCTCGTACAACCTGTACGACCTGTTACGCAACACCAACTTCAGCGGGGTCTCCCTGAACCTGACGCGCAAGTTTGCACAGCAAATGTGCACGGCGCTCGTGTTCCTCTCTCACCCGGACTTGAGCATCATCCACTGCGACCTCAAGCCCGAGAACATTCTGCTGTGCAATCCCAAGCGCAGTGCCATCAAGATCGTCGACTTCGGCAGCTCCTGCCAGTTGGGGCAGAGGGTATGATTGAGGTTTTGTGTCAATCTTGGTTATTTTGGGCAGAACGGTAGCAGAGGCTTACCAGACGCAACCCTAGAAATCCTTGGAGAACGGCAGCCGGCATTTTGCTATGGGAGTCTTCGAAGAAGTGGTCTCTTACAAAAGTGTCGACCGCTTTTCTGACGCTTCGTAAAGGTTCAGTTTTATTGCAGTATGTTAAAACAATACGAACCCCACACACACTCCCCTCAGCACGGCCATTACAGTATAGACCACTTACAACGTAACCGCTTATAGTGCAGGACCGGGTATAACGCGGTTTTTTTAAACCACCGGTTCGTCTCCCATAGAACTCCATGTAATTACATACCGCTTAAAATGCAGGCGCGCGAAGGCAAATACCGGTTATAGTGCGGTTTCTGGCACAGCCCGCCGGCCGCGCCGACGACCGGAGCAGCGAGCGCGCTTCCCTGTGCGACACTAGATAACGGCGCTGACGGCGCGAGCCGCAAGCGTTGCGCAAGCGGCACTCGCGGGGCAAGGAGGGTGCTCGAAGAAGCGGGAGAAGCGAAGAGAGAGGCTTCAGTTGCCCTAGCGACGGAGGGACGCACGCACGTGTCGTTCACGTGCGTATGTCTATGTCCCTCCGCGGCGTTGGAAACAAACAACCGCAGCGACAGACCAATCGCAGGTCGAGGAGAAGTGTTGCGCGCGTTACATGCCGGTCGCGGGCCGGCTGCTTCTATCCGCAAACACGGCGTCGGTTGTGATCGTCGTCGTAGACGGCGTTCATCTCATCGTTCCGCGTAAAAGCGCTATCCTTGACTGTGAATTTTCGTTGTGTGTCGCTATGATAACCCAGCACGTACTAGAAGGGAAGATCCACCTACTCGTGCGGCGATGTCAAGGCGGCGCTCTCAAGACGGCAGAAACGCCCGTGTCGTCGTGTTTGCTTACTTCGACTACAGTGGTGATTTCTAAGCATTTGTGTCCTCGAACATCGCCCGGATTTCTTATTTGGCGCATTTCATGCGTGCGCTCAAGTTCAAGGTATTACTGGCGCGTACCGTGTGAAGGATGCGAATTTTCACGCGTTTTCATCTCCGGAGAAAAGAGATTAGGGTTAGCAATCCTGAACGCTCTCAACGTCCGTCCGCAACCCGCGACGCCGTTAAAAGGCTGCGCCAGGCAAAAGCTGCTCATTTCTTTCAAAATGTGTAACACACTTGAGACAGAACTGTACTAGTCAGGTGAAATAAAGACTTTCCTCAAACTAAGCTTTATTTTTTATCTAACATAAAATAAATTCTTTTCACAAGTGTAAGTTGTCTCATGGCATGTATTTTGGCCTGAAAAATTGATGTTTTGGTTATAGTGCGGTACCGCTTATAGTGCGGATTTTCGCGACTCCCGCGACATACGTTATATGCGGTCTACACTGTATTATGAATGGTGTGGTGCTTTGAACGATGCCCTACTCTAAAGAGAGAAGCTGAAGTTACAGACATTTGCATTTGGCAATAAGAAGTCCTACTAGTTGCTCACTTTAGTGATTTCTGTTCTTAGTCATAATCTGGACCGTACCACACTGTCCCGTAGTGCTCCCAGTGCATGCTTCCTGTCAGCAGAGGGATATGTGGGTGTGGATACTTTCGAATGTTTGAGTAACGCAGCCTTGTTTGAGTGCTGTCCTCGCATGTGAGTGCTGTCCTTACCCGTGGATTGCTCTGCTCCCATTGCAGATCTACCAGTACATCCAGAGTCGGTTCTACCGGTCTCCCGAGGTCTTGCTAGGCATTCCGTACGACATGGCCATCGACATGTGGAGCTTAGGGTGCATCCTGGTGGAAATGCACACGGGAGAACCGCTCTTCAGTGGAGCCAACGAGGTCAGCCCCTTCCTTGTCTACACGTGTGCCACAGATTGGTACATTTTCGGACTCAATTTCGGGGTTTTTGAACTCTTTCATCTCGAGAATTTCTTCTCTCTGCTGCTCGGCACTGTCGCAGTAAAACGCTGCACAGGCCAGCAGACTTTGTTCGCAATACTGTGAAATTCATTGTATAGAGGCTTAGATAGCAGGAACATTGTCTGCTTTAAGATGGAGCCTGGTGTTTCTCCGGTAAGTGGACAACTTGATCAGTGCAGTATGACTGCCAACCTAGGGTCTTTAGTGTGCCTCGCAAACATGCTAGAGAATGTTTGGCTCGCGATTGTTCATCGGTGCATGGCTTAGATGTGCTAAAATAGTGCTCGAGCTTGGAAAACATTGTTCTTGGGTGAAGGGGCAACTGAGAGAATTTGGGTAATAGCCAAAGGACCCCCCAAGGGTACTTTGAGGAACCTCTGAGTTTAGAGAAATCCAGTTTGAGAGTTCATGCCCTGCTGTGATGTGTGAAGGTAGAACAACCATTAACGTCTATGCAACCCCCCCCCCTTGCGAATATAATAGCAAAGACGTACACTCATTAAAACCTAACTAGCAAGCTTGAGAATGCACCAATATTTTCAAAGTCTAAAGACGGGATGCATTCTCTATTGTCAGCTTGCCAACGATGGGAATGCAAAAGTAAGCAATTTCATGTTTTCTCGAGGTTCCGTTTTGCAATCGGCAGCCGACACTCAAGCGGCAGTTCCTATCATTGGCCTTTCCTAATGACATTCTCTTCCTTCCCTTTCGTGGTCTTCTCCATTCCCGAAAAAATTCTGAACAAACTTAACCCGGCAGAAAGGAGGAGGAGCTGTTTCCTCCTTCCTGCTTGCTTTTTGAGCTTTAATCTGTTTAAGTATGTTGGTATGTTTGCGGCTTGGTAAGTTCATATCACGGCTCTTTCTATGGCTTGGCGTAATTTTGTACCCGAGTCTGTTTGGTGTGAGGTTCAGCATCAATGTCTGATACACCCATGTCCATCCAGTGTCTCTGTTGTAGTCCCTGTCTATTTAAGTCTTTCGTGTTGGTTAGCTAGCTTTCTTGACGTCTGCTTCCTCCTTGTCCTCGCAGGTGGACCAGATGAACAAAATAGTCGAGGTGCTGGGTCTTCCTCCCAAAGCCCTGCTGGACAAAGCACACAAGGCGCGCAAGTACTTCGAAAAGCTTCCCGACGGCAGCTACATGCTCAAGAAGGCCAAGGACGGCAAAAAGGTGGGCCTCAGCGTTTTTGCCGCAATTACGTTGCAAGGTTTGCGCTGTGTGGCCTTTGAAGAACGAGGAAAACGGGCAGCCTCCAATTGGTGCAACTGCAATCGCCTTTTAAAGCTAGGTATTAGGGCACCAGACCCAAGAATGGTGCACAGTGGCAATGAGATAAAAAACATAATTATCGAAGTATGCAGGCACTAAAGGTTAGTTACAGGTGGAATCAATTAATAATAATTTTAAGACTTTTTTTTGTTTTGTTTTTTGCTTTCAAGATCTTTATTGAAAGAGGTCTTTCTTTCTGTCGTTTTGTTTTGTTTTTGTCAGTTACAGATTTTCAAGTATTAGTAGCTACCAGCTTGCATTTTAGCTACATATTTTTTTAGCTCTCCAGTTTGTACATATTCGTAGTAGGGTTACAAATATGTTTAATAGATATGTCAGTATCTAACAATAAAATTAGAGCTGTAATCAACGGATAGGTAAGTGGTTGCCCTTGTATAATTGTTTTGCAACACGAAATCGGACAGAATGATCGGGCTGAACTGACACTCTGTGGGCCATGGGAGCCCCAGAATGACCTAGTGTCGAAGAAAGTTTCATTGCCTAGGTGATTCAAATCACGGGTACAATTCCCGGGCCTCCCCGGAAATGTAAGAATTCCTCGCAATGAACTGAACTGCGGTTCGCTTTCTTCCGGCGTGCCTCTCGTTTCGAGAAGACTGTCGTTGAGAGGCGTCCTTCGCCTGTCGTTCCCGCAGCAGTACCGTGGAGCGGGGACGCGCCGGTTGCACGAGGTGCTCGGGGTGGAAACGGGTGGCCCTGGGGGTCGCCGGCAGTCCGAGCCGGGGCACTCCGTGGCCGACTACCTCAAGTTCCGAGACCTGGTTTTACGCATGCTGGACTACGACCCAAAGGTACGGAATGCCCTGCCCCGCCCTCAGGTTGAGAACGGTTCTTCCTTTGGAGTGTACCGTATCTTTGCGCGTATTACCCCCCCTCGCACACAGCCCGCACCCCCGACTTACTACTTGGGAAAAATGAAAAACTACCCCGCATGTTACCCATACTAACCCCACCAAGCAATCTCCAGATCTCACTAGGAACATACCTTTATTTTGAATATGCTCGTTGCCGCAGTCGTCTCGGGTGTTGTCCCAGGTACCTCCACTGTCTCAGATAACGTCGTGGTGCGTGCTGTCAAGGCGATTGCTGATGCTTTGTTTTTTAAAAATTATGCACCCTCTCGTCCAAAAAGCTCGCCGTCACGTTGGATCTCTGTCGATGCGGCGTGACCGCGACCTTTTCTCTCCTCGGCGAACTTTGCAAGCGCTTTTTCAAACTTGGGGTATGCGCCGGTCTTCGGACCGGAAAATAATCTTTGTTCGCAACCTGCAGCTTGTAGGCTCTCCTTCCTCTGTTCTCGCATGCACGACTAATCGACGTCGTACCAGTCGTAATTCGGGCTTGGCTTGTCTGCTCAGCGTGCAAAAACAAAGCAAAGATGAGCTTCCAGAAAAAGGAAGGAGAACGTGGGGAGAAGGGGGCTCTAGAAAACCTACCCTGCGACTTTGCACACGTTGCGGCAAAAGCTGCACTGCTTGCCGAAATTTGCGTATAACCTTCACCTCTCCTGTGCCTTTGATTTTAAAATGCATTTTGATGTGGGTGATGTGCGAGAAAATACAGTGTGTTCGGGGAAAAACTGAGAACCTCCTACTCGTAGTGACTCACAGGTGCACTGCTCGGGTATGGTGAATTGGTGCTCAGGCTGGACTAACGTCTCGATTAGGACTAAAGAGTGCTGAGGGAATTCAGATGCCTGTGGGAAACTGGGCAGAGGGATATCTCGAATAGAATGCCTCAAAACCCAATTCCAGATCCCGCGCTCTTAAAGGGACCATGAAATGACCTTTTTACTTTTTCCAGATAACTTTTACATTAAACCGTCAATGTTCACTGAATGCCGAACAGGCATCCGTTTTCGTCTCGGTTTATTAACTTCTACACAAAAAATTATTGAAATATCGACTTTTTCATTCTCTCCAACTGACCGCAAAACAAGCCGTGACGTAAACCGTTTCCGGAACCGGAAGTTCTCTCGGCAATAGGAGAATGGGAGTGTTAGCGGCAACGAGTTGGGGTGCGCCGGTAGGTTTTACTGCGCTGATGTCACCGACATATTTCCTGAATCGGCGCCTCTCATCGCCGCATCGCAGCTGAATGAAATTCAATGAGATATGTTGCGCTACAGCGACAGCATGGGACTAGTCCCATACGCCAGTATGCCTGTTGGGAAGTGCAGCGAGTCTTCCGGTGAAGACTCCAGAAGTCAACCACCCTGTCATTGTTGGCAGAAGGGCCGGCCCGTGTCAGTCGTTTGCAAAGCGACGTAGATGGCGTTTTTCGCGGCCTCGGAGATGCAGGAGCGAGCCGATGTTAAAAAAGATACGTTTGAACTACGAGTGTCAGCAAGAGCCACGTAAATACCTGTTTACACTCGGAGCGGACGCGCGCGTTCGATGGAAGTGCTGTATTCGCGCTGTTTGTAAGCGCTTCGGGACCGTTCTTTTACGATTGCAACTCGATACTGACGCGACACTCGGCAAAGAAAGGTTGGACCGGGGTTGTACGTATACCTCCCACGAACTGTTATAGCTCGACAGTGACGTGCAGTCTGTCAGAATAAAAATGGCATACCAATAACAAAGTGTACATACCGTGTTACGAAGGTAATCCATACGGCGTTTATTTCAGCTCTATATCACACAAAACAAGATAGAATCGACGAGAGTCCCTTTTCGACGAGTGTTCGTCAACACTGCCTCGGAAAACAAGGGGAAGAGATTGACCTCACCTCTTAATCTAGAATTGAGGTCAGTGATCAAACTATAATACGGGAAGGGTCCACAAGGGTCGTGCGGGCATATTCCATTTAGCACGCCAGCCGGTCGTAGGCAGACGGTCTTGCGACGAAGCAACGCAGCGCCGAGTCGGAATGCCTGCTAGGCCTATATTCTGAGCACCTCGCTTCGTCGGAGTCGGTGGATCCAGCGTTCTTGTTCGTCGTGGTCTGTTTTAAGTACTGTTTTCTTGCTGCTTGAAGTCGGCACGCGCGGGAAGAACACATAGAAAAATAAACGTTCAGTCAGTCAGAGTTTTGAGAGGAAGAAAAACAAAGAAAATAAACGTTCGTCGGTAGCCGCCACCCAAGTAACTGTCGGCCCTGCCCTACTGCGCACGCGCAGTAGTTGCTTCGTTTACCACACGATAGATGGCGCTTGGCTCTCAGCATTATCAAATTTGGCAATTTTCGCCACACATCTCTAATTATGCTACAAAATGTGGATCTGAATATTATTTAACAAAACCTTTAGGAAACATTCGCCGGCTATTTATTGTTTACGATCGCGGTGCTGGTGAGGTAGGCTCTTACCCAATAGGCGACCTGGATTTGGCTGACGTGCTCCATTTCCGCGGATGCATCGTAGTGAACAGGTGAAGGAAGGAAGGCGCAAAAGAGTCCAGTTTTCTTTTAAAAGTTCTATAGCAAATAATTTTTTTTTGGCTCCCTATTTTTGTGTTTTTGTGTTTCTTTTCACACCTTTTACGACGTGCGGTGGATGAAACTCGATTTTAAAATCATTTCATGGTCCCTTTAATTGGGTAGCTTTGGGGAGGACAGTTTTTTTCTTTTGTACGAGGAATGCTGCAGATAAATATGGAAATTGGTGTTTTATAATTAAAAAATATTCGGTAGAGACACCTAAAACTGCTTATGTGTAGGAATGCAAAAGCATTTCTACATGCAGCACATTCCTACAAGCAGCGTGCCGTATCTTCCTTTTTCACATGGCGCTCCGGCGGTGACATCACGCTCTCCAACTGTGCAGGCGCGGTGAACCCTGCCGGCTTTACGATGGCTTCCGTGACGAAGCATCCGCGTTGCTGCTCTTTTCTTTGCGTTTTATTTTTGAGGCGCGTCCACTTTGACCTTGAGCACCCCTGCAGGCTTCCCTGACGAAGCTTTCACGTTGCTGCTCTTTCCTTTGCGTTTTATTTCTGAGGCGCGTCCGCTTTGACCTTGAGCACCCCCGCAGGCTTCCGTGACGAAGCATCCATGTTGCTGCTCTTTTCTTTGTGTTTTATTTCTGAGGCGCGTCCTCTTTGACCTTGAGCACCCCCACAGGCTTCCCTGACGAAGCATCCATGTTGCTGCTCTTTTCTTTGTGTTTTATTTCTGAGGCGCGTCCTCTTTGACCTTGAGCACCCCCGCAGGCTTCCCTGACGAAGCACCCATGTTGCTGCTCTTTTCTTTGTGTTTTATTTCTGAGGCGCGTCCGCTTTGACCTTGAGCACCCACGCAGGCTTCCCTGACGAAGCATCCATGTTGCTGCTCTTTTCTTTGTGTTTTATTTCTGAGGCGCGTCCTCTTTGACCTTGAGCACCCCCGCAGGCTTCCCTGACGAAGCACCCATGTTGCTGCTCTTTTCTTTGTGTTTTATTTCTGAGGCGCGTCCGCTTTGACCTTGAGCACCCCCGCAGGCTTCCGTGACGAAGCATCCATGTTGCTGCTCTTTTCTTTGTGTTTTATTTCTGAGGCGCGTCCTCTTTGACCTTGAGCACCCCCGCAGGCTTCCGTGACGAAGCATCCGCGTTGCTGCTTTTTTCTTTGTGCTTTCTTCCTGAGGTGCATGCTTGATGATGTATTGGTGTGACAATCTTTCGGGCACAATGCCGCCGCTTCTTCGCGTATTGGGACAAGTAGGCTTTCACCTTAAAAAGAGGGCATTGTTACTACTGCATAGCCATGAGCAGGTTGTGGTACCTAAAAACTCTGGCAGCAATGTCTGGTTTGTCATTTTGTTAAGTCGCTGTGATGGTTCAGAATGTGGAGTCACTATGATTTCACTCTATTGCCTAAGCCGTTCTTGTCATGCATGATGACATTGTCTTCTGTATCATCCAACAAATCTGAGATCAAAGTTTTCGGGAATCTTTTGATGACGACTGCTTCTGTATTTTTTTTCCCGCGTCATCACGATGCCACCTTTCTCATTAGACTCCCCATCAAGAGGAAAAGTTTATTCTGGACCTTTGCCTTGTATGGAATTTTATAGCAATTTATCTTGCCATGTTAGAAATTTTATTGCATCTTATTTTTAAGCTTTACCCAGGCTTGACCGCAAACACAAAGTTGGCATCCCATATGCTCGCATCAATCTCTTTCAACACACCTTCATGCCATCTACACCCTGTGACTGGAACCACCTTCATGCTCCCATAGTCTCAATAACAGATCCCATTCTTTTTAAAAGAGATTGTCTCATCACCTGACCAATGCTTACTATATGTCTTCCCATCTGTTTTATTGCATTTCAATTTAGATGTACCCACTTTTCCCTCTGTAATGTTTATGCCCTGAGGGTAAAATAAATCAATAAAAAAAAATGCACAAATGTGAATGTGGCTCTCCAACCTACCGTTTGTCAGTGTCAGTTTAAACTGATAGTTGTAACTTTGTTAAAACAGAATGGCAAAAAAGCAGCAGCTGGACAAATAATGCATGGCATCGATGAAAACATTTGTATGTCATTGGTAATGCCAAGGCAATCCACCAAAGACAACTGAAGGAATAAAGGACGCTTTGCAAAGCAAGCATTCCACAAACAAGCTGTCGAATTACCGGTTTCGCCACACAAAAGCCAAATGGAATGCTGCTGCAAACGTCTGCCAGAAAAGGCCACCTGTTTGGCCAAAATGGGACATCTCTGGTTGACATGAACAAAATGGGGCATCTCTGGTTCACATGAATGGCTGGATACTCGGAGGTGATCCATGATGGCAGAAAGCTTCAAGGTGATGGGTATTTCAAACTGATTAGGTGCTACGAAGGATGACCTGATCTGGGATAGGGACAGAGATTGGGACGACGCACTGATGAGTTCTTAGGAGGACTGTAAGCCGACAAGGAGTTGTATTGTGGCGACATCGAAAGCATACCTGCAAAGGCAGCAAATTCTTTCAGTTTTTTGTCTGCCAACACGGGCCATACTGCTAGTTCCATTTAAAGGCGCCGTGCAACAATATTAATTGGAATGTTTTTTTCTTTACACTAGTTTACTGGCATTAGTGGGACCCAAGTATACTTGTATGCTATGCCATTGACCAAGAAACCTCTTTGTTGTAATGTAGTTTAAAGAATAAGAGCATGCGTTTTCTTTCAATCTCTCCTTCGCAAAACTTGATGATGTAACTAGGGGATCGTAGTATCCTCCAGTGACGATATTTGAATTCGGCTCATAGATTGGACCCTAGCATTGCGTGAGCATTCGATTTGGGCTCGTGATAATCAATACAGTAAAAGCTCGTTAATTTGAATTTCACGGGGACGCAAAACAAATTCGAATTAAAAGAAATTCGAACTAACGAAAGTCAAAGAATTGCGGTCACGTTTGGAATCTAGAGGCCGCATAACCGCTCGGGACCGCCATCTTTATTGAGCAAAGAAGTCGCTTATCTTTTTCTGCTTTTTTGTAAAGAAAACAGCTGTCATAACTTTTCCTTCAAGAGCTTGAACGTGGCGGAAAGCATCTTCTCCGTCTTCTTCAAAGCTAAAGAAGCGACGGACAACGTCGAGAGCCTCCATGACTTCCGACGCGCATGGACGCACAGGCGCTTCTTCGTTTTCTTCTTCACCATCATCCTCCTCCATGGCGGGTTCTCCGCCCCTGACATGCGCGATTATCTCCTCGTCGGTCAAGGCACCACACACCATCGCGCTTTTGTCTGCATCGACGTAATCCGTGAAATCGACGTCTTGCAGCGCCTGGCGTACACTCGCCGGAATGTCTTCCCCGTCCTGTCCGGAATCGGCCGTTGCCGTCGAATCGGCTGTCGCCTCTGAGCTTGCAATATCGAAACCGCAGTGATGGAAGCAGTTTGCGATCGTTGCCGCTGTCACCTGATCCCAGGCATGCACAAGCATGTGCATCGCAGTAAGGAGCGTGATGTTGTAGGGGCTCTCGTTTCCCGAGCACAAAATCATGCGCTCGAGCAAGTGGCGTCTATAAAATGTCTTCATGTTTTTAATCACGCCCTGGTCCATGGGCTGCAGCATGCTGGTCGTGTTGGGTGGTAGGAAAGCTAACTGAATGGCCTTCAGCTCAATGTCCACATTGTGGGCCGAACAGTTATCGACAAGGAGCAACGCTTGCCGATTGCGCAGCTCAAACTTTTTGTCCAGTTTCCTGAGCCACTGCTCAAACAACGCGCCGGTCATCCACGCCTTCTTGTTTGCCGCCTAGTCGGTGGGCAGAGAGCGTATGTTTTTAAAGCAGCGAGGCTTTGCCGATTTGCCTATCACAAAGATAGGCAGCTTCTCCGTCCCCGTCATGTTGGCTGCAAGCATGACAGTTACGCGTTCCTTGCTTCGCTTACCGCCAGCGCAGTTAACCCCCTTGTAGGTGATGGTCTTGTTTGGCAGGAGTTTGAAAAACAAGGCAGTCTCGTCCGCATTAAAAATGTCACACGGCGAGTAGCTGCGCAGGTAGTCTTGCAGCGCTCCTCTCTTCCACGTTGCGCACGTTTCCATGTTGGTATCTTGCCCTTCCCCAGACACTGCACGAAAAACAAGGTCGTGCCTCTCGCGAAAACGGTGAAACCACCCTTCGGAGGCGGCGAAGTCGTCGTATTCCAGGCGCAGTGCAAAGTCGGCTGCCTTCGCCATTATGACGGAGCCGCTTAGCGGAAGGTTCAAACTTCTCATATCTTTGATCCAAGTCACCAAAGCTTTCTCTAAATCCGGGTACTTGGCAGGGCGAAGTCTTTTGCGGTCGCCACTGAAGGCTTCGACCTCGTAGGCATCCACGATAGCCTTCTTATTACGGATGTACGTAGACAACGTGATTCGAGGAATTCCGAACTTCTTTGCGATATCTTGCTTGCTTGCATTCTTGGCGTCGACCTCCTGAAGAATTTCAACTTTCTCCTTCAGTGTTTTGGCGCGGTACTTTCCGCGAACCGACGTCGACATCGCGAAACGGCAAAAAAAACAAAATAAGCGAGAGGCGGAAGGCCTAGCCGGAGACGACGGAGATGCTAGCTCAAGGACAGCCCGGCGAGCTGGGTTGCTGGGTCGGCCGCTGCGCCGGACGCGCCATCTATCGCTTGGCTTGGAAAGCTCTTCACTGCGGTTTACTATACCTCCGCACGGTGGCGCTTGGTTCGAATTATCGGTGGCGGAACAAATTTGCCAACCAATTAGAGGAATATTTACACATAGAACTCAATGCAGCGTGGCCGGACCATGGCAGCTGATTTGAATTATCGATAATTTCGAATTAATGAAGTGTGAATTATCGAGCTTTTACTGTAGTTCGACAAGCATTCGGGTAGTGGCCCGTGTCCAGTCATGGCAGTCTGAAACTCGGCACATGTCCTGTGCTTTGCCAACCTCAGCTCGTGCCTATGATCAACATTGACGGCATATAATTGGCTCCAGATCACATGGCGGCTGGTTCTGGTTGAAAGTTGAGGGGGTGAACACTGCTTGTTTTCTTTAATTTTTTCGGCGGCGTTTATTACATGGGGAGAAAAACAAATGTGTGTTTCATTGGTCATAAATGTCAGGGATTAGTTCTAAGCAGTATCTACGCCAAGTACAAAAATGTTTGCACCGCCCCTTAAAAAGGAAACTAGTATTTCTTAGGCATAGGAAACAGAAAGTTTAGGTCCTCTCCATCCAGGGGCTACGTACACTCTTACTTTTACTTTGAAACTAGAAAAAGAGAAACCCATGACACCTGCTCTCACACGTATGACAAGTTGGTCCGTGCGGTGATTACTGGACCCACATCGTGTAAGCGAGCCTTTGTACAATATTTTATGCTCCCACTTATTTGTGTGGTCTGAGTTGGATAGTAGTATCTGCGACATCCAATTGTTTGATACCACACAACATCCATTCCCGGTGACTCGCAGGTGGGCAGCTCGAAGGAGAGAGCTTTTTGGAGGAACACCCTTTATCCCCGACATTGGCCTCTTGGTCAGGGGTTACTTACGATGCTTTTCTCAGATGCCTAAGAGGCATTTCGGGCGGTGTGACATGCACGTGAGCTTTAGACACGGATGTTATGGGAGACCGATGTCCGACGCCGTGTTATGCGGGCGAGTCGGCACCGTTCGTGCATTTAGGCTGCTTGTTTCATCACGCCACATAACTTTGCGAGACGGTGCAGTTTCGTGGATAAGACGCAAGCTTGGCTCGCACATTTGTGTCTCACTCACATATTTACGTGCCTGCGCAGGGCCGGATCACGCCGCACCATGCGCTGCAGCATTCGTTCTTCCGTCGCACCGCGGACGAGGGCACGAACACGTCGACGTCTCCGGCGGCCCTGGACGGTTCTGGCGCGGCGGTGCCCCTGGCCTTGCTCCAGGGCGCGCCCCACCCCTCCCAGGGCACCCAGGGGCCCTCCTTGCCCCCCCACAGCAACAACGGGGCCTCCTCCTCCTCGGCCTCCTCGGGCGCCAGTTCCTGTAAGTGGACGCCCGGCTCGTGCCGTGCATTTCCCCTCGAGATCGGCATATAGGAACAGCTCACGCGTTTGCGGCTGCTGGCAACCAGGTGCCTTAAAACCTCTTGGGATCTCCTGCCACGAGAGAGAACATTGGCGCCATTTGTCAGGCAGCTGTGGAACACTTGGCATTTCTGTATAGTTTGGCTCAAAACTTTAATGACAGTGTTAGGAACGATCATTTCTCATGGACAGTATGCACATTTGATCTCGTAAATACTGCAAAACCTCCGCTCTAGTGAAATGCAGTTCTGGAGTCGCCTCATAAATGGTGCCAGATTACCTGTGTGTTTTCCTGTCAAGCACGATCTAGAGGGAGCACAAGGCGGTGACCGACGGCGAGAGTCTGAACCAGCCTTTGTGGAGCCCAAGTTCGTCCGCTTCTTTGGCAGGGGTTGTGATGGAGTCTGAACACTGAGCTCCGACTGACTCCGATTGAAGGATAGTGAGTAAACCTCAAGGCAGCTTGCTTTGAGGCCTACCCACTATCCTTTAACCAGAGCCAATCGGAGCTCGACGTTCTGACGTCACCACAACCCCTGCAAAAAAAGCGGACGAACTTGCGCTCTGGAAGTCGTGGGTGGGAGCGTGAGAAAAGCCCCTTCTGTGCAAATTTTAAGTGACATGCTAATCTCTGGTCGGCATAAAAGCGACGTCTGGGGTATGTAAAGAAGGCTACGGGTAAGAGGGGAGTTCCTTCTCTAATTGGTTGCATTAGGCTCTTGCAACCACATCTTTAGTAAAGTTGCGGGCAACTAGTGCAGTGGGGTATAACAAGGCACCGAAAGACGCTTGCATAGTCTAAATTACTCATTAATCTACGGCCTTCGAATGAGTTGTGCCAGGCGGCCCTCTTTGGTCCAGCACGTCAACCTTAAAAATTTTCAGATAGAGGCAGGGGAGCATGTTGGTCAAAAGCTGTTGGAGGTTGAGTGTATCTGTTGTGTTTTGTGTTTGTTCCTTGTGTATATCATGTTTACACGATTGTAAGTTGACCCCTTCCCCCAAGAACGGAAAAAAAGAATCATACTTTTGGGGTGCATCCTATGGGCAGTGTATATGAATTGCTGGATTATTATTCGTCTCTACCGGTGATGCCGCCATCCTCGCTGGTGGCACTGGTGCCATCATTCCCGTCATTGTGCTATGAAATCCTGCATTTTGCAAACGACCGCATCTTTCGCGCGTTGCGGGCAGGAACTCAAAACACACTGCACATTCTGGCCCCCCCCCTCCCGGTCTTAATCCGTAGGATTAAGATTAATTTTTTTACCGCTTGGTAGTCTGTGTTCATTCTGCGAGTGACTGATGGCAGCCACACTGGTCGTCATCACAGTAAGCGTTATGTGCTTAATTTCATGCGTCAACTATTTAGGTGCACAAGTAATTAGTCAATTTCGTAGTACGGTAGGCTAGATACTTTAGAATTGCTTTATTCAATGAGAACAATGCTAATGCTCAAAGCATTTTTACCGAGGCGTGCCTCAAAAGGGGAACTCCGCTCAAATCCAAAGATTTTGGAGTGATGAGTGATTTCACATGAAAAAGCACTAGTTAAAGACACTCTGTCATTTCCTTTGCAAAAAATGGAATATATGTTGTTAAATCTAATTTTACACACAAGTAGAAATCAAACAGAAACTTAGGCTTCGTCCGGCAACATTGGCCTTGGGCCGCTAAGAACATGGCTATCACGTGGTACGAGATGTCACGTGATCCTCTACACGATGGTGTGATTGGGGCAGGCGTGTGCCAAATGCAAGTCGTCTGTACCGCACTCTTCAGCATGTTTTGGCTTCCACGACATTCGACAACGTCTGCACAACTGCGGCATAAGTTTGCAGACGTAGTGTCCGTAGTGTGAACGAAACTTCGAAAGACAATAGTCACAAACGGTGAGACGACGACAGCGGTTGTGACGTGGGAGACGGCGGTAACGGCGGGACTACGGCGATACTGCTCCCAAGAAGCGTGGACACCGCTGAGCACCAAGAGGGAACGTTGTTGACGTCACCCGCTGCACTTGCCAGGAGAAGTAAAAACAAGCAAAATGAGGCAATGGTGATGTTATGTAGCTCAATGTTGGCTACGCCCACACCGTAGCCTTGACTGCGCTGTTGGTTCACCCCAGTTCGCCCGCTCAAGTCAGCCGATTTCGGCAAGTTGCAAAGCTTGCCATACCATTTAAGAAACATTTAGACAGAACTAGGTCGTAATATTTGACGCGTGTTCTTCCTAGGCGATACTGAAAGGACTGTATTGTTTTTTTCAAAAACAAAAGATGCGGAGTTGCCCTTTAAGCAACAAGAGCAAGTGAAAATAAAGTTTTCTCTACTGGCGAGGCCCGTTGATAAAAAATCTGTACCACTATTTGGTGCATATTAAAACATGATGGGACGTAGTAAAAATGTGAGACCAGGAGATGTTCGGAAGCTTGCCGGCAAGCTGTGTCTTTAGTGTTTTTAGTTTCTCAAACACTTCTTACGGGAGTCTTGGTGCTATTGGGGAAAACGAAACAGCAGCAAAGCTTCACGGAGTACTTCTGGAGGTCCCAGCTACAAACACGAGCCAGATATTGATGTAAAATAACCCTTAGGATCCTGCTTTTAGTGCTGGACTGGACCAGCACTAGTAAGAACTCGTTTAAGAAGTGCACCTTCTCGCTACCCATTGTCGGTGTTGCTTTCCCCGGGGACTGACACGTGCCCGGCGCTCGCAGCCTCCTCTTCGGGCGGCCGTACCCGGTGCGACCCCACGACGGCGACCGCGGGCACCGCGCCCACGGCCCCTCATCCGTTGCACAACTGTGCCCCCTCCAAGGCCTCTGTCATCATCGGAGGGCCCTCCATGGACTGCGAAAGCCCCGCCTACCGGGGGGCCAAGCCCCGCCCCCACCCTCACGGACCCCGGCCCCTCCCCGACCGACTCAGCCCCATGGACACGCTGGGCTACCACCACGTGGGCTACGTCGGGGGCGGAGCCTTCCCGCGGGGGACGGGCCCCGCCGACGGGGACGACTCGCCCATGCTGGGAGTGTGCGTGGATTCGGCACCGGTCGTCTCCCATTGATGTGGCCCCTGCCTAGGAGTGGTGCACCAGTGGGGCGCTTGTTGTTGCGTGGGGCCTCCCGCCGGGCGGGTCCTGTGGCCGCAGACTCTGGGACACTGGGACTGCGGCAAGCAGAGGCCGCAGGACGCCCCCCTTGGCGGGGAGGCGGTGTGTAGCGACGGTGTACATAGGAGGGCGGCGTGTACATAGGGAGCCTGCCCCTACTGGGAGGAGGGCCGAGTAATTTATACCTGTACATGCGTGTGTGTGCCGCTCCCGACGCTTGCGCGGGCCATTGGGAGGGGTCGGGGCATTGTATCTTATGTACATAACTATAAATATATACATACAATATAAATACTATAAATATATACGCAGCACTCCCTCGCATCCCCATCTGTGGTGGAGTGTGCGGGGCGGCAAGCGAGTTTGAACCGGGACCGATATTTATTTGCTTTCCTCTCACCATTTCTCTACTTACAGGCATACGAGCTCTCTCTCTCTCTCTCTTCCATTTGGGTTTGTTTCCTCGGCCCACCTCTGTTGATCGTGCCCTCGTTTCCCTGCTAGTTCTCCCGCCGTTCTGGGCAGCGCAAAAATTAACTTCCCCCTCAAGTCGTCTCGCTCCCTTAGTCTCTTTGCCAATAGCAGCACATCTCTTTCTCTCTCTCTCTCTCCTTCCTTCCCTGATTTCATGCAGTGTAAATAGGGTCATTGATATATCCATATACACACACACACAAACACAAACATTGCAGATGACTGGGGACTGATGATCGTGGATTGAAGAGTGCAAGTGGTTTTTGTAAAAGCTGCTCCTCGGAGGAGACTAGCGTTATAGGGGACAGGAGAGTGTTGCAGACTTTTCTTACCAACCTTTCTTCCATTTTTTTTTTAAAGTTTTCTTTATTTTTTTTTTTTCATTTTATTTTTAATGCGCAGGAATTGTAGTTTCCAGAGTCTATCATTTTTTTTTCTTTGAGACGAGACAGGAGCTGGACGACCCACTGCCATGTTTCACCGCAAAGGGGAAACGCGTCATGTAAACTTGGGTGTGGGAGGGAGGTCAACGTGGTTCAGCGTCTTCCTCCCTCCCTCTTCTTTTTTAGACTGTGGACAAAGCACCGAGGCTCGTAGCATGCTTTCGGATTTTAAAGCTAGTAACATTCGTTCCCCACGAAATGTGAGAGAAGAGAAAATATTTGCCGAAAGTCGTCGGAAGCACGAGTTTCCACTTCACCAAGAACCGTAGTTTCTACGCATATTCAGAATGATTTCATTACACCTTGCTTCTTTGTTTTTTGTTGTCCCCTTTGGCTCCAGTAAAAGGAGATTCTAGTCGAGTGAAGTCTTGATTTCTTTTAACCTTTTTTTATGTCTTTGAGGCAGGGTAGAGGGGGACTTTTGGCAGAAGTAACTCGAGAGAATGTCTTTTTTCCTTTGAGAGGGGGTGGGGGGCGTGCGCGTTTCTGACCGCGCGCACACGACGGCAAGCTCACACACTTTCAAAAGTGACCGACCGCAGAAGACGGAAAGTGACCAAAAAGGCCCATGATTTTTATTGTGTACATACATAAAAGAGAAATAACGATAATGATGACAAGAATAAAAAAAGAAAAGAAAGCATGCAGTGTCTCGTGATTCCTCTACTGCTGAAGCTTCTCGAGCCGGGCTTCAACAAACTTGATGCAGGAGGCGATGCTGGTGCTGTCCTCTTGCATCTCCCGCAGTCTGCAATAAATACAAAGGGAACAGTTTCTTAGTGGCACTGTCTCCCTGGCACCTATCAGGTGAGCTCTGTGCTGGTGCTGCCAAAAGTAGCTGCACCACTACTAGCAAGGTCACTGAAACCTGGGAAAGTAGCAACAAGGTTGGCCATTTCGGCCTGTGGAGCCCCAGTCTGTCTAAGCTGGACTCAAAATTATGGTGGCAGATTGTTTCCTAGGAAACTTTTCTTGTAATCGACACATTGGTTCGCAGTTGATTTCATTTATTTTAATATACAAGGGGTCTCTCACACATTATTTTTCTTGTGTATCGCACTCTGTGGTTAAAAAGGAGCAAATTAGCTTATACTAAGCTATTTTAGGTTTGTTGCCATGTCTTACATATGCATAAGAATGTGTACAGTAATCCCTCGTTATAACGAAATTGCTTTTTTCGAATTATCACTTTTTATCAAAGTTTGACGTGGTCCCGACCGAAATGCACGCATTTTGAACCGGGTTATTCGAAGTGTATTGGCAGCCCACCATGCTTATTACGAAAGCCGAAGTGCCGGAAGCACGCAAGACTACACGGGTACACGGGGACCCTTTCGCCCCATCCCCCATCTCCACAGAGGCAAATGGCAAACAAGAAACAGACCAAATGGGTGACGGAGGGCAGAGTGCGCGGAGCGACACTTCCGATGCTGATGCACCAATGCGGCCAGGGAGCAGCGTCCAGGTTCTGATGCTATCACGGCGCCTACGACCGACGCTGCCCCAACTCCTGTCGGAATCGAGTCATGGTAGCGAAGGAGTGGATGGGGCACGAAGGAGATCACAGCTTCGGGAGTCCTTGATGCACGCGCCAGTGTCTGCGGCGTGCGTCATATTGCTGGAGTGTTTACAAAAAGTCGCTTAGGTCTCCGAGGTTCAGAACAGCGGCCGTCCCATCCCAAGTCCTAAATCTTCAATGAATTCGACATTCCAGCATCGGCTCTTCGACTCTGTCCACCATTTTGCAGAACAAGCAAGTCGTACTAGACTGTTCCGTAAATTTCTTATGCGAGAGAAAGTGCGCCCGCAAAATGAAGATGAAAAATCACCAACTGCTTTGCGCACGTCGGATTTTCTCTTGCGAGGATGCTTGCCGAGCTGGCGCACGACTCTTGGAGCTGCAACGATCCCAAACATGTTGGCAAGGGCATGGAGGATAACTTTGATCGTTCGTGCTTGTCGATGCGGACATTCCCGTTCTTGCTCCTGCTACGGATGCTGCGATCGTAGACCTTGCGTGCGGCCAGGATAAACACAAAGGGACATCGGAGAGGCACCTCGGGGAAACACTGACGACTGCGGAGACGCAAAACATCCTACGGCTGCTTCGAAACAAAGTGGAGTGCAGCGGCGGCGGCAGTGTTCTTGCGATGCCCGGAGCAGTTTAGGGAAAACTGATACCTGCATAAAATTATTGGCAAACTCCATTTAATTTTTTTTTTTTACTCAGTAAAGCTGCCGTGAGTTGTTCGTAACCAAGGTTTCTTTAATTAAATATACGGTCAGGATGTTCCGCAGTGGTCCTGTCCACCTTAAAGGCTGTTGTCGCTTTTTTTGTTTGGCTCTCGCTTTTATCGAATTGCCACTATATCTTTTTTTTTTTTTCCTATCCTGTTTAAAACGAGGGATTACTGCATGTGCATTTCATCTAGGAAATAAAAAAAAACAAAAAAAAAAAAACGAGCTACTGTAAACAACTTAATTTTCGTGAGGACCTAATTTTCGTGAATCGCCTACGATTTGCAAAAAATAGGCCCCACGAACAATGCGGTAAAATGTAAACGCATCAGAATCTGTATTGAGATCCCATCGCGTCGCGAAAATTGGAACCCGCAAATTATTCCAAAACTTCAGCTTTGACCTAAATCGCGAAATATTGATTTGCAAAAAATAAGTTGTTTACAGTATATGAAAACTACCACCAGAGTTATAAGGAGATCAGGCACTATAAACTGTGAAAGTTTCATTCAGTTCATTGATTGAAAAACAAACACTGTCTGAAAGCCATGAAGAATGATATAATTATACAAAGACAAAGACTGTAAGAGATAGGCCAGCTGCATAATTTGATTTGGTCAACAGCTCCAGAGGTGCTGGGATAATTGAACTGCAATGATACATCATTGCTATCCAAGCACGATTGGCTGAGAATGGTCTCCTTAAAGCTTCAAAGCACCACAGGTACCAAAGTAGCGCTTGCCATGGCAACATTTGCCAATATTGGAACGGAGGCAACGACGATGCCTCGCCGCAGAACAATAGTGTCGAAGATTTGCTCCCACTCTTGACAAACGCCGTAAGAAGGTGCAGCATGACGGGAGCTCAAGAAACCGTCCTTATTTGCGCACACGTTTTCGTGACTGCACCTGCGTGCAAAGCCCCAACCCGCCAGTGCCGTGCCAGCAGATGCATGAAGCCAGTGTGGAATATGAACCCTCCTTCAGGCCTTGTTCCGACACCTCTTTCTTCCAGTCTGGTTTGTGTTCTGATAGCAGGCGGATCAGGCAATGACATTATTTTCCCAGGACGTGGTAACTTTGGCGATTACCAGCACGTCTGGTCCGAGTCTTCGGGCAGGTTCCACTTTTGAGGCTAAACGTTTTCTAGAACTGTCTTTTTATCAGCCTCCTCCCACGGAAGAGGGCAGCGAATAGCAGGCTCTCCTCCTGTCACCTATAGTAAGGTAAAAGTGACAGACACACAGGACCTCCTAGAATCACCGACAGAATGAGGATGATGGGGCATGTCTTCCTGGCATTCTCATCTTGTCAGTGACTGCGTTATCCCAGCTGTTTGCCTGATAGCCACCAGAAAAGCTAAAAAAAAATTTACACGACTTCTGCAAAGTAGGGTGTTAAACATGCAGACCCTACTATAGGGGTATGTACTGACAACCCTAATTGAACCTGCAGTTGCCCTCCACATGCAGCAGAATCTGATTTGTAAGTTTGGCATGAAATGCTTTTCAATGCTACCCTCCAATCCCAAAATTATGTTTGTCCCTCTTCGCATTTCCCGCTAAATTTAGAGGGGGAAGCGGCGCCACATGACGTGACCTCGAATGCATACACATTTCTTTGTGCGAAATTTAAGGACTTTTTAAGGATTTCAAGGTCATCAGAAGTCAAAATTCAAGGCAACACATAGCAAAAGTGGCGATGATGCAGGGTGCCTTGGATAGGATTAAAGGGAAGCAACGGAGCTTCTTGGAAAAAATGAGTTAGAAGTGAATTCTAGTGTATTTTTACCCCGTGAACCCGAATACCCAAACCATTTGCTGCGTAAGTATTGTTAAACGCGAGAAAAACGCGGAAGACAGTCGCTGTCCGTGACGTCATCGACGGCTCTTTTGGCTGCCCAAGGCTAGGGGGGCGGGGCTTCAGCCCTATTTTGAAATTGCTCTTGTGGCTCTCCGGCGCGTCGCATTGAAATATAATTTTGATATCTGTTAATCCAAAGGCCAAATGAACACAATTCAAGCGTTTTTTCTCAAATGTAGAAGTGCCCCATCTTCCCTTTAAATCAAAGCTCCCTTTAAAAAGGGGCGATGATGCATGACGCAATCATGACAGTTTATGTAAGCGTTGGTGGTTTTGCAACAAAAACTGATGCAATACTAGCCTGGTTAAAAGTGTCTGATATGTTTTTTCATAAACGAAGCGGGCACATTTAGGAGAAAAAACTATGCTTTCTCCAGCGGCCAAAATCTAACAACAGTGCATCTAGCAAAAGAAAAAAAAAAAAAAAATGCTGCTATATTAGTTGCCCACACAACAGGGGAAGTGCTTTTCTTGCGCGCCACTACATGCACCACCGCGGCTCGGATGAATCTGGAGAAGTGAGTGAACTTCTCAAACCACCTTGATTCTCAAGAAGCCTGTCATTCATTTCTGGATGTTCAAGGGATACAAGGAGCATTGCAACTTTCAAGGAGATTTAAGGGCCCTTGAAAGGCTTTTATAGAAATCCTGGGTATTCAAGGAGCTGTACGAACCCTGCATCACCTGACGTCATGTGACCTATACACCTTGAAAAATTGATGGCAAATTCGACAGCAACCGGGTTGCAGCACATAAAAACATGCATCAACTCTGTTTTCCCCGCTAAATTTAGCGAGAAAATTCACGTCTTGTGGCCAAAACATCAATTTAGTTCTCCCACTAAATTTGGTGGGAAATTCACGTCTTGTGACCTAGCTACCAATCCAGTTTCCCTGCTAAATGTAGCTCGGGAAATTAACATTGCACGACCTATACACGTTTGCAAGTCCGGCTTCAAGACGCTGCCATCTTGCTCACTGGGGTGCGCTTGGACACGTCCTAATCTGATTACGAAGCCTTGCTAAGGCGTCGTAATCAGATTATGGCCGCGCCCAAGCGCACCCCACTGGGCAAGATGGCAGCGCCCTGAGACCGGTCTTGCAAATGTGTATACTGCAACCATACCATTCCCCGGCTAAATTTAGTGGGAAAATATGCGTTGCATGACACAGCAATCCCTTATAATGCATTATAGAACTTCAAAGTTAAAGGTCGCTGCCAGTTTTTTTTGTTTGGCATGATCCTGATTACACTTCACCCCTCTGTTGTGACACAAAATTGTGATATACTAGTGCATCAATATCGAAGTGCACAACAAAATCACATTATCTGAGAGTTTTTCGTGACCATATACAAAATTATGAGCAGCAGGTAAAAACATGCTGCAACAAAAGCAACAGCCAATTGAAAAACAATGAACAGACGAGAAATACTAAGTAGAAATAAAAGCCAAATAGTCAACATATTTCTGGTAACTTGTTTTATTCTACTGAATGTCAAAAAGCGTATTTGTAGTAGTATGCTTGGTGTTTTAAGCCAGGGAACTTTATCTATAGCACTGCTGTTCAATCACTACTATACAGAGCAGCAGTGATTACACAAAGCCATGGCAGCAGAACATCTGTCCCCATTGAAACTAAAATGATAGAGCTCGACACATATCGGAGTTTGAAGTTAGAACCTTTAGGTACATTCTCCGAGCTGCAGTGCCCCAGTGATGTTGCAAAATTTTTGCATGTTCGAGTTACAGGAATTATATTGTTTAGTGACTTCCGAACAGATTGACTGGCTAAGACAAAAAAAAAAAGAAGGGGAACAATTTGAGTGTAGTGTTTCTCTCCGAGGTTTTCATTTTGACAGGATGGAAAAATTGGAACCTCTCAAGAGAAATCAAGTTAAACTACTTTGAAGTTTTACACGTGCATAGTAACTCTGACAGCCTGGAAAGGCTACCTATGCATGTTGCAACATATGCCTTGTAACAATAAAATGAGTTAAAGCAATATTTACTCTGAAAGACACACTTTAGACGAAGCCATGGCTGCAGCATACCTGCCCATTCTCTCCGCTTTTCTCTCTCGCAGCACGCAGAGTACAGAGTGGGCATGCCTCTCCTCTGCGTTTTCCCAAGCCAATGGGAAGCTGACGAAGTGACCCTTAAGGGGTCTCCAAACAGGACACTACAAAGATCGTCAGGCCGCACGACTCCGACAAATTGTTCAGCGCTCCGCTTCCGGCTGTCCTTTCTGCTGGGGGGAAATTTTCCCCGTCAGATCTCGCCCGTGCCCTCCACAGCGGCCTTGCTCTGCTCATCACAAGGGTCCGGAGAGTCATTCATATTCCTGCTTCGAAGTGTATGTTTCGTTTCCCGCAGGGAAAGGGAAGGACACCTTCGTGTCATTCTCTTTCCCGTTTTCAGGACCTGAAAAACGGCGGAGGCCTTGAGCGATTGACCGACAGCCAACAGAGCGTGTGAGTGGCTCTCCGCACCCACATGATGAGCAGAGCAAGGCCGCCGTGGAGGAAGCGAGGGGGAGATTTGACGGGGGAAGTTTCCCGCTGGCAAAGAAAAATGGCCGGAAGCGGAGCACCGCACGATTTGTCGGAGTCGTGTCGCCCGACGAGTTTTGTAGTATCCTGTTTGGACACCCCTTTACATGGAGTGACTCTCTCAGTCACTCTGCTGGTTCAAAAGTGGCTGACAAAGCCCCTTTCGTGCCAGCACATGCGAGCAGACAAAATCACTAGGAGCTCGAAATGCTTCTTGCAGTGTAAATATTTTGGTCGTTACATTTAAAGAAAAGTGGAGCTTGTGACATGCGGGGCCTGCCAGATAAAGAGATGATAGTACTACAGTGTAACCCACTCATAACGATACCAGATATAAAGATGTACCACTTATAATGATCACTTCCTAGAGTTTCTAGACTGGAAATGATCAGTTTCTAGAGTTTCTAGACTGGAAATGATCAATTTCTAGTTCAGATACTACGATAATCGGTTATAACGATTGAAATTGTGGGTTATCTCATTATCGTTATAAGTGGGTTGCACTGCAATCATAAAATATATAGCGTGTTGCTCCGTGATGTTCCACCAAAGAACTTGGTGCAAATTTTGTGGCTCTGCAGCACAAACGTCTTCATGTGGGGGTAAAATAAGAAGGTTGTCTCTTGCGGTTGCACGGCTTAGCCTCGACCCTGCTACAGTATAACGCCGTTACAACAGATCTGGTTATAGCATACGTTCGGTTTTAACGTATGTACCAATTCGGGAAGTTTGGTTGGTCTTCCAATCTATGCCATTGAGCCAACTTCGCTTATTAGATGCGGAGCATCTCTTGCTCAGGTCTATGTCCCGCGGTGTCGTAGTCCGCACTCACACTACGCATGCGCAACTCTCCTCCTTCCCTCTCTCCAGCAGCTGCACGTTACTCTCTCCGCTCTCTCTCTCTACCAGCTGCGTGCACTTTGCGTGCGTTCGGTTCTACTCACACCGCGCGTGCATGCGCAACTCTCCTCCTCTAGTCTCCTCTCCTTCAAGTGCGAATATAAGCAGCGGTAGCGCGCTGCGCGCGTTCAGTTCACCGCTGTTTCTCTCTCTCTGGTGTGTGCTGCTGCCAGCTCTGCCAGCAGCAGCGACGGCGTGTGTGCACGCGCTGTTCCTCCTCGCCCGTCGGGAGGGAGGGCTGTCGACCCTCGGGGCAAGCGAGCGAGCTCGTCGGCAGGCTCTTTTGGGGACGACGAGAGAGCCCCCCTCCACTCCCCGCCGCCGGAGCACACACAAGAAGAAACGGTGGGGAAAACAATAACACCATCTTCCCGAGGGGAACCGTGGGGTGATGCGGAGCATCGCGGAGTTTCCAGCAACGTTCACGCGATGTGTGGTAACCAACGCAAGTTAACAACGTAATAACACGCAAGTTAACAACGTTACTAACACCGTTAATAACGATCCGCGATGCTCCGCATCACCCCATGGTTCCCCTCGGGAAGATGGTGTAATTTTTTACAGATGCTCTTATACCATGCATTACGATATAATGGACTCTATTAGAGAGTTTGAAAGTAGTTCACCATCCCATTATATAGCAGACCCTTCGACAGCAGTCATTATTTCCGACATTATGTGGCTTTGGTACATTAGTGGTGGCGTCCATTTTGCAAACTGCTGTCATCGCAATTGGCACCTTGCGAGCCCTGTATGCATGTTACTGTTTACACGGTCTGTAGGTTTGTTTACTGCATCAACGCCGAGACTGGGAGGGGTTCCTTGGCCAAAAATCGAAGAAGACAGCGGTTCTTCGAGGTCGGAAGGTATAAGAACCCCCGTGACGAAAAGGATTCTACTCTTTAAGATTCCCGAGTTAATCTGTTGCTCGGTCGCTCTTGCAATGCCTTTTGTAGACACCCAAGAGTAATCTCGACACACCCGTGGAGATCAACCCTAAACTGAGAGTTGAACGCGAGAGATATTCCGACGGTCCGAGGCCTCTTACCTGGCGATCAGTGCCCCGAGACGGCAAGGTTCGAGGAGTGCCTTCTTGAGGGCGGTCATGCAGAGCATGGCCAGGCCGCGAAAGCAGAGCAGCTTGGTGCGGTTGTGCGCCGCGTCGTCCCAGTCGGGCAGCTTGCGCACAAAGCTCCAGGCCAGCTGGACATACTCCAGCAGGGCGCTCCACTGCTCTGCCGAGCATAGCTGCTGGCCCCGCTCCAGGCACTTCCTCTGCAACGAGGCCACTGCACTTTGGAACTCTGTTCATGTTCAATTTTGTACAAACTCCGGACAGGGTTCATGCAAAATTAAAGAAACTTTGTACTTTAGGTTTATTCGCCCGTGTATTGAATATGCAGCAGTTCTGTGGGACTCCCACCACAAGAACCTAATAGAAAAACTGGAAAAAGTACAGAATCAGTGTGCTAGATTTGTTTTAAATGATTACCAATGCGGGGCGAGTGTCACCAGCATGAAGGAAAATTTGAATCGCTAGTGAAACACAGAAAAAGCTTCAGTTAAATTTTTTACAAGATGTATATATAATAACAATTGCCTTCTAATCAGTCGAGGAATGTTTTTACGGGAACCTTTTTATATATGAGGGTGGGCAGACCATCAGAACAAAATCCGACCCTACTTTTGCCGTACCAATATTTTTATGTTTTCTCTCTTTTATTGCAAACAATAGAAGTCTGGAATAGGTTGGCTATTGAAGGACGTGTTTGACGTTTATACAAGTTTGTTTGTGTTTTGATGTTTTTGTTAAAAATATGTGTTTCGTGTACTCACCCAATATAATGCTGAACGCCAATGCAGGTTTCTATGTAAATGTAGATAAATTTTTGCAGTTTGAAAAATATTGCAAAAAAATTATCGTGTGAATCCATCACCCTCGATACTGAGCATAACACTCCCAGTCGCAAAATGTTGCGTGCACGCAATATGCCCAAAGCCCCACATTTCGCAAAATATCGAGTTTACCTGTACCATAGCCTCCTTTATACAGAAAATGCCTGCCCAATGGTTGCTTTTTCGTCGTCGCACTTACTTCACAGATTTGCAACTAGGAGCGCCAAAACCCCATACAGAAATGCAGGCGACGCTTGTCCGCTGCCTGCTGCTACATTTCACTGTAGCTAAAGTAAGCTACGTTATCCAATAAGCTATGTGATAATGTAAGTTTTCTATGTTAAGTTGCGCGGTAACGTGACCTTACGTGATCAAATAGGTCACTTGATCACGTAATTTTTTTGTGACACGAGTAACTTCTTTTGGTCGTCGTTTGACCGGCAGATAGAGCGCTTAGCAATTGCCGGTATAGCTCAATAGCACGAGGTTGTCTGCGTCTCGTGGCACGCACACCGCGACGCCACACGTACACGCGCGGTCATTTCGTTCCATTTATTGTTCGTGGGCACATCAGCACCTTGTGCTGCATTCTAACTCTTATGATACCTTACTGTTGCGTGCCTATGTGCAACTCGGATTCGTGAATTGCACATTGCACTTCCTATTGGTCATTAAGCAGGCTTTTATGGCTCCTTGTAATTCTCTCCTCAGGCACCAGGACAGAGGAGGACTATACTATTCATCAGAGAAGCTAGTGAGGGTGTTGTGTGCGCTGAAGAACTTCGCAGATATTTTACAGAAAAAACGAAATATGCTGAAAAAGCCGTTGCATGCAGCTGGTGATACTGCGGTGGATACACTTATACACCATGGCGCTCTGAAATACGCAAAGGTAGAGGACGATGTCAACCATTACAAAGATTTCCTGCAACTTCTGTGTACTAGGTATTTCAGGCAAATTTTCACAAACTACTCGGCATCCGTGACTGACAAGCATAACCCCAAGAAGATCTTCACCAACAAGCCACTATCTACGAAGTCTTTAAAGCTCTAGAACTGCATACGTGAAAAACAGTGCGGACCACAACAGACCGGTCAAAAACATCAAGGGGCTGTGCGCTTAAAAAAACAAATTGAAAATGTATATGAAGATTGTTGGTCAGAGTGCTGCCGACGGGTGCGCAGGTTTTCGGTCAGCGAGGACGCGCTCGCGGTCCTGAGAAAAACCACTTGACTGTCGCATGTAGTCCGCGGGCCGTATGTTTTGCGGCTCTGCTCCAGTAGCAATAAAAACGCTAAATAATCACTCTTTCAACGTTGTGGAAGTCTGCCAGCCTGTCTGTCTCCTTTTTAATTGGCATTGACTATTTCTGTTGTCGATATGACAAGCACCAGAGAGAGGTCTGGTAGCATTTCAGCAGAGAAAAAATACCAAGACGTGAAAGCTAAAAGAAAGGTATAAGACTTATTTTATAAATGAACTCCATACTGACGGTGCCCTGCGCCTGCTATGTAGCATGGGTTACGAATGTATTCAATTCACAAATGGCATCACAGTGGACTAGCAGCGAAGAACAGTCGTCTGCATTTTTGTATGGGGTTTTGGCGCCTCTAGTAGCAAATATGTGAAGCAGGCGCAACGACGACGAAGCAGGGGGAAGCCAACCATTGGGCAGGCATTATCAGTACTATTAAGGAGGCTATGCCTGTACATATACTGTTAGGTTTATCCATAAGGAACATCTCCCTTACAAGCGTGTCTGTCCAGAATCTTTCTGGTTACCGTAAACCTGTTGCAACAGATACTCGGTGCCAGCACGTGACTAGAAAGCTTCGTTATTTGATGACCTTGGCATTTATGGTGGTTAGCGTAAGTGGAGGGAAGAAACGGCCCAATTGTTCCTTAGTCTTTTTTTATTATTGAACAATCCGCCAAATTGAGCAAAGAAGCCTCCTGACAAAACCTTGAAAATGGCCGCCGACTTTCCATTAGACGTGGCTGTTCAACACTCGAGGTGAAGACTTCTTCGCAGATTTTTTTATCTTTCTGCCTTGTTTGGAGACTATGGCTATTGCAGCTTTGCGACCAAGACTTGAGAAAAATGACTCGGCTGTGTTTACTCGGTATTTCAACGAAGATTGTTCTCAAATGAATTAAAGCCAGTTACATTTGCCAAGTTTTCAGAAATGGTACCTTGAAGGAGTCCAGAGGCGCTTGAACCCTGCGAAAGCAGAAAGCGTCGCGGCTGTTGCCCCAGTGCTTGCTGGGGAATGAGCGGTAGATGCTGCGCAGAAGCTTCTCCAGCTTCTGTTCTGCCTGCACCAGGTCTGGCTCCGGCAACAGGTCCTGCACTGCCTGCAGAACAAGTCATATGGTAAAGTCTCAACTCATGAACCAAACTACTCAATATTCATGAGAGAACAGAAGCTCTCAATTTTCGACCTTGGGAAACCATCATCTTCCTTGAACTGCAGCTAAGGAACCCTTTCCAGTCTCAGTACTAATGCAATAAAGCACTGCAGGATTTACAAACCTTGGAAGAGGAATACCACTAGGAGATCCTAGCAACAATGAGTTGCTAGGACCTCCTAAAGACAGTGTTGGAAGTGCACTTTACTTAGGGGCAAGGACGGTCGAGGAAGTTTGGGAACTTGGGGAACCCGTATTCCTCGGAACCCAGTTTGAGAACCATGTCTCAGAAGACAGAACTTTGTATAAATGGATACTGCAATTAAAATAAAAGACGTCCTTTCTACGACAACCAAACTTTCCAAAATCTTGCTATTACCTCTCTGCATGCAAGTATCTCCAGTAGAGAGCATGCTACCTTGAGCTAAATGCCTAAGTACAAGACAAAACTTATACAGGGTGTTTGATTTTAGTTAGAACAGATCTATCACAAGATAAAGCTGGGAAAGTTGTACCAATGCGGTCTGTGCAGAAGAGTTATGCGATCACAGGGACATGATACGGGGAGCTAACCCTCACGATTAGTCGGATAATGAACTAAATGTCCCCACGCTTCCTAGAATTGACCGATATAGTAGTTTTAAGAGACAATCAGCAAGTTTCTAATTGGAATTATGTTTATTTTCACTAATTAAAAAGGCTCGAGGTACAAATAAGCACTTCTTAAGAGTTGTGAATGTGAAAGCACGCACACCGCTTTTCACTCCCCTTTTTAGTTTGCGGTGTACAACGCGCTGGACCTTAAACGTGGAACGGTCGAGCCGCTGCCTCGCGGGCACGCAGCGGCATCAGATGAGCGATCATTCAAACTGTTGTGTGCCTTGCGACGCGAAGAAGGAACAGACAGCAACGTAGTCCCCAGCAGAACGAACCCCTTGGTTTATTCCATGCGCCGTACAACCGATAAGAGGAGAGCGAATGCGGTGATCAGTGATAACGCAACAGTGTGATAACATAGTTAGGATGACACCACACACACTGTTGCGCAGTGGCCAATGGGAGCCTCGTCAACGCGCGCCAGCCAATGGGACTGAAGTGTAAAAGGTGCCGTTGGCTAGCTTTGCGTGTGGTTTCATTAAGGAGCCGTTTTGCATTGTTTCAAAGCTGATGACGTCGGCTTGCTCCATGCGACAGCTAATGCTTTCGCATTAACAAGTCTTAGTTATTTACCTTTTTTACTGTCGGTTCTAGCCCCTATATTATATCCTCGTGGCTGCATAACTCACCTGCGCAGACTGCATTAGTGTACCTTTGGTGGCGTTTATTAATACTAATTAAGATCAAACACCCCGTGTAATATGTTACACGTGTCCAGCCGGTGCATAAGACGGCGTAATTAAGAATACACCTCCGACCACAATGCGCAGACCTGTTTTGCACTTGGAGAGCGCTGCATGATGTCCTGAAGTAGGGACACAAGTTGCGTCTTGGTGAGCGCCTTGAGCGCCACTGCTGGATCCACTTCGTGGTCCCTGGCCTGCAGCCTGAGCCTCTTCACTGGCGACACCAGCTGCACAAGGCCACCGGTCTACCGTGTCACTCTCGTTGCACACTTTTATGGCAGAACAGCAGCAACTACCACCAACTCTTTGTTGAACACACAGCAGAGGCAGATGGCTTTTAACTTGTAACATATTTACTTACCCCCTCGATGCAGTCGTCAGCTCATACAGCAAAAGTTTGGGGCTTACGCATGAAATAAGCTAAGGGATAGCAAAGTCAATATCCGTGCATAATCCTGCTCTCGGCATTCAATTTCAACTCTGGAGTTTGTGGGAAAAACAAACGAACAAAAATTCTGTCTTTTCCTGGATCGAGTTTTTTGATGGAAGCAGAAACCTACCTATCGCAAATTTTTTGTTATCACCTAACGTCGAAAGACAGCTGCATCAGAAGAAGAGGGAAGGACCTGCTCGGGCCAGATTCAAGTCCAACCTGGGCAACATGCCTGCATTTTCAATGCAGCAACAGACACCCCAATACGGGTGGAAGAAGGAAGACAAACAAGTGTTGCAGCCTCCCGGCATCTTTACAACATTACATATAGGTAGTCTGTTCCAACTCAAGGTAGGGCGAGGGTAAGACGGGCCGAAGAAAAGGAAGCAGACGGAACGGTAAACAGAGAAGGAGGTTTCCCCCTCATTTCTCCAACGTTCAGTCTGCGTCCTCCTCCCCGGCCCGTCCTATTCTTGCCCTACCCTGTTAAATTACAACAGACTATAAACTGCGACAAGGGCTACTCGCTTCTTCCACAACGTCACATAAGGTATTCGACAACGGGTGGCGCAGTTCTTAATCCACTCCCTCTCCCACATTTGCTATCATACTCGTGCAATCTTGTCAATACAGGCAACAGTGTCCGGAGATCCAGTGTTACGCTCAACGCTGCAAAAAAGGCAACAGTGCAAAGGCTTTTTGTCTAGGTGGTGTAGGTCTCCGTCACTGCGCTTAACCTTTGCCAAATCGCTCGCACTGGAGGCGGGACAACTGGAACTGCTTCATGCTGTTCTCCTCCTGTCAGCGATTGTTGTCTATGCGGACGGTTATCTGGAGGGCACCTGCGGGGAACCGGTGTCCAAACGACCCATACCCTCTTGCTCGGGGAGGCACTAATGGCGTCCGAGATATCCGAGGGCAGCAGCAGCCGCTTCCGTGGGGAGCTGCGTAGGGGGCTGCTGAAGGCCCCCTTGCGTGGGGTCAGGCCCTTGCTGGGAGTCCCTGGCTGCTTCTTGGGGGACTTCTTGGTGGGTGTCTTCGGCGGGGTCATTGCAAATGCTGCGCACGGGCCGAACAAGGAAAGGAAAGCGTCACCAAAGGCCCTGGCTATCAATGGCTGCACTAGGGAGCCTACAAAGCGTCTTTGACTGGTGTGCTTAGCATCCCATGCCGCCTATGCATCAAAAGTGGCCACAAACGACATTGCAGGAGCTGGCGTATTATACTGTCGGATGTTGGAATCCTCAAAGTTGGTCGTTGTATTTCCAGCAAAAAGTATGAGCGAATGCGAGTTTCGCTGTCGTCGTAGCGTCACAACTACTGCCCGCCGAAGCTTTTGTGGGTTGTCGATCTGGAGAGTGACTTGAAGCAGAATGAGCATCTGCTGCATCCATCTCCATCGCCGTGCCACCGCCAAAATTGTGGATGGCAACAGCGTGACGCTTTTGTGACGTCATCCAGCAGCAGAAATCGATGGACCACTTTTTAGGATGTGGTAAACAGATCATTCGGAGACGCATTGCAGGCACCATAACTGCACCAACCCCGCCAAGAAAGGGGGTACAGACCGCACTTTCATTTTCAATGTCACATCTAAGCTTTGCCACCTATCAAGAATTGGCTCCAGTGTTCGAGTTACAACATCTTTTATCTGCGGTATGATTACATGCCGTTTTTGGTTAGCTTTAAGTCGGACATTAACCGACGGTCACCATCATTTAGACTGCAAGCTCACGATATTGAAAATGCTCTTGCTGATATTAAGGCTAACTCAGCTCTTGCTGAGTTAGCCTTAATAACATATATTAAGGCTAACTCAAAGAGCCCAGCCAAGCTGTTTGCAAACATGGCCTCCGTGTTGGCCATACTCGACACGTTTTACACCACTGATTGCAAAAACACCTGTTCCACGCAGTTCAAGCACAAAGCTGATTCAGGTCCATAGATAAGAGTATAATTAGCTGGTGTCGCCAATCAGACTGGCCTCAGGTTAACATCACGTCGACTGCGACATTAATGCTTTTGGATAAAGTAAACCGAGTGTGCAGTGTAAATGCAGCGGGCATGTGCGCTGCTACCAGTTGACCTGCTGCAGTAGCAACAGATGGGAATGATCAAAGAGTTCACAGTAAACAACGGATAACCGAGCTTCTTGCCCCTATGTGGACTCGGGCCTCATTGAACAGGTAGTGCTACAGTGAAACCTATTTAGAACGAACCCACATACAGCAAATTATTGTCAATATCGAACTCGCGGAAAATTTAAATAAAAATGCATGTAAAAGGCACTTTTTATAACAAACAACGTATTGGCTATATCAAACTTTTTCCCTCCGGGAAGGCTTCCAAAAACGCAGACAATCATATTCTAGCCTGTCCCTTCCCCTAAAAAAAAAGTAGGAAAAAAAAAAAAAATTCCAAAGGCTCGAGTTGTGAACAAAATTAAGCGAAGAGAAGCGATTCAGAAGGGGAGAAAGGGAGAAAGCTAAAAAATACACTCTGCAGCATGCACAGAAAAAAAAAGAAAAAAAAACTTTTCATCCCTAAGCGTTTGCCCATGAAAAGAAGCGATTCTGAAGGGGAGATAAGCTAAAAGAACAAATGCTGCATGCATGCAAAAAAAAAACACAAAAAAACACGAAAACTTTCCAATGCGTTGTTACGAGGCGGAAGTGAAGAGGTGAGAAAGAAAGAGAAGCTCTCGCCTTACAACGAAAGCATTGGGGAAGTTTGTTGCAAATGGTTTTTGCTATATCGAACTGATCATAGCGTTTCCTGCTGCTCGTTATAAACGGGTTTGACTGTATCCACTGCACTCAATAGAAGCACTGAAGTTCCGACGAAACAGTGACATATTACTCATGTCCAGTTGTTCAGGCAGTGATCATTCCCAGTGGCGTAGCAACCGGTGGGGCCGGAAGCCCTGGACCCTGGGTGCCAGGCCCAGGGCTCTTGGCACCGAGGGGGTGCCACCTTTGGAAACATCCAGCACTGGCACCCCCCCCCCCCCCCCCCCCCCCCCCCCCGCCTTCACTGGTTGGTTGCAATCTCAGGGAGTGAAGAGGGTCTACGAAAGACATAAAAGCCCCGGGTGCCGGATGGCCTAGCTGTGCCACCGATCATTTCAAAAGTGTAATTTTACTGGTGGCATTGAAAGGTGGACTACAATGGTGCCACGGAACACCACCAAGTCCAGTCAGCCTTTTCTTCTTGTACATTTTGTGTTCATAAATCCAGATACCATGTGGGATGTCCTACCTTCATGCTGCGTCCAGCATGCACCCATGCAGCAGCAGCGGAATTGATACTACAAGACTAAACAAACAGTTGCACAGGTGATGACACGTGTAGCAATTGGCTACAGACTCAAGCTTTGGGTAGAAAAAGAAAAACAATAATGTTAACAAAATTGTCATGTCAGGAAAAGGTGAGGGACAATGGATGAAGCAAGTCGTCACCGGCTGGAATGTTGCGCTTTCCCCGTTTCTGGACCACTTCCTCGTCGGGGGAGGTAGGTGATGTCTCCATGAAGAGCAACACATTGCTGAAGGATGTCCGGCTGCCTGAAGCTGGGGAAACAATGACCATGTTCGAGTTTTTAAAGCCTTTTGAAGAATATCCACGAAGATACAAAAAGAGTTTGCTAGTTGGGAGCCAGAATATAAACATATTTGGATTGACAACTGCTGTCCCAAACCACTACACATCTAGCTCCTAACCAACCGGTCCAAGTGATCTTGGAATCCCAATCTTTCTTGTCCCTGCTACATCGAGGCAGATAGTATTTCACATGAGCATCTGCATACTTCATGGACCCTATTTTGCACGCACAGGATGCTTTATTATTACAAACATATGAACACTTCAAATACCAGGGCGCCACAGTCTGAACAGAAGGACGAGTTTTTTTGCACGCTATCAAGATATTACAAGTTTGACACCCTCAGAAGCACCATAAATTTGAACGTTCGATCGAGAGCACAGCAGATCACGACCATACCATGAACACGCGTGTCTTGCCAGCATGCAAAAAAAAGTGTTCAGATATTTAAAAAAAATAAAAATAAAGTGAAGCACTACGTTCTTGTGTCTGTAGCCATCGGCAGTCACGTCGTTTCGTCGATAAAACGGCACACAAAGAACAGATAAAACTCGTTTTAATTTTTTTTTTTTTTTTATGGCACCTTTATGATTTTTTTTTTTTTTTCTTCTTGGGAAAGCAGAGGTTTTGTTCGAAAACCTTTATACAGCTTTTGAGGGCACTACTTTGATCGATTTAGGCATTTGCCGCAACATGGTTTACTAGGACCCAATCCAATCGAAAAGAAAAAGGCTGGTTGGAAATTAAGCTTGAGAAAAAGTTTAACCAGCTTCGGCATGGGTTCAGGTAGTATCCGAACAATAAAATATATTCGGCACATGTAAGGTTCTTACTACAAAGTTACAAGATGAACGTAAACATACGCAAAACTGTTTTTACGATCACACTGCCCTTGAGTGCAGATACAGCTACGTGACGCACGAAGGTTACACGTATGTGTACTCACCGGTTCTTGTGATTTCTCTGAGCGCAGATCTGGTTGTCACGGGCGTAGATGTGCTGGCTTCTTGCTCCATCCCGTTATGTAAAACTAATGGAAAATAACGGATGAAATTACAAACTCTAAAAGAACATGGATAAAATTATGAAATTTTTTGCTACAGGATTGGCGCCATGATCTGCCGAGTCTGCGATGAATATCGCGCGAAAGCAGGTAATTCTGCAATAGGAGAACGCTATTGGCCACGCTTGAGCCAATTAAAGAGCTTGCATGGAAAGTTCCGGTTCCGGAAACGGAAACGGAAAAAATCTCCCGCCAACGCTCTTCGGCGTCTCGGCGTTGTCTCGGCGTCAGGCGTCAGTTTAAAAGTTGTGTCGGTTAACATTTACTACATGTTGCAACTTTATCTCTAGATAATAGTTTTAAGTTAACGAAACACTTTTGAAGCATGGCAGCGGTGACGGAGTCTACGCTGGAGGAACTTTTGGCTCTCACATCTCGGGTAAGAAGCGCACCGTTTTTAAATTACTGTTGAACCCAATCACGCCTCTAACTCATTGGCTTCACACTTATGACTCGTAATTATGCCGAATTTGCCGAATTACGTGCTTGGATATTGTATAGCAAGCATACCGACTAATTCACTGAGGGCAACCGATGCGTCTCAACTGCTTGGTCACTGAATTTCGGCGGTGTGGTCACGCACTGCCCACCAATGCGCGCGACTGTTTCTAGAGCATATACAACTCCAACTTTTTATTGATGCGTCTTCATTGCGACCCACAAAGCATCCCCAGGAGTGGGTTGGCCAGTGAACCTTACCAAAGAGCCTAAGGTCGAAATCTAAGCACTACGGATTGAAGGAGGTGAGAGGATCGCGTTCAACTGGACGCTCAGGTTCATGGGGATGGGATTCAGAATGCCCTAACACATGGGCGTACCAACCGGGGGAACAAGGGGGGCGCTTGCCCCCTCAGTTCTCAGAGTGTGGGAGGGGGGGGGGGGGGGGGGGCAGAGCATGTGTTTAGCCCCCCTTGGAACAGCCGCCACTGGGCAGGGCAAATACTGGCGTGCGGCGCCCAGGGATACCAAGGGCACCGCCCCCGGCCCTAAGGGGGGTGGGGTGCTGGGGGCAAATCCGGACATGCATAGACATGCACCGCCCTTTCAACAGCAGGCATGCACGGTACGAGTTTCAACTTGATACAACGTGCCTGCGGGAACTTGCACTTTGCCGGCATCGATGCGCGCAGGAAGTGTGGTGAAGTATGCTGCAAAGCAAGATTCGTTATGCTGGAGCTAGTTCTCGCATAAATTAATAGGAGTTAAAATAGACCAATCTCACCAGCCAAGGTTGATGGCCCATACCGTAGATGTCTGCGACGCCGCACAATGCAAAGTTCCACAGATTCTTGAATTTTTACAGATGGCAATGACGTAATGGTGTGAAAAATCCTGAAGATGAATTCAAACAGAGAGGGAGGGGAGGGGGTTAGGGAGCATAGAGGTCTATGGGAACACACTTGAGGCCTGCCGGCAGAGAACCCTAATGTCTTCGGGGTCAACAGGAATGTTTACAGTCAGCTCAGGGTGCAGAGATTACCAATTCCTGGCTGCGCGCATCAAACAGGACTCGAGCTGCCGTAGCATACATGCCAGGAGAGGCTGCATCTTTCCTGTGTGGGTGTCGAAGCGAGGAGCATCTAAAGGCTTCATTGAGGTTCCCATCAGGTTGCTGAAGAGTCGGATGGAAGCCACATCTCTTCTGTAAGCAAGGCTGTGCCAGGTAGCTCCCTGTAGGAGTGGTGTCGTAGATCCCCAGGAGTAGGCTGAAAGCGCGGAACGAGGGACACTACGCCTGGTAGAGTGTGTAAGCAGCCCAGTGCTGCACACTCTCCAGGGCCTGCTTGAGGGATTTCTGGAAGGGGCTCCACACAAGAGTGCAAAACTCTAAGTGGTGTAGCACCAATCCCATGTAGAGGTGCTGGAACGTGCTCGGTGGCATGCCACCACATGTGACATGTGTTACGAAGCTTAGTGACCGACGCGGCTTTGTCACAATGCCCCTTATGTAACCTACGGAGCTCAAATGGTTGTCGAAACTATCCCTCCCCCAAAGTAGTACTGCGGACTGGAGGAAAACAATCGCCTCGCTGGAGGGGAACAGAGCCCAAAACAAGGGGCGGGGGGGTCGGGCTCTTTGTACCTATGGTGAGTGTCTTTGCCACACTTTTCTTAGTGTTGAGTGGGAGTAGCTGGCTTATAGACCACATGTGGCATGCATCTAGGTCGGCTTGAAGTTCGAGGTAGGACTGAGATGAGTTTAGGGGCTTAATTAGTGCCAGGTCGTCGGCGTACAAAATTGCTGTGGAGCGCACCTCGGTGAAGCTCTGCGTGTATACAGCAAGACGGCAGGAGCCCTCGCAAGCACGGCCGTTTGCCTCCTGTGAGCTAAAGTTATGGCAGCGTCACACATGCGCCGAACGATTAGTAAGATTTGGTGTATTGGAAGAGTGGTCAGCGCTGTTCAACAATGATAACCATGTGTCACATTCACTGGAGTTGTGAAGGGTGTTTAACCCTCTAATGCCCAAAACCTGCTGAAGCATAGAAAAACATTGAACGGCGGTTTCCTGCCAAAAATGGTTCCACAGGTTTGCCCAAAGCAATGTTTATTTAATTGCCCTATCATTTCACTATGATAGAGCTCATGTCATCTGTGATACAGTGGACATTACAGCCTATAATATAATTATGTCTTCACGTGCTAGGTGATAAAGTAGTTGCGAGTTAAGTTGTAGAAACACTTTTCATTACACTTGCAGCAATAAGTATATGTGAAAACCTGTTTCGTACTGGTGGGACTGAACTTTCATTACAGTCTGTGCTGCTCTAAATGGGCATATGACCAACTTCATCTGGATGCACATCGTCCTGGGGAACACCTCTGGCGAGTTTCTGCTTTCTGCAGGTGGGGTCTGTAAAAGTGGCCCCCGCCGACTTTTTAGTCGGCGGGGGCCACCTTTACGGCGCTTATGAACCTCTGAAAGTAGGTCAGTGGAGAAGCAATTGGTCGCTGGCATAGTGAGAGCCTCACTCATTGTTGAAAGAGCAGAGTCCAACAGATGCTTCTTTGACTGGATTTTGTCAATAGAACCTGTCCCATGTCGTGAGTCGCTGCTTTCGTCCCCTTGATCTTCAGAATATTCATAGCTGATCTGAGCGTCATGATCAGGAAGGTGACTTAGCCCATCTGGCACATTTTCATTGTCCCCATTGTCACTTATGCCACCAATATCACTATAGTGAGACGATGGCATGCAGCTTAGAATGTCTCGGAGTGACTCGACTGGAAGAAATTACACTTGCAGCACATATAAATACACAAAAGTATGATTCATACCATGTGTAATACGTTCGTTGGGCCTTGTTTGGAATGCCCAGAGTAGCACATGTGATACGCAAAAAACACTCCTGTATCACTGCTTCAGTATACAAGCAATACAAATGAAATTGGTTTAGAGGCTTCAGGAACACTTGTAGTTTGCAAAGCACACAAAACAATCATGTGTCCCTTGTTTTCTTTTTTTAAAGGAAGATTTGTATTGCATATGTGTCGTGATCGCATTCCACTACTGCTGGGTTCTGCCAAGTTTCAAACACGCCTTGTAATCCCGTTGCAGGCCATATTCAAACTACAGAGGTGCAAAAACCTAGGCGATCTGTATCGTGAATGATACATTGGGTGTTCAAAGTTTAGAGGTTCAAATAGAGACTGTTTTTCAATTGGGAAGATGGCTTAGCATGTATGATAGGGGGGCATCAGAGGGTTAATTTTCCTCAGACCTCTCATACGCTGAGCCCCCCTCAAAAAGAACCTCTATCCGCCCCTGGTTCCGGGTTCCATAATCATTCGAAGCTTTTAGGTTTTCTTGTATCCTGCTGCGTTTTGGCTCTATGTAATAGCACAAGTTGAATTTTTCTTAAGCAAAATGTTTCATCCACGAGAAAGGCAAGTCACCTTTGCTTCTTTCGTACGATTCAACCGATAATGACAGCTAGTGTATTTCAAACGCCGTCATTCAGCCCTGACCTGAATAGAAGAGAGCCATTGGGACAATCAATAATGACCGACTAGTAGCTGGTCAAACTCTCGCACCATTGTCCTTGTCAGCGATTTAACTGATTTGGGACTGGCAGGGTGCTTGATTCTTGGTAGGAGTGCGCGTCCAACGAGCATCTAAGAGGGGAGTGTTTAAAAAAAACACTCCTCGCTTAGAGCAAAGATTTCCAGAAGCTGTTTTTCAGCTTTAACCGCTCTTGTATTTTGGACACCGTTGGATGTTTACGTGCCGAGAAACTGAGAGGAGACGAGAGCGCGCGGGTACGTCAGAATGCCAAGCTCAGGTTGGAATAATTAATGTGTAGGTTTAAAGCTAGCTGCCTTTGTTTCCACTGCACTCGTCGAATGCATTCTTATATTTTGGACACCATTGGATGTTTATGTGCCGAGAAACTGAGAGGAGACGAGAGCGTGCGGGGACGTCGGAATGCCAAGCTCAGGTTGGAATGATTAATGTGTAGGTTTAAAGCTGGCTGCCTTTGTTTCCACTGCATTCGTCGAACGCATTCTGATGCGACAAACGTCGGATGTTGGCATTCTGCGTTTAACAAGTGCAGTGGAGACAAAGACTCCCTTTGTTTTCTGTTTTCTCCACTGCACTTGTTGAACGCGCTCGTAAATGAAAGCCAAATGCTGGATGTTGGCAAACAAGCATTCAACGAGTGCAGTGGAGACAAAAACAAGTAACCTTCCACCCACTAATCATTCCAATCGGAGTTCGGCATTCTAATGTCCCTGCGCGCTCTCATCTCCTCCTCTTTGTTTCCCGGCAGCTTATGGTCTAATTATAAGACTTCAAAGATAAATGTCGCGGTCAATTTTTTTTTTTTTTTTTCATTGCAGATGTTTCTACACTTGCTATCTTTTTCTTGTGTGTCGATTATTTACATTATGTGCATATTTTGCCGCCCCATTAAAACTAACCGATACCAACTTCGTCTTGTTTTTTTCAATAAAAAGGAGCTGCGGGACCGTTTGTCGAATGACAATTTGTCACGTGTCAACTGGTAGCAGGGTTATTTGTCAGATAGGTCAATTCGTCATATTGCAGTTTGTCACTATGACAATTCATCAAACTACTATTAACATATCTTTCTTATTTTTGTAGCATTTCTGATGTTTATCAGGCATAGTTCTTTCAAGAGAGTACAATTACCAGCAGCCCCCTTCATTGATTTAAACATTTTTTTCTCGACACACTAAATTATATTTTGACTAATTTCTAATAGACACTGACTATGTCTTGTCCACCAGAACCTTAGCACCTCTCAGTCACTAATGGAAAAAATGGATGGAAAATTGCTAGGCAATTATGGGGTGTTACGGGAAACGTTTCGGTAGCGCATGCACAGTCTGTGTCGTGCATGTCGACAATTCTTTCCGTGTCGAGCACATGCCATCTGTGTCGCGCATGCGCAGTACCTGTGTCGCGCTCCTGAAAGTTTGACATTCTATGCTTGCGAGGTAAGCTAAAATGTTTACCAACTTAAAAAAGAAATGAAAGACTAATCTTCCGAAAGAGAACACTACACAAAAACTGAATAACAAAAGCGACTAAGCGCTAAAATAGCTAGCGCGTGGGCAATAAGATCTTTAAACATTTACGGTTTTCAGCGACTTGTCCCAGTGGCGAATTGGCCTATATGACGAATAGCCCTACTACGAGTTATTATGAATCGTCTTTCGAAGAACGGCCCGTGTCCTATAAAAAAGACCCTATAGTCCATTGCAACTCAAGAACGAAGGGCGAGGGTAGGGTGGGTCGGAGAGGAGGAAGCAGACGGAACGCCGGAGAAGAAAGGGGGAACCTCCTTCTCTCTTTAGCGTTCCGTCTGCTTCCTCCTCCCCGGCCCGTCCTACCCTCGCCCTTCGTTCTTGAGTTGCAACGAACTATAGTGTTGCATGCCACACAAAAAATGTGTATATATTTTTTTTGTCAAAATTTATCAAGTTTTTGCATGACATATATCGGGTGCAGGCCACCTTTTTAAAGGATAACAAAGTACAGCTGCTTGCGCAGGGCTATTAAATAGGCTTTCTAAAAACTCCAGCCGATCTATAATAAAAATTTAATTAGCATAAGGTTTAAGCAGAACAGTGTTTATAACAAAGGAACCTACAGTTCTGGCAATGGGAACCATAGCTTTGTACTTTTTTGCTTAATTGAAGAGTCCAATTTTTTCTGTTCAGGGTCAAGAACCATCTCGGGAAAAGCTGGACTCAAGGCTTCAGGCGCTGTCGGCACAAAGAAGCAAGCAGCTGTGGAAGCTGGTGCTTGAAAAGTTGCAGCACCACATACTAAGGGTGATTGCAAAGGACGAGCCTGTGAGTTGCTTGTGGGCTCTGCAATATCACTACTGTCAAGAATCATGCCCTTGTTTTCTGCAGCATTTCTTTTCTCTAGAAACATGTTGATTTTATGCACGCTTGATTTATTGGTTATTTAGAGAATAGTTTTACTGTGTTTCACATACTGGGTGGCTAAACCCCCCTCGGAGCAGCGTTGCCAGATTGGAAAGATGCTTCGGCACCAAATCCTGGCAGAGATTTCACCAGATTTCACCAGCAGTAAAATATCGCGTCAATTATCTCCAATTCCTTCAGCTTCTTTTACGCATGAACACGCCAAAGGGTAGCTTTCAAGAGGTTCACTAATATAAGGCTCATCACAGCACAATAAAAAAGGAAGAAAGCAGACATATGGCGCATCAGCACTGTTACTTTTTAATATACCATGTTTATGAGATGTTGGTGCTGAGTAGTCCTTAGACGGAGAATTCAAATTAATGAAGACCACCGACATGTAAGAAAGGCCACATAATATTGCACTTAAAGACACTCGCAGTCTAAATTAAGCGTACATTTCTGCTTAGCAGTAAGAAAAAGAAACGCTAAGAACGAATTCCAAATACAACACCATGATAAAGTTCAGTTCATAACAGGTTTTGAAGTCAAGTGTCAAGAAAAACACTGATATGCATGACATCCAGTCACATAACACTTAACTTCACACAAAGTCCAGTCACACTGACACGGATTACCTCTTAACACATAAAGCACATCTATCGCTCATATCCATAAGAATATGGAACATAAACCAATTGGGTACATAAATACACTAACAAGTGCCAGAGCTAATTACACTGCTTCGTACATCTCTGACATAAAGCTTCGAAGCATATCATCAGTTGCAAAAAACTGCACACAGCAGCCAGACTTCAATGACAATGTGCGAATGCGCACAATAGCATGCAGCGTTGCAACAGACATCTTATTTCTGCACTTGGTCTTGATGCAGGTGATTTGGCTAAAACTCGTTTCCACTACAGCGTTCGACACTGGGCAAGACAGGCAAGATAAGGCATAGAGGGCTAAATCTTTGTATGGTCTCTCTCCTAGCCCGTTTTCGTAGTTGAATATTCCACTCCAGAATAACGTGCAGTCATCCGGGACTTTGCCATCAAACACGCACTCTTCAGCCCAGATGTGCGTCACGATTTTTCTGTACTGTTGTTCCAAAATGTCTTGCTCTTCCTCCAAGAGGAGGTGGAGGTGAAGCTTCTCAAAAAAGTAGCGTGCCGCTTGTGGCAACACTTTTGACGGGTGAAGGGAAGGAATTTAATTAATGCAAGTGGCAAACCGTTTCTCAAGATTTTTCACCAGTTTTCACCAGATATGGTCTGGTGTAGCCGTTCGGGTACATCAACACCAGTAGCCTTCCAATTTCACCAGATTTTCCAAATCTGGTGCCGAATTTCATCACCTGGCAACGCTGCCTCGGAATGTGATATTCCACCAAAAGCTAACTGTAGCGATGGCAACAATGTACGGGAGCTTGCGGCCACAACATTATTTCTGTCTGAAATCTACTGATCACTGTTTTTAAAGGGGAATTTTTCAGGTTTGTGGCGACAAGAAGTACCTAGGGTTATTGCTCAGTGGCAGCCAGCCGTACATGCCTCCTTGCTTTGATCACAAAAGTCCATTTCCATTTGCAGGAGAAAGGTGAACAGACTCCAAATATAAGTGAAATTAACCGGATCCAAGTATGTTAGGATCGGCCAAGCTTTTGCGGTGGGAAGTCACAATAAACAACCTTTGTGTTCAGCCATAAGGAGAGCCTCCACACACAGAATTCTACACTTGGCTGAATCGCCAATGTGCCAAAGCACACAAAGCTTTGTTTATGCGGGCACCGATATTGAAGCAAGTGCATTTCGTGCTCTTCATGATGTCGGCCATGTCATTGTTAATGCGGATGTGCCAATGTATAGCAAAATTTTTGGGAACATACCGGTTAAGTACGGAATGTGCATCTTCGTCTCGGTTTTTATTTTATGGACGATTTTTTGTGGGAACAGAGGTGTTTATATTACTGAGACATGATTGTATTGGGTGGCACAGTGGCACGATTTCCTGTTGGGAATTCAGAGGCTGTGCCTTTCTTGCAGTTCTCGTGCTGGCACAAACTGCCTGCCCTTAACATTCAAAAATTAATGCACAAACATGAGATATTGCAACTAACCTCCAGATAACCAGCAGGTATGAGGGGCTCTTCTAAGGGTGCATTTTCCCTGTCCCAAACAGGAGGATTATTCCCTTCTGCTTGTGGAACTGTGCCAGGCTACTTCGAGGGTCGACATTACGTCTGACTGCAGCGTCCTGAACATTGCTGACCTTCTCTACGGTGAGCGCGCTTTTTTACGGCCGCACGTTTTGTACGGTCTGACGGCTTTCTGTTGACCTGAATTTATTCATCTCATTAGATAACACTTCAGGAAGGATGCTGGTATGTGAAATGTTGTAGTTTGTTCCCAGGTAGCACTTACAGTAACTCATTCATATGGGTAGTGCAATTGGGAAATGACTCAAGGAAGTTTGGCTACACTGCAGTCATATTTGCTCTTCCTACTAGTATTGTATTAAGGAAGGGAGTTCAGAAACTATGCAGGTCATTCTTTGCAGACGAGTTGTTTGTAGTGAATTGCTGCCTGTATGAAGAAATACGGCTACTGCTATGAAACTAAGTTTTGACTGATCATTTATTACACAAGGAATTGGCTGCTAGCAACTTCTCAATTTTAGGGTGTCTACCAACCTGGAATATTTGGGGGATTTCAAAGCATCTGGAAAGTCAAGTGATTGTCAGGGAAATCGTAAAAAGATGAGTTAAGTCAGGGAAAATGGTGGATGTCGATGATGTAGTAACACGCAATGAAACGGGAGAATGTGGCGTGCAGTGGCACTTTCAAGCTGTGTAGCAACTGTCCGAGGCGTTGCTAGAAGTCATCAGCCACCACCTAGCTGACTCACCAGATTGTGCGGTAACTACCTAAATAGCCGCTCTAACCTTGTCCTCTGCATTCTCTTCTATTGTAATGGTCAGGGGATATCATACAATTCAAAGAAAACCTGGAAAAGTCAGAAAACTTGAGAGAGGAAATTTGGTAGACATTCTGCAGACTGGGTTCCTTAGAATACTCTAAGGAGTTCCCCACCAAGCCCCCAAATTTTCTTGGCCATTCTTGCCCCTAAGTGAAGTGTTCTCCTACTTTAAGCACTATTCTAGAAGATCTAAGCCCTCCATTGTCGCATAACTGTGTGCCAAATGGTCCTGGTGTATGCATTGTTCACAAGGTCTATAGGCTTCAGCAATGCTTTATTGCATCAAAGCTGAAACCAGGAGAGGTTCCTTGGCTGTCAGTCAAGAAAAATAGCTAATCTTCATGATAGAAAAGTCTCTGCTCTACAAAACATAACTGCAAGAGCATTTATTTGTTATTTATTAATACCTCAAAGGCCCTAGCATAGCGTAGTTCTAGAGCTGAATTTCCAGGACCTGTCGTGATAGCAGTATCAGCTACCAGTACACATCTATCAAGCGATTTCCATTTGGTCTTCATCAACTTTGTTGTCCAGATTTTTAGTTGAGTCTCTCGAAAAATTCGATATTGTCTCGATTTTACATAAAGTGTGCAGTTACAGTCGCCGACCGATTTTTCGGACTTCGCAGGGACCGAAGAAACGTCTGACTGAAAGAGCGGTAAAAAAAATCAGTAGATTAAACTACTTGTTTTTATTGTGTCTAAGCGTAATGATGTGAGCCGGACACATCACTGTCTTGGTCGCAACTGGTAGGTTTTGCTTTGCTTTTCCAATAACATATGTATAACAAGGTTGGCAACCGGCAATATAAAGTCTGCTAAACATGGCGAAAACAGTGGAACTTGTCAATACATTGCTTTAGGCAGGCTTAAAAAAGTCATTGATAGTGCTTTTCTTCAGGTTTCGCCTCTGCTTGCGTTTGGCCTCTTTCCATTAGCTTGAAATCGCTGCCTTTTTCTCTCACGTTGCGGTTGAGTACTTTCTGCACTTCTTAGCAACACTTCGCGGCGGTGGGAGAACAGGTGGGGCCATGGCTCTCAAGCGAGCGTAGTCCAAAAATATGATTCGCCGAGTCGGGATGAGAGGCGCAAGTCCACGACTGCACAATGGCAAATGAACACAGCGAAATTGTAAAAATGGTAATGATAATAACGTACAGCTAGAGAAAAAAAAGCCGTAGCATAGCATCGCCTAGCAGTAGGACTTAGCAGTACTCGAGTAGCGCTGCCAAACCAAGCCAATCCACGTGCAGCCAACAGAACCTAAAATGATGGCTTTTCGGTGGTGTTCCCCGCTGATCACTCACGACGATTTTATCTGAAAAATCAAACTTTCAGACTTCAGGTTCTCCGAAACGTCAATCTTGAATATGCACTATTTTTATTGGTTAGGTCACGGTTCCTCTTTTAGGACCAAGATATCGAACAAGTTTGAATTGCCGGTGTCTCAAAAAGCGGTCGGCGACTATATTTATCACAAAATACCGAGTAAGCGCCCACTCAAAATTTGAAGATAATTGCGAAAAATAAGGGATGTGCGCATGTCAGGTCACAAATTTTACATATATATAGGTACTGTTCATATTTTTTCAGATGTTTCAAATTTTGGGGATGGGCGCTTATTGCGAAATGGGCAGATGCACGGTATTTTATGGTAGGTGAGATGCCTGTATGCAATGTGCCTTTCACTCATTGATAACATTTTTGTATTGGCAAGGAGGCAGCATGGCATTCTTTTGCCAACGGCATTCAAACCGCATGCGCTGCCTTATGTGAGCTGGCTGCCTTCCCTGCCTTTTAAAGCGCTGGAAATACTACACCACCGACCAATAGTGCCGTGCACGCTCCTAATGGTTGCTGCTGATGAGTTGCCTTAAAGGGGCCCTGCAATCATATTTAAGCGTCCACCTTTTTTGCGGTTTCCACGTCTCTTGGGGTTCAGGCAATCCAGCGGGCACGGAGAGAGTAACTAAATATCAGTGCGTCATATTTTAACCGGACGACGCGGAAACCTCCTCCACCGACGAGGGCAACCCGCGGTACCGAAAGCGCGTAAAATGTGACGTCTTTGGTCCTAGGCTTGCTACTGGTCAAAGCCGCTAAAAGCTTCTTTTTAGTCGAAATACAAAATATAAGTGGCGCGAACCGTTTCAATTTTTTATAAAAGTTGTGTTTGTTCAGTATTTTAGATGAAAAAAGAAACGAATGCAGTTCATAAATTACGGAAACAAGAAATGACTCGTCGGCATACCCGCCACCAAGCGGCGGAAAAGGCGGCGCATACTAGAAAGGAGTAGTGGGATCAGGTGCCAACACGGAAAGGTCACGGATGTATGCGGCGGCGCTGCGGTCATTTGGGCAGGAGGATCCGAGCGGCTCCGAGCGTTCCGAAGGCCTTCGGCGAGAAGCTTTGTCTTGCGGTTTGGCCATTTCGCGGTATGGCAGCGCAAAGTAGCTCCCATTCTAAACTGATCTTTACCCCGTGTTTGCTGTCGTTTGTGGCCAATGAAGTGTCATTCCGAATTAGTATTTAATCGCGCAGCAAATGCAATGAGAGCCGCTCTGGCTGCCCGCTGCATACAGCCTATCCAGAACATGCTTCAATGGCGCCCTCTCGCGCCGTCGACTCAGAGTGTGGCAGCCGTGAGCGCTCGACAAGCTCACTACCCCTCTTTTAGTTCACGGCCACTCTCAAGCAACCAAGGACGTCATGATGGAGGTTATTTTTTGCTTGTTTTTGTAATTTTAATTTGCCTATAACTTTTAAAATAAAGGGAATTTCGAGAAAAGAAAAGTTTCACTAAGTTACTATGTTCAGTGCGCTCAGGTATGGTGCAAATTAAAAATTAGTAAAAAAGGCATTGCAGGGCCCCTTTAACTGAGCATCTTCACCAGAAAAAGCCGCGCGCGCGCTCCTGTTGGCACGTTGTTGTTAGACAGCTCTGCGAAAGACAAACTTTGCACGGGAAAAACCCTGTCATAAAGTAGGTACGTTCTCCAAGAACTCCATATGGTGTTTATGAGTTGGATGCCAAACGAGCCGTCAAGCTTTTGCCGCTTGTCTCCGTGGAAGTGGAGCGATCGCAGCCTAAGCAATTTCCTTCAACGCACAAAAGTAGAACACATGTCTTGGTATAATAAAAAAGAATAAACATTTCAACGCTAATAAACACTCTCAGCGTACTCACAGAAGCATGCATTATCCCGGAAAGCATACATTATCCTGACTTTGTCTTGATTTCAGCACTAAATTTGTCCCAAAAATCTCAACTCTACGCATAACAAGAGGAATTGGCTGCTGAGAATCGCAACAGTAAAAACAAAGAAACGGATACACTCAAGAGTGGCAAAAGTTATACACTAAAGCAGTGGTTCTCAACGATTGATGTTTCGCGGACCCCTTCTGGATCGGCGGAGATGATGGAGGACCCCGTTTGTGGCAAAGGGAAAGGTAGTGAAAGGTGTAGGTTAATTATGATAGTGATTTAATAAATAGATATAACTAAAGGCTAGTGTGAAGTAGACTTGTTTTATTGACATATACACGAGAAAATTTACTCGAAAATCTGAACTTTTCTTCCCAATCTGAGAAAATATAACTTTTATTGCCATGCTTGACTGGTGAGGCCGAGCTTCGTGGACCCCTAAAGTGACTTCACGGACCCCAAGGGTCCGCGGACCCTCATTTGAGAACCACTGCACTAAAGAAGAGTAGAACTATACATAAAAACAAGCAAAAGTTTTACTTAAAGAGTATTCGCGTCTCCAGCTCGTCGCTCGCCCTCCTGCGGCGGAAACGGGAAGCGCTCTAGTGAGGGTCCCCCGATTCTCCTGCTCAGCGGGCACGGTGGAACTGCTCGCCACCATGACTCGCTAAAAGTATTTTTCGAATAAAAACAACGCTCTTCACTGTCCCAACGTGGGGCTGCAGCTGGTATAGGGTTGTACCTTATTAGAGAGTTTCAGTATTGCGTATACAAACAAACGCAAGTGCTGTGCGTTTGCGATATAGGGTGTCCTGCTCCACGTTGCGCGTGCGCATCGTTGCCATGCTCCGATCCAAGACCGCAATTTTGGGTTCCGCAATCGCAGCGTGGAACACGCAAAGCTAATGGAAACACGCAGCGCTTGCGTTCGCTCGTATATGCAATACTCAAACTCGCTACTGTTTCACCGGCTTCTGATGCCAACGAAACGTGCTGTAGGGAGCAGACTCGCAAGCAGGTAGGCGTTCCTTCGAACTGGAAAAGCTGAGGATGGAAAAATGACGACGAACAAATACAAAAGGAAATGAATGTTAAAACAAGAGTAGTAATTAAAAAAAAATAATACGTTTTTTTCTTTCTGGGGGGGGGGGGGGGGGTATTTGATCTGGAAGGATATTGGCGGCGACTTTGGAAGTTTGGCCGATTGTCAAAAGTCGCTACTTTGACAGCATCCTCAATTAATCTACTTTTACATGAATTTCTTATATTAGCTAGGATGTTGTCATTGATTTTAGACTTTATTTATTTTATAACTTGGTAATTAAAAATGCTGCAATAGGTACCAGTGATGACAATTAGCACACTTAAGATTGTCATACTTTTTCGCAAGTATGACAATTAACGCTACGATCACAGAAATACGCAATTTAACCATAATCGTTTTTTCTGAAAGGTGTCATTTTGTTTTCTTTTTAGCACATGAAGACCTCTCACTTTGTTATTAAGATAGACCAACAGTCAAGCACAGGATGCAATATGAACTCATATGCGTCACGCGTTACTTTAAAAACACGCACACACTTCAGCTGCCTGACTCGGATTCCGTCCTTTAAATTTTTCTAGCGAGAACAGCGTTTCTTAATTCATACGTTTTTGTGAACATATCGTATAAATTTGATTTATTCTGTTATTCTTGTTCTCGGAAAGATATTAAAGCAATTAATCTTCTAAATACCCAGGAAGCCATTGAAAGGCCCATAGCTGATTGTTTTATATTACAATTATGTGAGCAAGAAAAGGCAGTGAGGACGCACAAATATCACCACTGAATATTTCAACTACAGCATTTTATGTTACCTCTAAGATGTATGAAAGACCCCGTCTTTAAAGGGACGAAGGTTTCCGCGAACAACTTTTTTAACTAAATAATTACGGTGTGAGACGCATTTTGAGTTATGAAAGAATCTGAAATTAAGACCCGTATCGAGAAATTAAATCCAGAATAAAGGTAAGTTTCGGTTTTGCTCCGGAATTAAAACGTACCTCCTGGCTTAATAGTATACTAAATACCGTTTTTGTTTTCAGGATAGAGGTGACCTGCGCTTATAACACCCTAGCTACCTAGTGTTACCAGAAATGATTTGTGTCGCTCAGTGAAGCCACCAAACTAGACAGGCTCAGCAGCGGCACGCATCTCCGACCCTCACTAAACCGGCCATTTTGAAAAGCGAGTGGCGCCACCTATAGTGAATTGGAGTCGCGAATACTAACTACATAGATATTATCACCTCAGTAGTTTTTGGCACCACACAGATTTCAAATATTCACCTAGTAAACATTCTAGCGAGCACACAATTACTAGGTAAGTAATCTCATGTTTTTTCTAATTTCTACACTTTTTTATCATACTTTTATGACATTCTACTTTTATATTCTCTCTTCTCAGGATTACTGCTACTGGTGGAAGATGGGGCGCTCAGTCATGCTATATTTTCCTTCTGCAAATCCTGGTGCATTGCCAAGTTAAAGCACTGGGAGAAGCTTTGGGAGAACACCTTCAGACTAGCCCTAAAGCAGTCACTAGAACAACACTCAAAGGTGGGTTCCAACATCTGACGTTGTGTCAAAAAAAGAGCATACATTGATGCAGAGATCAAACCACCTTGCCAGTCATGCCGTTGCTTCGCAAATAAACTTTGCGTATACCAAAGTACCCAGAAAGTGCACCTAAAGGGGTATTTAGACGAGGGGGAAATCTCTGCCTTTACTCCCCAAGATGCGCATCACATGGTAGCAACGTCGCGCTTTTGCGTGGAGCCGCGCTGTTGTAGACATCCCAGGGGAATGGGGGAAGCTTTTGCTCTGGCTGCACAAACGCTTCCTGCCTTGGCGTGGGATCTCTTAGGAATTGGCGGGATAGTGTTTGTGTGTATGGCAACTTCACAGATTGTGCTCAGCGAAGTGCCGGTGGTGGAATCGGGATCGCCTAACTTGTTGTGGCTTGCGCTGTTCTGAGGCACTTGAGAAGTGTTCGATATTCATCAACGCCGTGCTCAAGCCACTTCACATACAACTGTTTTTTGATTCCACATTTTTTGTGTTGCATCCACCCGTTTAAGAAGCGTCCTTATTTTAGCAGGAAGCTATTCGTCATGTTCTGCCTCTAACAGTGCTGCTGCCATAATCTCGTATCGCCATTTCATGTACTCCTCCCTTTTTCTGCTCCCGTCAGCACGCACAGAGCCCTTTTATTGAGTGTAAGACTGCTAAATGGGTTTGATAACACTGACATCCCTCTCGGCTTCTCGCCGTTTGTGTAAAAGATCGAGTCGGGGAGCTTTTACACAAACGGCTGGTTCCGCTGATCACCGAGGTGGCGCACATCCTTCCCCAGAAAGCATCCCCTGTGTGAATACCCCTTAAACACTGGCATGCAAACAGCATCGCCGAAATTGGTCTGCGTTCAGTTTATTTTTGTAAAATCATAGCCTCCCTTTGTTGATAATTTGGGAAGTCACTTTGTTTGAAATGTGGAGTAAAACAAATACAGTGAACTCTCAATTGACTGAACTTCAAGGGACCTTAGTAAATACATATGTAGTTCACTTACCTGAAAGTTCACTAAATTGAATATATTCGCTAGCACATAGATCAGTAAGTGTGAAATGCAATTTGTAGAGTCGTGTACATCAATATATACGAGGTGCATAACAGTTACGTTGCTACCTTTCTTGCTAAAAAAAAAAAAAAAAATCTCCGTTTGTATTGGCACTTGTAACAAAGCTGTCCAGAGAGTATGTTTTTTTGCACTTCCTCTGGCACAGCTTGTTGCTGTGACGGAGCCATACCGCAATGGAATCGTCTACTGGCTTGCAATATTGTGTGCAGAGCCCTTTCCTGTTGAGATTGAACGCAGTTTCTCCTTCAAGCTTTGAATTTTGCTTCACTATCGTTGACAACGTCAACGGTGAAATCCTATAGTCCTTCACAACGTCCACTTTTGTTTGACCGTTGTGCAGACGCTGAAGGATTTTGAGCTTGTCTCATAGAGGCAACCGCTTCTGTTTCATTGTCTTATGAAAGTGAACATACAAATTGCCGTTCTGCATGTGTTACCCGAAACTAAGATGGCCGAACGGAACCGATGACAAAAAAAAAAAGAAACAGACCCCACATGGTTTGTTTTTGTATGAATAAAGAAAAAGAGAGGGCAACCAGCTTCCCATTAAGCGTGGCAAGTGTGAATAAATAAAAATAAAAAGAGGGCAACCGGCATAAGTGAGCCTTCCTTGGCATTATTAGATAGTGAGGTCCTGATCCCTTGTTATCATCTCCAGACGTGTTCCATGAGGTCGTCCTAGGCGTCGTCCTAGAACTCGTCCGAGAGGTCAACCTCGAGGTCGTTGTAGAAGACGTCCTAGACGTTGTCCTCGAGGTCGTCCTAGACATATTCCTCTTGCTGTCATCTTTAAAGTCATCCTCGAAATCTTCTTTGAAGTCGTCCTAGACGTTCTCTAGGCATCGTCCTGGAGGTCGTCCTAGTTGCCTTTGAGGTTGTCGTAGACATTGTCCTCTAGGAATCATACTGGAGGTTCACGTGAAGTGCATGAGTTCGCTATTCTGAAATTTTTGTTAAACCGACGTTCGCTCAAGTGAGAGTTTACTGTACTGCCACACCTTGTTTTTCTAACCTCTGAACTGTCCAGAGCACATAAAGCACTACGCACAAAGTTGGCTACAAGGAACTACACTTTGTGACAATTGCGACTCTGCAAAAGTTCTTGTTCAACATCCTATGGTACTTTCAAAACAACTTCGCCTTACATTCCATTTACCTTCCAGCGTCAAACAATGGAGCTCGTGAGCACAGTCTTCCTCCTGAAAGATGGGCTGGAAGCCGACAGTGGAGCACTGTCTTTCTCGGACTTGGGCTGCGAGCAGAACCTGGAGCTCAAAGAGCTTCTCGTCAAGTGCTCCATTTCTCCAACCTACTTGGGAGCTGACAAGGTGCGCTTCACTCAAACTATAAAAAGCATGGTCACAAATTTTTCCGATTGCAGCACTTTCCTAGGTGTCGGCATGATACCGTTGCTTTCAAGTTTAACCGAGTAATTGGATTTATTTATAACTATTAGAAGGGAACGTAAACTCTCTTTGGCACTTTGCGCTGCAAATTTGATTCCATTGAAGCCCATATCAATCTGCAGCACCAGTATGTCATTCATTCTAAAGCATGAGATTCGTTTGATGGAACCCTCAACCCCAAAATTTTGTCTGTCCGTGCATTTCCTACTAAATTCAGCGAGAAAATTTGTCACGTGACCCATTGTCACGCTTGCAGTTATTGTAGTGTATACTGCAGGTCCAACTGGCGCTAGTGCGGTTTTCGGAAATTGACTTTCGGTAATGCATTTCTATGGGCAAAAGTGAGTGCATTTTCTCCCTGTGCTTGAATATATGAGCAAATATCACGAATAATTCATACACTCTAGAGAGCTTGAAACATTTCCCAGTCATGCTGATAAAAATGTTGCTCAGTTACGACATTTTTCATTCAAATTTGTGGCATTAAAAACTGTGCTAAAATGACTTTGTACGTGTACCGTATTTACTCGAGTAATAGCCGCACTATTTATGAACAAGGCCCTTACGTCTACTTTCCTGCAAAGCACATATACAGCCAATCATCGCATTGCGCATGAATAACATAGCGAATGACTAGATCAAGAGCACGAGTCTCCATACAAATGCCTTCTTCACAGATTGTATCTTTGCACGAAGACGTTTTCTCTGTCCTGTAAACCACTGGAATCGTGCTGTCGATCGCGGTGATTCGTCATCCGTGTGCTCCGCGGAAGAGCGAGCCCTCAGGTTTTCTTCATAAACAGTGCGGCTATTACTCGAGTAAATATGGTATTTGTGCACACTGTTCGACACCGTTAGTGCGAACTCGGCATCGGCGCTTTTCTACAGGGCGGGTTTATGTGCCAAAGCAATGAAGAGCATCTCGAAAATCAAGAAAGACTTTAAGAACTATGCGCCAACACTGGGTCAGTAACTACCTGTGCCTGTAGACGATCCAAATAAAGTAAAGCCGAGTAATGAGCGCGATTTGCAATAAATAAAATTTGTTTTATTCACTCTGCTTTTCATATAGGGGTGCAAAGCTGAGTTTGTTCTAGCATTCAGAACTCTTATCTGCATGCTCGAAAACTTTGAAAATGGGGAGAGCCAGGAAACTCTTATCACCTAATAAATTCAGCCCAATAATAACAGAAACACCTTTTATAGTCCGCATACTTTTACTGTTTTCTGCGTTTTAATGTCTCGTAAATGGGGGTCATTGTAATGGCAAATAAATCTCTTGGGTTATCAATATTAGCGTCATCGGAATGTTGGCGCTCCTTGAACAAGCCCTACATTCTTTTCAACTTTCATTCCTGCTTCGATCCGTCGCTTGTATTTACACACTTACTGTGGAACATAGGATTGGGCCCAGAATAGCAGGGAAGTTAAATATAGCTCACTTGTCAGAAAAATACTGTTGCTAAAGCAATTTCACTTTTATAATGTTCATAAAGTTACCTATTATTGACTATCATCTAAGTAACAAAGGTAATTCTTGTTATTCTCAAGTGAAACTACAAAATGCCATGCACATTTTCCCATATGAATTTACTGGAGCAAGGCAAAAGTGGACTGGTTGCTGTCTGCTTCAATTTGAAACCGGAAGTCCCATAGACACTAGCTCCAGTTAAACCTCTAGCATACATTTTAATAACCATGTCGTCACGTGACACATTAGAGCACTGCACGGGCTCGGGCCGGCCCAAAAGCCCGGGCCCGGCCCGGCCCGTGGGCCGGGCTCGGGCCGGGTAGCACGTATTTTTTAAAGCCCGGGCCGGGCTCGGGCTTGAAAAAAAAAATTTCCGGGCCGCGTCGGCCCGGGCCGGCCCGGGCCGTGCCTGGTCAGTCGTGTGCCGTAAATTTTAAATCGCGTCGGCCCGGGTCGTGGGCCGTAAATTTAAATTCAAAGGTATCTATGCTAAAGTCCGTCTGCTCTCAGTTCGAGGAGATAGAAGCTCTACTGGAGTCAAGGAACAATCTATTGATGGAAAGCGTGAACAAGACAACACTCAACGAGTTAATCGTGTTCCTGCAACCCTTCAAAGATGCTACCGACGCGCTCAAAGAGGAACTACGTCCAACACTTCCTCTGGTTGTCCTTTACGCTTCTGCGTTGAAGAAACATCTTAAACCTGGTGCGGCGGTGTCTGCTGTAGAGGCAGTGGAAATCGAGAAGATCAAGTCCCCTGCTTGTCATTTCCTGGACATGAAGCTGAAAATTTTCCTCCTCCACAGGACCGCCACATTTCTCTGGCCTCAGTTCCGCCAACTCCGCACGTTGCCCGAGGACGAGCGCCTTGAAGTTTACGCGCACGTCAGAAAGCTACTTGCCCATGTCGCCAAAGCAATGACCCAAGATGAAGATGAGACAAACGATGACGTTCGAGATCCCGCATCAAAAAAAAGGTGCCAAGGTTTGTTTGAAGACTGGTGTGACGCGGAGGAGGACAAGGTAGCCACCGACGAATTGGAGGAGTATCTACACGGCAAGAAAGACTACTCGTGCTCAGGAGTGGCTGAGCTTTGTGTCTTCTGGAGAGCGCACAAGAAAGAATTCCCGAAACTGTCCATTCTATCCAAACGCATCCTGTGCATTCCTGCTACAAGTGCTAGCAGCGAACGGAACTTTAGCGCGGCGGGCTACATTAGGCAAGCAAGACGGACCTGCCTGAAGAGAGAGTCCATGGACAATTTATTGTTTCTCCACAAAAATATGTAGGAAGGAAATTTCTCTTAAATGAGTTGAATAGAACAACGAAAAGTGCAATCTCTCTTCAATAAATTCATAAATAAAAAATTCCCCACTTTTGTCTCAAGGATTGTCGGTGTGCCATGAGTTCAAAGACTGTCGCAAATGATGCGCATATTTCACCCATACTCTCGACAATACATATTCTAAGTCGACATCTTTATGATATAAAAAACTCGGTCCCAGTTTTCCGGCTCGGGCCGGGCTCGGGCTCATATTTGAAAATGTTATCGGGCTCGGGCCGGGCCCGGGCCGCGTCTCTACCGGGCCGGGTCGGGCCAGGCCTAGAAATTCCGGCCCGTGCAGTGCTCTATGACACATACACTACTACAGTCTCCACAATCAATTTAGCGAGGAAATCGGCGTTACGAAATCAATACACCAATGCAGTTTCCCTGCTAAATTTTGCTGGAAAATCATTGTCACGTGACCTCACATCATGTGGCACCAGTTCTATACACAAATTCAATTTCCCCCTATAAATTTAGGGGGAAAGCTTACGTCACCTGTCCAATGCACCAATTTAGTTTTTTTGCTAAATTTATTGGGGAAAAAGTGACTAATCTATTAGTGTGATAATGTGATCAAGTTGCTTGTCATTGAAGGTAGGTGTTTGAAACGTCCGTCCTACATGGACCTTACTACTTGGGACAGTCTGATCGCGAGGTTACTTGTAGAGGTAGCATGTACACGATTTTGTCTAAAATTAAATACGTTTTAAGAATAATATGAAAGAGTACAAATTGCATGGGTCTGTGACACCAGAAGCTCAGTTTATTCGAGGAAGCATGATTTGTATGGGTCTAATTCCACCTCCCTGTCACTACTGGCCCGAGCAGCACAATAACATCAACAGAAAAAATTTTTTCTTAAATTGTACCAGAGACTCCTTTTTTGCAAATTGTACACAAATAAGAGGTATAAATTAGAACAAACAAGCAGTCGGTAGTTTTCACAGCGAAGCTGTTATGCGCTAGGATCTGGGAAAAAATGCATCTGCGGATGTTGACAGAAAACTCCCCATTGGTCGTGGCAAGTATGGATAAATAAAAATAAAAAGGGAGCGACCAGCGTGGGAGTCAGCCTTCCTTGGCATTATTAGATAGTGAGGTCCTGATCCCTTGTTATCATCTCTAGGCCTTGTCCTCGAGGTCGTCCTAAAAGTCGTCTGAGAGGTCGTCCGAGAAATCGTCCTAGGCGTTGTCCTATAGTTATCGTCCTCGAGGTCGTCCTAGAAGTTGTCCTTGAGGTCATCCTAGACGTCGTCCTCTAGACGTCATTGTCGAGGTCGTCCTAGAAGTTGTCCTTGAGGTTATCCTAGATGTTGTCCTCTAGGCGTCGTCCTCCTTGAAGTCGTCCTGGATGTCATCCTAGATGTCGTAAAAATAAAAGCTTCGCTGGTCCTCTACCTTCGTGTGAAGTGAAAAGGCTCTACAATTTTTTTTTAATTGCATAGCATTTGTTTGCTTGCAATTTTGTGTCCCAGACTTACACGCCATTAGAACCAGAGTCGTCCTTAGTGTGGACGACTCTGGTCCTCCACCGAGCACAGCAAGGCGGAGGACAAGCAGCAAGGCGTGACTGCGAAACGAGAGCTCAGCAGCAACATGAAACCAGTCGCCATTACATGGCAGCTGATTGGGAGTTCAGGTGTCAGTTCATGGACAAATTGTTTGGTGCGGTGTGTAACGTGTGCGACGGACTGTGGTTTTGTGCAGGTGTGAGCAAAGGCCTAGTGCTGTGCATTTAGAACGTCTTTGGGAAATTCCAGAGACTGCCGGTCTTTTTCCTTTGAACCAAAAAGCTTTCATCGAGGCAATTCGTGCAATAAAAAGTATTTGTTTGAGGCATTAACCTAGGTGGTAAAATTTCGTGCTCACCGATACCGTTTCCAAGTAAAATGCGAAAAAGTACCAACGTTGTATTTGCTTCAACTGTGTTGTGCAGTGTATTACCGGGTCCTAATGAAACACGAATGATGGAGCGTGTTGTTTTCGGGGCATACTGAAACCCACACGCTCCTCGGAACCCCTGTGCCACGTAGAACAGCAGTTCTCAAACTATTGGCTGCAATGCAACCTTTGACATACTTTGGAGCCACACAATCTTAGCATATTGAATCAAGAAGGGACTACTATGATTGTGTAGGACGGGGGAGAGAAGAGGACTGGGTGTGTGCCTGATTCAATGTGCTATTGTCACATCAATGTAAACACAGCATACAACTCGAGAGCACACGCAGAGAAGGCATACTGTGCAAGGGCCAGAAAACGTCTATTTACGCAGCTGTTGCGGTTTGGGTGTTTGATATGAACTGGCACTCGCAGCTCATGATGAATGCACAGGGCTTGGACACCACTGTGCAGATGTCAGAGTTAATTTAAGGTTGAATTCATTAAGTCTGGTACAGCCGACATTTGGGCATGTGCAGATTGGGGTTTACAAGTCTGCACTGAATTGAACTTCTGCTCTGCACAGTATACTGTTTCGCCGTCAGAAATGCATTCGACTGGCCTTGTTGAACACCTGGCTTTCCTATTCTATATTTTCTGCCATCAATGGAGTGCCTCTAGAGCAGGGGTGGCGAAGCTGCAGCCCTTTGCGTGTTGAAGTATGGCTCGTGGCTCCCCCCCAGAACACATTTTAAATCGAAAGACAGGTCGCAGTTTGTTAGTCTTGTGCTACTGCTACCTTACGTACAGTTGGACTGCTTTTGACTCGGATATATTGAAAGTAGTTTGAGTTTCGTTTATTGCTCTGAACAAAACTTTGCGGCTGGGTCAGCCTGGCCACTCCTACTCCAGAGCATCCTCAAATGATCAGACACCCCCCGGAATGCTCTGGAGGACCTATGGCGGTCTGCAGACCTCAGTTTGAAAATTGCCAACCTAGAGGACCCCTGCGTCACCCACCGGCCCTCCAGGTGGTACAGCCTGTATCAAAAGCCACATGCTCTGTCATTTGCATATTAACGCTTTCCTGACCACGGAAAAAGTGGCAATTTTCAAAGGATCCGTGCAAACGCTTTTATTTTCCTAACTAATTTGCGTATGGAGCAATATGTCACATAAAAATGTGGCTAATTAGTTGTTCTTTAAAAAAAAGTGAGGTTGGTATAATGTAGAAAAAAAGATTTAGAAATTTTAATTATTTAAAAATACAATGTACATGTGGAAGGCATATAATGCTGAGTCTTCTAGAACTATTCAAATTAAACGACGAATAGAAAAAATATATTGGGATATACAAAGTGTGCCCCACACCCATGGCTATTCTTCTCAAAGTTGGTGTACAGTAACTGGCATTGTCTGTTTTTGGTTTGTCGGAGAGTTGGCCTCCGTAACACGTGTGCTTTTCAACGAAGGAAGGCTCATATTGGTGAAACACAGATAGTACACCTCACATCCTTAGCAGAATGCTTTCTTCATGTTCTATTACCTTAATTTTGTCATAGCCTTGATTGCAGTTTCTTTATATTTAGCATTTTTGTCCTCGTTGGGAGCATAAAACGTGCACGCCGGCTCAGGACAGCATTGGAAATTATAGTAACGCTTACCGACAATCATCTGTTAAGCGATTCCTACAACATCATTTAAAGTGTCCCCAGAGCTCTTAAGGTCTAAGGAATGTGCCAGAATGCAGTTGGATTGCATAAATAATGCCATCTTTGCTACAAAGACAGATGCAAGCAGTTAGCCGTGTTAGACATGTGCAACCACCGTTCCCAAGACTATTTTTGACAGCCCGTCAGCTTGTGATAACGCTCAAACCCAAATTGAAACTGAAAGTGCAGTTCTTCGGCTGTCCACGAGATTGGGGAACATAATTCTCCGCACTAAATTTTATTTCTTGACTGCGCTTGAAAGCCATCGATCACCGGTGATCGATGGCCTATGGGCGCGGTCAGGATAGATAGGATGGATGAACGACCTAGTTGTACGTCCATCCTATGTGGACACTCTGCTGTGGAAGCATGCCTGTAAAGGCAGTGGCATCACTAGGGTCAGCGGCACAGTTTGTAAAACTAAAGCCATTGAAAACAGCGTCTGGAACCTCTCCAATTGGCCACCATCGCTGCCAACAGATGCCACAGACCGTCAGCGGCAGCCCCCTCCTGGCTCTGGTAGCAAACTTTACTGAGGTACTCCCTGAAAAGCTGCTGTAGTTGGGACTTTGAAATTGTTTTGTATCCCTATGTGGGGTGCTGACTTCTATTTTTGTGCATCTCATTCACTTTGTCTTTAGCTTGAAACTGACGTTTGCACCCCTTTTTGTTCCCCCAGGGCAAGAAGTTTGTGAGCTACTTGCTGACACGGGATGACACCATTGCACATGCTATCTTCAGGGCTGTGAAGAGCCACTTATGTGGATTAAGTTGGTAATTATCCCACTTTGCTTTTTTTTTCTTGTGAAGATTACTAGTTGAATATTTGTCACTAAAGGATTTATGTAGCATAACCTCAACCTAGGAGCTGTGCTTCTAAGGCTTTTAGAAAAATTCACAGGCCTTTATAAAAGGCAGGGCTGGGCAAAGATTCTTAAGGGGGGACACTGGCTAGAGATTTAACTTCTGAAATACTCAAGTGGTCGGAATGAAATTTGCAGGGGAGATTTAACATCAGATGTAGGTGTATTGTGCAAACTTTCAGCTCTGTAGGACAATTTTCCACACTTGCGTAAGATGCGCCACTCTTCGTTAAGAAATCTATGATATGCAAGGGAAGCTATTAAGCAGTGGGGGATGTGGGACTTTGAGCTATCTAGTTTTTATAACTCTAATGTAAATATTTCAGGAAAAGTTGAATATGAGATGCATATCTGTCCTATGTCAATTTTTGAAAACATAGTTCTTTCTTAATGAGGGCTTGAACTTGAAACAAAATAAAGTAGATAGCCTGATTCCCCTTTAAATTTCAGTTCAGAAAGTTCTTGATTGTGGTATCTAAATATGTACTTTTACTTTCAAACAAAAGATTCCTTCGTATGAAATTTGCAGCAAAAAGTGGAACTAAGGAAAATGCATTTAAGCATTGAACATAACTTTGTTACTGCTTCGCAATGTGTTTCAAATGTTTTATATCAACGTAACTATTTGGCATATGGTTGTCACATTTAAGGCCGGTTCTCACATGCAGCGAAGCGCTGATGTAGCGCTCCTCACGTGTCGTCAGCTACTTATCGTCTGCCATGAGCAACAGTTTTGGCGGTGCGATACAAAGCTGGTGAACGCTGCCGTCAGCACGCGCTTAGCGCGAGGTTAGCGCTATGCTTGTAGCGCTCCGCTGCATGTGTGAACAGGCCTTTAGTGTAAAGGCCTGTTCACACTCTTGCGACCGAGTACGACTGAGAGAGACCAGACCGGTTTTTAAGCCTCTTGAGATCTCTTAGACCAGCTCCGCGCTGCAGTGCATCCGGTTGTAAGAAGTCGCAAGAGGCTTAAAAACCGGTCTGGTCTTTCTCAGTCGTACTCGGTCGCAACAGTGTGAACGGCGCTTAAGGGTGTATAATTAGCTCCTAAAACTGAAGACCTCAAATTAAAAAAAAAAATGAATAAAAAAAATTAAATGTAGGCTTATCTTTTTTTTTTTAAGAAAACGTTTGGGATATACATTTATATTTGTTGTTTTTAGACATTTAGTAGATAATTCCACAAAGATGCCAAATGGGGCAAATTAACGAGCCAGACCAAGCAAAGGCAATAATATAAAAGTATGTTGTCAATAACACTTCTTTTTTTTAAACATCGAAAGTTTGTTTTTTGGGTGCCTTGAATCTGGAAAGACAAAAGTTGTTCCAAAATTCAATTAAAACTTCCAATGTATATTGAATTGGTAATGAATATATCGCAATTGCTTTCATTTTGAAACAGGTATCTGCTCTTCAAATTGCTTATTTGAGGTAGTTCAGGGTGTCACTAAATTGCCCTTTAAAGTATAGTTAGGTCCAATCACACCTAACTGTCATTGCATCTATGTTTACTTTGGGTTTTTGCTGTTTTCTGTCTTCCTTAGTGCCCATGTCCAAGCTTTGGCTCTGGTGTACCTGTCCGCTTGGAAGGCTGTAGCCTCTAAGCCACAATCCGAGGTAAGGGGGTTATAAATCCCCAGTACCATAGGCAGTTTCAATTAAGTGTTTGCTGACCGAGAGCTTTTGAGTTATTTCCGCATGGGCACTCTTTTGGGAATGCATTTGTGCACTTTTACATTTCTCAATTTTCTCTTATGTTTGTTAAGCAGCATATTTTGAAAGTAAGCATGCTTTTGTCAACTTGACCGAGTCTTCGTGAGAACCGTGTGATCGGGCTAAAGTGACCTTTGGATTGTTGAATCATGCAACATTACAGGTGTTGGAGCAAAGCATCCAGGACGTAATGCACATGGCCGTGAACGGACAGTATACTGCCGCTCAACATGACAGGCTTTTCAAGGTAGGTCTCTCGGTGCTGCTTAGAAGTAAGCTACAAACCAGATTCTAGTGATTGGCTAAATGTTTGGCTAGGAAAACTTTTTGGCACTGAATCTGCAGATTCGGCATTGCAAAGTATTTGTCAAGCTTGCCAAGATTCGTTCTTTCTTGTTGATTTTATTCTCGGTTCACTCTTCCCTTTGTAGTTTGAATGAACACATTAAATTAAAATTAGAGGTGTGCAAATATCAAAATCTTTCGAAGTGAAGCAAATCGAATAATAAAGGTTACGAATCGAAATAAATCAAATCTTTTAGAATATGAATAGTAGTTTTGAATAAGAGCATTTTTTAAAACAAATGTTTTCTATTGAATGTAAATGGAAGTACACAAGCGGAGGCGGGTCGGCAGGCTCATTTGGCTGGCCATAGCAGAGTTGGAGATGTGCAATCGCGCCGTGCAGCTGCACTGACTTTGCGCCATCTCTTTCCGTGTGCAATAGTTCTGCCGATTAGGGCGCCACAAAGAAGCAATAAATTTAGAATACAGTGTTTGTTTCTGATAAAAGTGAGCAAGTCTCACTTTTATCAGTGAAAAGGAGTAGAAATAAATAAAAGGAATACTGTCGAGACCGGCTATAACGAAGTCAACGAGAATCTGAAATCTTTTCGCTATATCCGCTATTTCGTTATAACTAGGGCTCCGCATTTTCGGTTTTTATTTTTTCGAAATTCGGCATACTTTTTTCGGTGTATATTTGTTTTTCGGTGAATGTTAAAGAAACACCATCGGACATCGGATCAGATGATTCTTGTAGCTCTGATATTTGTGATCACTCAAAGAATAATGGCACAAATACATTGAAAAAAACATTGACATATTATTTGGCAAATGTGTGAAACTGTAAAGAAAAAAAAAACAAGAAGGAACACAGAAGTACAAACAAGTCAGTGCCCAAAAAACATGAACCTTCACCTTCTGTGAATCAGGATTATTGAATCTTATTATAGTAAACACACATGTACTTTCCCAGGTTCTCATCGCTGATTCACGCTCATTCTTTCCCGTTAATGACCCTGGGCTTCGAGAATGCCTTCTCAACGTTAACACTGGGCACTGGCAGGCCGAGGAGATGAAGCGCTGCCTGAGCCAAAATCGGCTAATCAACCAAATGTGGCTATCAAAAGAGACGCGGTGCGACGTTTTGGAGCACGACATATTTTGTGTACTCACCAAACTCTGGCTGCAGATCTTGCATGAAGCGAAAAACCTTATAGTAGCCCACACCCTTAACTTTTTAGGACCAAGAAGGACCGATTACAGAAAGGGCAGAGATGTCCCGCGGAGGCCAATCCAAGACCTCTTTTGTTGCATGTCGAACCTTGGAAGAGGGCAATCATGAAGAGGTCACTCAATGTCGAACATTGCAACACCCTCTCTCCCCTCCCCCTTCCCCTGCCCATCTCGACGTGGCCATAAAAATCTAGCCATTTTCCGTTAAAACAGAATTTTAGAGAATGAATTCGGCATACTTTTATCAGTTTAAACCGAAAATGCCAAAATTACAAACTGACCTTTTTCGGTTAAAACCGAATTTCCGAAAAGGGATCCAGCATACTTCTATTGGTTTTTATCGGTTTACACCGAAAACCCGAAACCCTAGTTATAACCGACTTCGGTTAATGAAGTGCAAAAGGGAATGGGAAATCGTGATCGCTTCGCTGTAGCCTATATTTCGTTATAACCGACTTCGTTATAACCAGTCTCAACAGTACTGGCAAACTGATAAACCGGAAAATCAGGTGGAAAATAACATGAGCCAGATATCACCACAAGTCGAAGTCACGAAGTCAGCCGTAAATCGATATCCCTATCCATAGCATTTTGTCATTTGTGCTCACGACGATGCACGTGTCATTGCAAATCATAGTCCTTTATCAAATCTATCGCAACGTTTGCGCCACGACGACTTCGCCAACTCCGCAATCCAGACATCGTGGCAAGCAAAGGACGGATCGCGCTACCGTGTACATATAACTTCCTAGTGCTTCATACAAAAAAAAGGATCTTAGGTTGGCATTTTGGGGTTGCTAAGCTCAAAACCGTACTGCACAGTCCAAAAATAAAACTGGGAACTCGACCGCGAGGTGACACTAATCTGCGAGTTTTGCGTTATTCATAGTTTTTGAAGTATTTGAAGAACTCGAATACTTCCGAACAGCGAAAGTGCGAAGCCAATATAATCGAATTGCAAGCATTATTTGCGAAGCATTCGAAATTTTGAATATTCGCACACCCTTAATTAAAATCAATTGATAATGATATTATAGGGGGACTATAGGTGAGAGAGGAAGCAACCATCTACATGGACATTGAAGGCAGAGGAGAGCTACAGTATTTAAAAAAAAAAAAAGATGTAGTCATAAGTGCAACTACTTAATCTCGTATCTAATTGTACTTCTAATACATAGTTTTTTGCAATACATTTAATGGTGCTCTGCTAAGTGGATCTTGGCAAAGTATTTGTTTCATCCCCTACATTTCTCAGGTGGTCATCCCGAACTCCTTTCAAGCTGTCACGGAGAAAATTTTTGTTGGATTTATTTTACTCTTAACCATTGTACGATAACTGTTGTCATTTTATCTTATCAGTGTCGAAACACTTATCTTGATTGATATCTGAGGAGCCTCTCCTGGTCTTGCATCGAAGCAGTATAGCAGTGCTGAAGTATACACACCTTGCAAGCAGTAATGCACATTTAGTATATTCCGTTCACACCTAAACCGATGGTGCAGTGAAAGCCGCTCGTCGGACCAGTCGTACGTCGGTCTTTTGCTGCGCGATCACGCTCTTGCTCTCGCCCACAGGCAGAGAGTGGGAGCGGGTAAAAAAAGCAGTGATGGAAGTGATGCGCCATTTGTGCCAAATTGCACTGTGAACGAAAGTCTGGTGCATCATGCGCCAAAATGCCATTTTTGCTAAGATTTGTTTTACACCTGGTCCAAAATAGGCTTAAAGCAAAAAAAATAAAAAATTATGGTTTGGTTGACTTTAATATTCAGGGTATAGCAGAAGGAAAGAAAAATTGTGCAAATGTTAATTTTAGAGAGTCTCTACTCATTGTATAGTTTGTTTCGTCTCAGTTCAGAGCACAGTCAAAGGTTCGAACACATACAACCACCAACACACATGTAAAAGGCACAATTCAAGGGACATCCGCTGCACTTGATTGGTTTAGACAACGAAAGAACAAGTACAAGAAGATAGCTAATGTCATGATGTCGCGCTTTGATGCTGCGAATCAAGCGGCCAGAGCCGTCAATGCTGGCCACGAACCGCTCTGGCCGGTTGATGTCCTGGCTAGTTGATCGCCGATATCGTCTAAATTTCCTGACGATGTCGTCGATGTCAGGAGCTAAGAGTCTGGAGAAAACTTTGCAAAGTAGTAGGATTGCCGATTGCGGCTACTGTGATAATGCAGAACCAGGGTCATATGCCTGATAACTTGATTATCATGTCTGCCACATGCCCTCGTTCCGTGGCTGCAGAGTACCGTGACACCTGCGCCACTTGCATCAACCGTCGCCTCTCACCGAGGTGCATGCGTCGATCTTCACAGGTTTGCACCGGAGTGTTGGGAGCAGCGACTGACCTGGGGGAGCGCCTGGTTTAGTGCGATAGGCACGCAAATTATGCTCAGGGTTATTACAGGTCCAACCCCTTTGTCCTAATTGTAAGTTCATCTCTAATTTAAAAAAAAAAAGCGCCAAGAAATAGAGAAGAAAACAAGGGTCTATATCAGGGGTGGCCAAACCGCGGCTCGCGAGCCGCATGCGGCTCTTCGCAGGTCCAAGTGCGGCTCGCGGATCCCTCGTAAGGGGTCACCCCCCCCCCTTTCCGCGTTTCCACAAGGAGAAAAAAAGAATTTCAGAATAAAGCACACTGCAGCTTGCAGTTTGACAGCCTTGTACTCCCATACGTACAGTCTACAGTCTTGTGCCCCCATACGTACAGTCAGACTCTCAACAAAAGTTAAGTTTGCCCCCCCCCCCCCCCCCCCGCGGCTCTTAGAAGTTCCGTGGTTTCGATTGCGGCTCTTAGGCCAGGCCAGCCTGGCCACCCCTGGTCTATATATATATTTGAATGAATATGGAAGTCGCGGTAGTTTGTGTGCAGCTGTCGATCAAAAGAGAAACAAACTTTGACGTAACTCTGGTTCCTACGCCGCTAAGGAGCGATGTCGCCTTTAAAGCACAAGTGTAGGCTTTTATAATGTTTTGGCTGGTTGTCTTTGCAGTTTTATATTAGAGTCTTAAGTTTAGTATGTTCATTAAACTTATGGGACACATTTTTATTGGTAGACGGGTTAGTGGATATGCTGGTTCTTGCTGGCATTTTACAGAAATTCTATTTACAGGTTAAACAAACTGTCGAGTGTAAAGTAGAGAGGGGAGAGAGGATTTAATTCAATGAAGTGTTGCGCTACGATTCACCTTTCAACCATTTTTAATACTTATTGTAAATAAAACATACTCTGATTAGAGCCTTGCTTCAGAAAGCTGTGATCCTTTTATGCCCTATCTAGTTTTATCACAAACACTCTTAAGTAATATGCTCAAGTATAGAAGAGGAACCCTTGATCACTATCATAAACGGACTGATAGAGATGCAATCACTTTTTTATTTTTAAGTGATGTGCTAACAGATGTTGGCATCTACTCCAAAGGCATCAGTGGCTGCTCTTAACCAATATTTTGCTTGCTACGGAGCCTGTTACAAGAGGTTAAATGCCGCTTCCATCGCTGATAAAGGGAAGTGGTCGATTGTTTCGGCAAGCATGTAGCTTCCACTGGGGGCAAAGGGAGCATAGGGATTGTTTGGAAGAACTATTTACTTGGAAGCAGGCCCAAGGAACACATTCGGTTGCTTTCACCACCTCGACAATACCACAAGGTCATAGGACTTTCTTGTCTCATACCCTCGCATGTCGTAACCACTGCTCACGCATCATGAGCGGGTCGCTTCTATCATTGTTGTTCATCACCAATTATTTGTTGAAATTGCCGCAGAAAATATTAGAGTAGTACTGATTAGCGTGCATAAGGTGAGAAATCTTTTCCCTGTTCCCAAGATTCACTACACCTGTCTTTCAGTTTCTGGCCATCTTCCACAGCAAGCAGAAGGACAGGCACCTTTCTGCAATGCTGTGTCGAAACTACGAGCCCATTTTGTGGCGTGGACTCAAGGTAAAGAACGACCTTGTTTACTACTGGATCGAGAACGTCAGAAGGGGAGAAACAGAATGAGGAGTTTGATATGAGCTGGTCGAGCTGTCCTCTTTAAGCAGACCCACCTGCACCGCAAAGCATTCTGAGAACCGGCTGTAGAGAGAACCGGGTGACAGGGGCAAAATGGGCGAGGGTGCGAGATCAGGCGAGGAACAGCTCTGGCCTCTCTCTTTTCCCTCGCCCTTTCCAGTGTTGCATGATAGGTGCTGCGGCAGCAAAGACACTCCCTTGAGCTCGTTCGCTCGGTCTTGCCCTGTATAGCATCTGTGGTGCACGATAGGAGGAACTGCGTAGCACAAACCGCACACAGCGTGTACCTAGTTTTGTGCGAGACACGTTCTGCGCTTCCTGGTCTTCGTCAGCACAATCAAGCATGCGTACATATTTTATTCTTTCGGTGTCAGGCGCTGCATTACAGAGTGCGTGTAGCTGCTGCGAAGATTTTCTTCAACGTTTTCCCACTCCTGGAGAGTAGCCAGAAGTCCATGATGGAGGGGGAACTGAGGCGTGATTTTGGCTACATGCAGGTGAGAGCCCTTTGCCCCAAAACCCTGGTATCGTCTTCACTTACTGGCAATACTAGAGCGAGTCATAACTTTGGTGCATGGGTCCAACGAAGCATCTGCGTGAAAATGCCAGTTATGTTTCAGTTTCTTGCAGGCACTTTTTATGAGGCCAGGTGTCTCAGTAATCTCAAGGTAGACTTTTTTATCACCACATGTCTGAGTTGTAGCGGGATGCGGGGGAAATTGTGTGCTTTTGAGCAGTGAAGCTGATTCGCTACCTACTGCCTCGGGATCCTCATAGAACTGGCTGCGTTGTTTTGCACTGTTGAATTATCGCCTTCTACAGGGTGTCACAAAAGAAAATTTACAGGGTTTTTATTTCCACAAAAATAAACTAGGCATCGCCGAGCACTCATTCTCCACCCAAAGGTAGCGCTAGAGGTCACAACCAGATGTAAAAGTTTCAGCCCAATCCGATACCCTATTCAAAGGTTATAAGTGATTTCTTGAAAATTTCAGTGGGAAAATGGAGCCCATTTTCGCCTGTTTTCGGTTTCTGGTGCCCATAGAGCCCCATGTATTCGAAAACTTTGTCGGCCGCCATTTTCCCGTTGAAATTTTCAGAAAATCACATAACTTTTAAGTTATCGGATCGGGCTGAAACTTTGGCATCTGGTTGTAACCTCTAGCGCTACCTTTGGGTGGAGAATGAGTGCTCGGCGATGCCTAGTTTATTTTTGTGGAAATAAAAACCCTGTGAATTTTTTTTGTGACACCCTGTACATTGGTTGGTCAGACAGTAAAGGGAACACTTTGTTATCTGCAGACAACCTTTTCTAACTCTTTTCATGTGGATAGCTGAACAATTTAGAACAAACCACAACAGTAAGAAATAGACAAAGATACTACTGACTAGCAACTGTGCTCTAATAAAGGTTGTCTATAGACATAGTGTAATATCCTGAGTCATCGCCCACCCCACCTTTTCGGTCAATATCTATTTCCAAAAAGTCATTGCCCACCCCTTTAAATACCCCAACGCTGACTTTGTGATCTGCAAACTTCTTCTGCAAACGACTTTGAAGTCATATTGTATTTGTGCATGCAAAGAGAAAACAATGGCGATAACAGAATGAAAATTTGTTTTGCTTACAAAAATATTGCCCCGACGAAAAAGAAAAAAAAAGAAAAAAAGTCAGGAAGATAACACAAACACACAAGGTCAAAGTCTGTCTCCGCGGAAGTAAAGTTACCGGGAACCCATTTCTTCTCTTGGCACGTCATGACAATGGTTTTGCAATGTTTAAGACAAAGCCAACGGGTAAACGAAACTGCTGGAATGCCGCGCAGACGTTTGTAGTGTCCCATTTCGAGCTCCGTGTTTGTGGTGCCGTCCACGCCACGCAGCAACGCCGTTTTAAAAGGATAACTGCAGAGAAAAAAAAAATTTTCCTTTAAAAGCCGAATTGAGACGAGCATGTCGCAAAACAAATTTTCTGCAAAAAAAAGTTTTTTTAGCAATATTTACTCGGCAGGACATAATTTAGTCGGAGTCACAACCTCTCCACGTTTGAAACTCCCGCTGTTTCGACGTGCGCAAAGTGGCTGTTATACGTCACTCCGTGACGTATAACACCACTATGTGACGTATAATACCAACTTTGTGGCGCGCGATTTCAAACGGTCGAAATAGCCGCAAACTAAAATCAGTCTCGCACAATAAATATTGCTGTAAAAAATTCTGTTTTTGGCAGAAAAATTGTTTTGTGACATGCTTGTCCCAATTAGGCTGTTTAAAAATACGCTTTTTTCTTTGCAATTATCCTTTAACCCGCATTAATAGCACGGCGTGCACGAACCCACGCATTTATGCACCAAACCAGAAACGCCAAAGCATTTGCCAATGCGATCGCCGGCTTTCGTACTTTCCCAGCATCGCTCTTCGTCCATTCTTTGGTCTGCTCGCTCGCTCGCCCGTTGCATTTGCTTAAAGGGACACTGACAGGGTATTTATGCTCGCCGAGGTTTTTAGTTGTACGTGACATATGAGAGCTCAACTACCCAGAACAGAATCTGCGGCTCGAAATTCGGTTTCTTTCCGCCCGAAAACCGGCGATCAAGAACTGGCCGGTTCGAGTCTCGCTCACTCTCTTTTTCGCGGTCACGGGCCGTTTTCTAAGGTATCGATGCGACCACCAAATTTAATCAAAGTCGTGGGTCACTGAAGGCACACACTGAATATTAAAACCAGAAAAAAATATGAAACCCATTTTTTGTGGCTTCTAAAAAGCTGTAAATACTTTGTTTTAAAAAAAAAGTTCCACAGACAACCGGAAGCATTCTGTGCGTTCGTCGTTTCGCGTATCGTGGGACTCGCGGGGACGGCGATGGTAGCGAACGATGGGCGTGGGACCTCTATTTCAGAACTGTCGTTCGCGGTACCGGCGAATTCTGTCTACCGTTAAAAGAGAAATTTGGGACTGGTCAGAAATTGGTATTCATCCCGTACGACACGCCCGGCCACCAAGCCGATTTGCACGAAGACGTCGCCGAGCCGTCGCTCCCTTCTCGTGGCTGAAGACATCGCTCGCGCAAACGTCAAGCACGACGTGTCTACTTCGAGTTGAATATGCACGCGTACGATTTCTTTACTAGGTGCGAATGTCCCCAAAGCGTGGTGGCGTGGTGCTTCCCGACTTCGACCCGGGAGTGTTTTTGCTAGAGAAAAATCGACAGCAAACTTTCGAACTTACAGTTTACCGGCTGAATTATTACTAAGGAAAGAGTTCCACCAGAAAAGAGATGCTTCAGTAGCTCAGTGGGAAAGACGTCCGGTTTACACGCAATAGGACCGGGTTCGATCCCCCGTGAATTTTTTTTTTTTTTTTTTTCAAACATTTTTTGACGTTTACATATCTTTTTTTTTTTTTTTTTTTGTAATCATCACTGAAGAAACAAACAAAAAAATAACAAACAAATGTTGTGGACGATACTTCGCTGAATTAAATGGTATGGGATTTCCGTTTTGACACCTGCGAACTCAATGTAATCACTTTCCACAAAATGCAAGGAGCATATAAATCAGGTAGCGTCCGCTTTCCGAGGTGCCCGTATATGTTCTACAGGAATTGCAGCCAGCCATTGGTCCCGATCCCGTTGATCTTTCGGAAACTCTGTCGCACAATGCCACTTTTTTTCGGATGGAGGACATGTGAGCCAGCTCTTCACGCAACATCTTGGGTGTATTCTTTTCGAAGCCGATCATGGAAATTCACCACGGGCACTCACTACTCATCTCCAACTCCTCAATGTACAAAATAACTCATCTTGGAGTACAGAACAACGAACGGAACAAACATAACTGCAAAAGAATAGCACGGCGAGCAGTTCCCGCACGCCGCATGTCGTGTCGTCTGCTACGAAAAGAAAGAAAAAAAAAAAACAACGCACGGTCGGGTGTAGCCACGTGACTTCCGCCACTCACTCTCTTCTCTCCACTTCTCCGACCTCCGTCGGGTTTCGGTTTCGGTTTCGAGCAGTTGCGTCTTTTGGCTTTATTAAAAAAATACGCTACTCTGTTGCAAAATATTAATTGGGTAGTCCTCCGACACCATAATGAAGCGCCTGGCAAAAAATGAAAAAAAACTTTTGGGGGGTGTCAGTATCCCTTTAATGAAAAAACGGTTGAAGTGCAAGTGAGCTGGTGTAAGTTATACATGATGATTGAAAACCTGAGACTGTGGTTTGAAAAGCAGAAAATCGTGAGGTAGAAAGACAAAGGTACAAACAACGCCAGCGGCTGCTTAGTTTTTCTATTTTCTTGAGAACTTTTTAAAAAATGTTTAAACGAGGAGATTGTAGCGGTAACGTGCTTTCACAGAACAAACGTTCGCGCTGTATGCCAATTGGCGGTGTTCATGGCGCGTATGCAAGCAACGGTCTTCGCAGTAGTAAAACACTCTTTCATGAGCATTTTTTGTATAAAACAATAAAACTAATTTGAGTTTTGAGTTTAATGCATCTCTTCTGCAGCTGTGCTAGATACAAAAAAAAGGTGCTTTTTTTTGCTCAATTTGTTTTTTTTACTTTTTGTGCTCGCCCACTGAGACATGGCCGACCCCTTTTTTTTTAATGAATTTCAGGCGGCAGGGGGGTGGGTGATGACTCGGGATATTACGATAATGTTATTACTGAACATGTGACCCAACATCCACTGTCTTTCAAATCATCAATCTGTAACACACCTTTCCTCTCATTTGAGTTTTGGTCTAAATTGTTCAGGTGTCCACACCTTCAACCAACTAGCTCAACTTAAGCTAGTAAGGTTTTTCCTGAATTTTTTACTAGTTTTGAGCGCCTGTGTACAGTTGGCACTAAAAAAGACTAGCACGAGCGATCGACAATCTGAGCGAGGAAATGGCCACATGTGGTGTCGCGAAGACTGAGTAGAGCCGTCGGGCAAAGAGCCACTGCCCGGCCGTTTGCACCTTTCCTGCTGTATTTGCTTGACTGCAGCGCCACCTGTTTTGCTGGCTGGCAATGGCTTGTTTGTGCTAACCTTTTTAGTGCTTACTGTACATTGCTTGTAGATTGTTTAGAAGGCAATGACACATGCAGTATGGGGTATAAATTCATATGTGATATATATACCGTTAACAAATCTTATAAAAGAAGAATCTAGACTTGAGCATAAACATTCACAAAGGCACATTTGGGCATTTCTACAAAATTCTAGGCTAAAAAGAACCATAATTTAGAAGGTTGTTTGGCAATACTATAGAGAGACTATCTTAAAACAGTATCAAAACCCTCTCGCTTGTGGTTTGGGATCGAGCTTGTTTAATGAAAGGATTTGAACTACTATCGTCAGAACCCTGCCATTCTTCCCGGCTTCGAGATAAGATCTCCCATTCAAATCGGAAGCCTATTTTGTGCAATATGCACATCTACATTAAAAAAAAAAATATATGTATATATATATATACAGTAAACTTTCATTAATTCAACCTCGACGGGACCTTGAAATTTGGTCGAATTATCCGAATGATTGAATTAAAAAAAGGACAGAAAGACGGTTAAAATTAAACTTCCTTCTATTGTTCAAAGCACTCGCGGATGGTCTGCTGCCGTGTGCGCTTAAAACGCGTGTCCAAAAGCATGCTCTGGAGACCAGCATAACTAAACGTCACATCCTCAAAATATTACGTACAAAAAAACAAAAAAAAGACAAACAAAGTAAGTTTTACGAGCCGAGTTTGGCACCGAGCAGAAAGACCGTGGCAACAAAGAAAAATAACAAAAAAAAAAAGGAAAAGAGAATTTGCGCTTTCCAACGTGCAAGATGGACCGCACACGATGCTACAGAAAAGCGCTTTGAGGGCGCGCGCTGTCCTTGTGCCCGACCACGTGCTATGTTCTCCGCACTACTCCACGCCAGATTGGTAGCGCTGGCTCATGTCATTTGCTACGCTCCATCTCAACGGCGTAGAGGAGCAGGCGCATGTTTGCGCACGTTCGGTTTTGCAGCAAAGGGCCCGTGTTTCGCCGTACGTTGGTGGTTTTTCTGCCGTGGTGCCGTGCAATATGAGCCTGCGCGCATTCGCTCGGGACGAATTATCCGATGCGGAGTCGTCCCGAGTTTGAACTATCGAACTTTTCTTCCCATAGAAATGTATGGGCGTTCGCCGGGACTTTTGAACAGGATCGAATTAAACAAAAAGTCTAATTAACCGAAGTCAAACTAACGAAAGTTTACTGTATATATATATACATATATATATTTTAAGAAAAGAAAGGTGTGACTATCCCACTGCCCGAGGCCGACAGAAGCTGCCCATTTGAGAAAGTGCATACGGTGTCATCTGCAAAAAAGGGCAACGCCTTGACACATTGTGGTGCAACTGTCAATGTCAAAGTGAATGGTGGTGATAGCACCTCTTTCCCATTTCACAGGGCGAAGTGAAATTTGAAATACTGTGGTTTAATACACGTCAGGCTTTCTGTGGAACCAAGAGGTCTTATGATGGGGGGCCTTTCCAATAGATGGTGTCCTTTCATTTCAGTGCCTTCTGAAAGATCCATCTCCTGCTGTGAGGGTTGTGGCTGTCACTGGTGTCACCCGTTGCCTTTCCCACTTTTATGAGCTCTTCCCCAAGCGTGTGAGTTCATTTGCTTATATAAAGGCATAGTGCACTTGTGCTAAATGTAAATGTGGTTGTGTGAGATTCATTAGTTTTGAGCTGACAGCATCGTTCAGTGTCTGCTGCAGATACAGGTTACATATGCAGGAGATGTGGTGAATGGAGTAGGAGGAGACTAGAAAATATGAGAATACAAAAGATTAGCTTGTGGAGCTTGAAGTTACCACATTATACCCTTGGACAACTTTTTGCGGCTATGCAGTGAGAGCTGTGGGTGCACGTACACTTGTGCACCTTGAGTGCCCATCAAAGCTGTGCCCGCGAGTGTAAAGTGATTACTGTGGTTGAGTGTAACTGCAGTTTTAAGGGCGCCTGTGTAACTAAAGGATAAGACGTCCTTTCTCGGTTTAGAAGCGCTAGTTTCTTAAAAGCTAAACTGTGCTCATTACTCACATTCAGACTGCAAAAGTCTGGTATCGAGTTCTTTTGTAAGGTCTGCTGAACAGAAGGTAAATGTGTACTTACATTCGTGCTTGCTGCTATATTTATAAGGCCAAGTAGACTTAGGAACACTCAGCACTGCAAAAACCTTAGACCAAGAAATAAAAAGAATGGACAACGCAAAAACTGTTGCCCGCTCAGCTGCAGCGTTCAGGGTCTACATTTAAAGAAGGTTCCACTCGACCTTAAGAGCCTTTCTGCCAATGCCACTGTAAGATGCTTAGTCGCACGGTTTGCGCTGGCACGACGTAAAGGGCTCGACATGCGTGCGGCAAAACGTCCTGACGGGTTGCACCACGAGTCAGAAGGACAGCTGAGTCGTGACTGAGATTTTCGGTGTGAAAAGCAGTGAGAATTTTGACCTCCGCGTTGCACGAAGCATCTCTCCAACTCTTTCTTTCGTGCAAGTTCAAACCGAAGCAATTTTGGAATTGCGACTCTCGGTGCTTCACACTCTGGGGGTCTTGGACGACGTTTTGTCGTACATGCGTTTGGTGCTTTGCTGTGTTTGCCTCTTACCTCGTAATATTTTTTTGGGAACCGGAAAACTGATAACGGTGACTGCTTATCTTATATGTTCCGACATCCCACCACACAACATACTTGGCGCGACAATGTTGGAACTGCTTTAGCGCTGGTAGCATGGAAATAGAAACAAGAGGAAGCGACATATCGGCTCAAGCCAGCCAAGCTAGAGAAATGAAGCCGGAAGTAAAGGTTGTGGTCAGTGGGAATGCCCCCAAAGTTTGACCAAAACAGGTGCCAAATCCTTTCCGTCCATAGCGTCTTGGTTTTCTTTGTTTTTGGTCATCGTTAGGCCGGGTTCTTCCAAACCGGACGTCTCCCATGGCTTCACCTCTGGGGGTGTCATGTCGCCTCCAGAAGTTTCCTACCTCCATGGCTGGTGGCTACACAGGCGTTCCCCATGGTTCCTATTGGCAGTGAAAACGTGCGATCACAAAAGAAACCGGCAAAGAAGGAGATAAATGTGTAGGCAGGCGGCAAGGTAGGGGGCAAGGAAGTGGGAGTAGCTGCGTTGTGCATGGTGTGTGAGCGTGGCAACATGAATAAGCCTAGATTGAGAGAGCGTTCAAATATGGTGATTACAGCCATGGGGTTCACAGACATCGGGTTGCAACTACCGTAGAATACCGCATATCCACCCATTTCCACACAAAGCGCCCAATCCCAGATTTGTAAGATCTGAAAAAATATGCATAGTACATTTATATGTAAAACTGATGACCGGACAAGCGTCCATCCCCCATTTTTTCGCGATGATCTCCAAATTTTGAGTGGGCGCTTGCCCAGTATTTTACGGTACTATGGGCAGAGTTGCCTGGGCGTCGGATGCATTATAAAATTCTCGTTATTACTAGAGCTCTAAAAATTGCAAAACTTGGTGTGCATACTGCTACTAAGTGACCTATGAGCATTTTATATTGAGAGTAATGGACCTGTTTTTCATGTCCTGACCCCTTTCAATGCACATACAAGCGTTTTAGTTCACCGCATGAAGGGGGAAGTTCGTAGTGCTGCTGGATGAGCCAAACTTTTTTTACTGCCGTTCTTGTGGTGAAAACGAGCACAGGCTGAATACACTTCCACTTCCAGGAAAAGCAAGAGCTCGGATGGATCCTGATTAAAAAGAATGCCAAAGATGCCACCTCTGTAGAATCTAGAGTCAAAGTGAATGAGGTGAGTTTCGCACTGTCACCAGGTGCTGCCTTTGTTTGAGCAGTATTCAATTACTCTTAACTTAGTATGGTGCACATTCACTGTTACCTGGATTCTACTAATTTAAGCTTAATCCTTCAGTTAATGCACCTCTTTATTTGTCCCACTCTGTTGTCTATTATTTTGGGAGGAACGATCAGTCAAGTTCTTAAATTAGGCTTCGTTCTGAGTTCATCGAGATAGAGGGTGTAAGCGTCCTTATTTTACAGGGTCTTGCATACATGGTGCGGAACGTGAACACTCACTCGCTGCTGCGAGCGCTCATCGCAGAAAATAAGGATGCAATAAATGACTCTACATCAGTGAAAAAGTCCTACATTTCTCTTCTACTCAAGTCACGAAGCATCGCGGGCTTCAAGGTGAGCTGTCTTGCCCAATTGTGCTAGACCTTGTTTCTAAAAAAAAAAAAGCTTGTGCATTCTTTTTGCGACTTTTTTGTGACTAATATGTAAGAAAACTTTCGTTAGTTCGACCTCGGTTAATTTGACTTTTTGTTTAATTCGATCGTGTTCAAAAGTCCCGGCGAGCGCCCATACATTTCTATGGGAGGAAAAGTGATAGTTCGAACTCAGGAAGACTCCGCGTCGGATAATTTGTCCCAAGCGAATGCACGCGGGCTCACATTGCACGGCAACACGGCAGAAAAACCACCAACGTTTGGCGAAACATGGGCCCTTTGCTGCAAAGCCGTACGTACGCAAATATGCGCCTGCTCCTCTACGCCGTTGAGATGGACCGTCGCGAATGACACGTGCCAGCGCAACCGATCTGGCATGGAGTAGCGCGGAGAACATAGCTCCTGGTCGGGCGCGGAGACAGCACACGCTCTCAAAGCACTTTCTGTAGCATCGTGTGCGATCCATCTTGCATGCCGGATAGCGCGTTTTTTTTTTCTTTTGTTGTTATTTTTCCTTGTCGCCAAGCTGCCCGACACCAAAGCCAACTCGTAAAACTTTATTATTATTATTTTTTTTTTAGTGCGCAATTTTTTGGGGACGTGACGTTTAGTTACGCTGCTCTCCGGAGCATGCTTTTTGCCATGCGTTTTAAGTCCAGGCGGCAGCAGACCATCCGCGAGTAGTTTGAAAAATAAAAGGAAGTTTAATTTTAACCGTTTTTCTGTCTTTTTTTTTTTAATTCAATCATTCGGATAATTCTACCGAATTTCAAGGTCCTGTCGAGGTCGAATTAACGAAAGTTTACTGTATTGTTACGAAAGGTGATAAGTAATATGTTTCTACCCATGGGGACACATGGGCCTAACTCAGTTTATATAAATCCCCAAAATTGTGCAGTAATTTATCATCAAAGTGTCGCTAGGTGATGCATTTGTTTTGTAAAAATGTCGAAGGACAAACTTTGCCGCACTCGGAAGTTACGAATAAAAGCCAAGATTTTCGTGCGACTCTGTACATTACATCTTTTCCGGTCAAAGTGAGAAAATGTCTTTTGCAAGACATTGGGACATTTGATTTATCAAAAAGAGAGGAAAGAAGATTGCTTTTACTTTGCTCATTTCCCCTCTTTTGTGCAATGAATGCCCAAATGACCCACAAGTATGTTGTTTAACACACAATGTGTTATATTGCTGGCACCTAACCTTTCTGGACCTCACTCCAGTTACGGAAGCAGAAAACGTGAGTGCCAGCTGAACCCTGGCATGGCGCTCATCTCCTCACTGATTGGATGCGAGTGCCAGCCGCACATCTTGATCTATTAGATGGACTTGCTCCCGCGGGTCGCGTCGTGTGATAAAACATAGAAATGCCAGTGACGCGCTTTGCTCCTAGCACTCACCAAACGAGCGAGCTCTCGAAGCTTTCAGAGCTCTTACCGAGCGCGCACTCTTTTCTTTGTTTCTTTTTTTCCCTTCGGTGCACTTTCTAGATAGGGCTACTCACGAGGAAGCTGCAGCACACCTCAAAACTCTGGCTTTTTTCATTCAGGTATCCTTCGGTGCTGCGATCACACCTAGTTTGACACAGCATCACATTCTGTTTTCACTGCCTTTGCCACAATGGCGGAGGACTTTATATTGAACCATATGAAAATTTTGGGTTGAATTTGTAACATCTAAGTGAGGCTTTTTTTTTTATGTTTCTGTCTTGCATGTTTTGTGGTCCTTCAATAGGCTTTAGGTACACATGTTTTGATGGTTGAGTGTTCTATCGTGCTGTTTCATTTGGTGCACATCTCTTTGGAAGTGTTTTGTAAACTTTCTAGCGGAGATTAACCAACAGTTTTGTGTCATTGCCCTCTGCAGTCTTTGGGTTTATACAGTCTAAATTGGTTATAACATACCTTGATAGTGACAAATATTTCAGTCTGTTGTAAAAGGAGTATGCTGCACGCAGATACAAAGTTGAACCAATGGCACAGGTAGGAAAACTAACCGAACTTCAGAAAGCAGTATGTTATATCCAAATTTATGTTGTAACCAGGCCTGTTGTAACAAGTTTATACTGTAGTCGCTGACAGAGTGAGAACAGCGGAGCGCGTCTTTTGAACGTCCGGCATGCACTTCGTGTCTCCGGTCGTGCTTTGGCTGCGAGCGCGCTTCAGCGTCACGAGACGCTGAAGTGTTGTTGAAGGTAGAAAGCTCGGGCTGGGGGCGGGACTACTGAAGCTCTCCCCTTCCATGCTCACCTTGTCAGGAGCTATAGAGTCAACATAGAGTGCGGGTTGTGACCACAGGTTCATTCTGGTGTGCAGTTCTGGGAGGTGGTTCCTCTCCCTGACCTCCTGCGCATCATGTCGGAGTCCGAGACTGGGACTGCGGTCAAAGTGGCCCTGCTGCTGAGGAACAGCTACTTCAACCCAGAGGCGCCCGTTGAGCAGCACTTGGAACGCTGCATTTTTCTGGCTAGAAGCAGTCAGGCTGCCTTCCAGATATTCTACCGCATGCTCCACAAGATTGCTCCCCTCGAAAAGATCGGTGAGCTGCCCGTGTTGGATCATGTGGTCCTCCAAGGTTAATGGAATGACCGCAAGTCTGCCCGCTTCGGGTGTTGCCGCCAGACTATGGTGTGCGTGCTTGCAGTCAGAAATATGTGCTTGTGTGGAGCACAGTTTTGCTTCCAAACAGTGCAAGAGGTGGTTTTCTGGACTGAAGATATCGATGTCTATCAGATCGCCTGCATACTCGTTACTGCGTCTGCTTGTTAGCTGTCTTCTTTTGGGTTACGACCACTAGGAGTGGGGAAGACTGCACAATTTACACCGGGTTCCCAGCTTCTACCCTGACTTTTTGTTTCAGCAGATTCTGGTCCCAGTGACTCTTCTGTTGGAAGTGTCATGTTCGAAGGAAGCCCTTTCAGGTTTGTTCTTCTTTCCTTTTTGATTTCAGTGGCATTCCTGACAGCTGTGTGTAAGGTTCTGCTGAGGAACCATGCTCTGAAAGTAAAGGCAGTGGGGAAGGAGAATGTGCTTCCAGATGAAGACGAAGATGTCTCGGACACCAACAGTTCAAGACCCGTACAGTGCCTGGAGAAAGACACCGTTCAGAGTCTAGCTGAGGTCCTGGCTGTCACCTACAGCACCATCCGCAACAAGAAGGAACTGATCAGAAATGTAAGCAGGCAGTTGTTTATATCTTACCTAGCATCAATTAGGGATCTAATTGGTGTCTTCAATCAATCTATACTTTTTGTTTGCACCTTTGGCATGTGCAAATACATATCTGAATTTTAGAGTATGGTTTGATTAAGAACAGTGCAGAAAAGTGACTGAAGTCTGAATTGAATACTGAGAGAGAAAGAGAGATATTGTGGAAAGTTTGGTATTGAATACTGAATATGCACATATAATTTGATCAAGTATCTAAAGTTGGTACTCAACATTACAGTCGAGCCCGATTAAATCACACTCGGGTATTTGTAATTGTTTATATCAAACAGTCTGAACATAACTCCCATGGCAGGAACACTCGATATAGTGAACGAAGCCCGGCCGCCCGTTGCTTTTTCGGTGATCCGATTGCACCGGTGGCCAGGACATCACTTGCGTTGCGTGGCTGGCAGGTAGCCAAGCCAGCATCCATCCATCCGGGACAATACTCAGCGCAGCAAAAGAACAGTTGTGGGAAAGGAGAGACAGTGAACCGTAAAAAATAAAAGTGGAGGATGGTCAAAGCAAGGGGAAGGGCACACATGCTCGCGTAGGGAGAGCAGGGAGTGCTTGCAGTTGGAACGGAAGCGTGCGCCCTTTCCCTGAACACTGCTGACGCTGCGCGACCTTCTAGCTCCAAAATAAAATATGCAAAAAAAGTCTTCGGCAAGTTAAATGTGGACAACAACGGTTGTGCAATCGCACTTCGAACGCCTTATATGTACTAGATTACCTTTTTCTTTTGCCGTTATCGCTTTGCCCGTTTCTTTTTTTTTTTCCTTTTCTTTTTTTTTTTTGGGCTGCCTAAATTTAGTGAGCTTTCTTTTTTGTTGCTTGCTTAACTTTTTTTCTTTGGATCAAGGTACTTCTTTATGCATCTCGCTTTTCCATTTTCGTTTAATTTTTTTTTATTTTCGTTTATGCTGTGTGAAAGTTCCGGCCAGGTTCGTGTGTAAGCACAGCGGTGTTTGCAGTCTCCGCCAACTACGCTCTACTGTATTGCTCTACTTTATTTAGCGACTCTTGGATGCTCTATTTGGTAAGCTCCCGTTTGTCGGGATCTTCAGTATTAGCAGAGACGTTAGGAAATTTCAACTTGAGCGTAATTTAACATACTTTTATATATCAAATTATTGATATAGCAAACTATTTTACGATTCCCTTCGAATTTATATATCCAGGTTTGATTAATTCAAGCTTTTTTTTCTTGTGGTCTGTTTTTGTATTAGTGAAACCTGGCAGGTTACACAAGAAGACACAAATTGTGATGCGGCACTTCACACAAAAAGCCAGTGTGAGATAAACACAGCAGTGTAACTTTGTGCGGCAAAATGTGCATCACCTTGGCTCTCGCCGCAGTCCCTGTGCAAGACACGACATCGACGAAGCTGTTTATGGCTAGGGTTTTATGGATTTTTCGTGTGCAGTGACTAAAAACTTTACGCTCGCACCGCCGCACGCGCACGCCTTCCCCGTATAAAACATTAAAAGTAAATAACCAAAATAGAGCGTTGAACCATGCGCGTGGAACATGCTATTGGTTTTAGACTTTTGCTTTAGAACAGTTATTGCTGCAGATGCCGGCACGGGCGGCGCGTGGAACATCGTTTCCTGCATTCTCCTTGATGCTTGGGTAATTTAGCAGTTGGTCTATTCCGTAGATTAGTTATCAATAGGCACCACTTTCAAGACCAGTAGACTTTCAGGTAGATAATAAAGGTTCCTCAAAGATTTGCCGCTGTGCGACCCGCATCGGCCATGTCTACGCTCGCACCGCCCTCTCTTTGTCGTCGTTTTAAGCGCTTGCATGACTAGTTTCCTTTCCTTCCGCTCTCCCGGGGTGGCGGTCCCGTCGCACATGTCTACTTTCTGCCGGGTGTGGTCCTGTCGTGCGTGTCTAGTTTCCTCCAGCTCCTCGAGGCGGGTCATTGTCGTGTGCTAAACAGCTTCACTGGTCGTCCACCTTCAGAGAGTGGAATGGCTCATGATTTTTTTCTGTGTGGGTGCTTGTGTGTGTGTACGCATTAGTGAAGTCTGGATACTCCTGTTCAGTGCCTTCGACTGCCTTGTGCTCCAATAAAATTATGTTGAAAATTGTTGCAGGCCAAGCTGAAGGACTCGTGGAAGGTGCTCGTCGGGAGCATGTCAAAGGTTGCTTGCGTCACGTTTGGAGAGTGTGAGGTAAGTGCACAAAAATTGAGGGCAAAGGGAACAAGTGTTGTCTAACAAATTGACGTGCAGACCAGGGTCTCAGTGTTTCAAGATTTACTTGCTCCATCTTCATCGAAACCATAGCATATCGGGAAGGAAATAAAAACATCTCTTTCAATTTGCATGATTTCATGAGGCTGGCCAAAAGCTTGAGACTGACGCAGATTAGGCGTCCCTGTGGAGTGCATATTTTCTTGGTTGTGGTTTTTGTTGCACCTTCAGACTTCCTTATATTCAATTTTGTCATCATTATTGGCAATTCACTGCATTTTTAACAATGCTCTGTGTTATTGAGGAATGCTTGTTGCTATGAAAACAGGAATATACATTTTGTTGCAAGGTGCCGTCCACCTGCATAGACACCTACCGTATTCACTTGAGAATAGGTCAAACCCTATGAACAATGCCTGGCCTTTTCTTTCTCTGCAACGCTCAGCAAGAGCCAATTATGGAAGAGGATTGGCGAATGACGACGCACCAATAGCGTCAGAAAGCAGAAATGAGATTGTGTGGATCGCATTTCTTTTTATTCCAAACATTATCTCTGCTTCTCCACTCACCGGCTCCTTTCGTAAGTCTTAACGATTTGTCTTCTTAGGCATTGCGGTAAAGTAGACATACATGTCTATTCATAAAAAGGTCAACCTATTTTCAAATAAATATGGTACTGCACTTGACACACTGGCCAACATTCCAGGCACCATAAATCCATTATCTATAAACCACAACACATGAGTGTACCTGTTCACCAAAGGGGTTTTCATCGACTTTCCATTGACTAGGGGCCTAGGTCCTCAGTGCATCAATTTGGCTCCCTACATGGAGTCAGAAGTTTGTTTTCAGCATTCACGACAAATAGTGCAGCCCTTGTTGGCTTCTGCCACAGGAATCTTTGGTGTATCGCTCGTAGCACAATGATTCCTTTTGACGTAAGATTCGCAACATGTTTTTAAATGCACAAATGTCTCCTTTGTTCAGGAGCTCCAGTCCAAACTGTCTGCGCTGTCCGTGGCAAGCCTCGTTTCGTTCGAGTCATCGTCGTCGCTGTCCAGCCGCTGCTTCTCGCTGCTGCGCACCATGCTGAACTGCACCGGAGATGCTCCAGTGCTCACCGTGGAGGCCAAGTCTTGCCTTGTTTTCCTGTGCAACATGAAGCGGTCTGCCGACGTGCTCTCGCGTGTCGCAGAGTCCCTGAACGAACTGCAGGTCAGTTTCACTGTACGTCTAACTAGCCCAAAGTCCAGCTTTATAAGTGGTGCATTTCGGAGTGCAATTTGTAGGTAATTCAGCACCATGCACAAGTTGACCCCTCTACTGCCAAAGACGAGCCCGATTTGCCTGGCACTGCATGTGTTGGTAACAAGCCTGAGATAGCTTTGAGTAAAAGGTAGTTTCTTATGTTTCATTTCACCTTGCAGTGGTAGTGGGGCTACAAAAATCTAGCACACCTCAGCTGCATGAGTGAGAGAATGTACCTGAGCTATATTTGCACCCCTCGTTCCAGTATACTGCTCTTTTATGAAAACAGCAGTCCTGCCGTCACGCGTACATGGCGAAGTCTTATTTTTTTAGCTATCTGCTTGCACTCATAGTCATCTGTGACATACGGAGTAGCATATGCAACCTAGCTAGACTGTTCTTTTTACTGCACTTGAACTTTTTATGATAGTGAATGCATTGAGTTGCATTCCTATGTAAAAAGGGTATGTCACTTTGACAACCCCGAAATATAGGCAAGATCCAGCGAATATTGGGGGTGCTAAAGAAATCTAATGTGGCAGTTGAAAGGGTGATATAATATTACTGTAGGCATAATGGTTCAGTGGTAACAGTGCATTTTCTTGGCACAAAAATATTGTGACAACTTATTTTTAAGATCAAATTTTTTTAATACACTTTGGCAGCCAATCAAGCGTCTGAACACGCCAACTGGATAACAGGTCGCGTACCGGTATGGTATGTGCTACATGGTGTAAAATAACAAGCATTCACTCCTGTCATGCTAAGCACCCACCTGCAACTTTTGAAGTCTTCGAAAAATAAGTAAAGAGCATACCAACCACTGACCCTAGACTTCAGAGTCTACCTTGCTAACCAAGACGCTCCTTCGCATCAGCCACTTTTCCGAGCATGCCCATGCAAAGCGATAAAGCTCAGCTCGTGCATCGGTGCAGATTAGCGAAACCCCAGGTGCCCCTTCTGCATTTTTGCTCATGGGCCTGCGTAGTATTGCTTGTCTGCGTTGCACAGGTGCTCGGTGAGAAGCACACTCAACAAGGCGAACCCTTTGCGATTAACACTTCTATTAGTATGAATATTGCAATTCACCTCTAAACGAATACCGAATAACATATTACTCTAAACTACTATTCGAAAATTCAAATATTTGCGCAACACTGCTAAACTCGTATCCAATCCGGTGGCACTTGCCCAACCATATCATCGCGTGAATTTGTAATGTTTTCCTCAATGGCAAGTGGTATAATTTCAAGTCATTAAGAAGTTCATTGTGCGATCAGTACTGGGCAAACTCGAGACATCTGTACGGCAAGAATTTGTTCAGTAGCCACTTCAGCAATTACATTTTTGTATTCATCCTACATTATTAAGAAACAAGCAGACCAATTGAAACCATCAACCACTAATTCTTCTTTTTCTGCGCTTCTATACTTTACTGCTTATCACATCGTCATCTTTGCTTTATACCTATTAATTTTCCGTGTGTCTTGGTTGAACTTTTGGAACACAGGTGCAACCAGGTAGTCTCTCCAGAATATTAAGAATGTGGAATACATACAGGAACGAAGACAAACTCGTAGGATTGCACAAAATTTAAGTAGTAGTTTCAAATAGCACAATATTCTATATCCGCTTCAAAATGAATTGCGATATTCATATTTTTCGAAGTGATGATCAGGGCAAGTTGACCCCGTTGAGTTTGCTTCTTGCCGAGCATTGGTGTACTGCAGAGAAGCGACACTTGTGGAGCTAGCCTCGGCAGTTGTCACTTCTCCACAGTGCACCGGTGCTCAAACACCTACACATTCATGCTCTCAATTTCCTGGAGCTCTATGCCAGCACACCCATTAGACTCTCCGGGTCGTCTTGAAGTAGCTTTTGAGCTGCAGTTGTCTACTGTTTCCATGGAGCTAAGTTTGGGCAAGGGCGCTGTCCATTTCCTTACAGGAGGCCACCCCCCGGAAAAGACGGCGGGTGCGCTTTGTGGTGGAGAAGCCCTTCACTGCAGGGACGGGCCTTGAGGTCCTGCGTTACCTGCTCTGCACTCCGCACCTCCAAGACCTGCTTCTTACCAAGCACTTGTTACCGCTCTTCAACATCTGGAGCGTCCTCTTTCGCTGTGCGGTGAGTAGCCAGTCTGGACCAAACTTCCGGGGACAGTCCATATTCTTTGGTGAAATGCAGAAGTGATGTAATGACTGTTTGAGACGGTTTTGCACATGTTATTGCTTTGGTCACGTCTCGAACAGTATCCATACGCCCGTGTTCCTTCTTTGAAAACCCACTTTAGTGGCTTCCAGGTGAAGTGCCAGCCCGCGGACCCCAATTGTCCACTTGTTTGTGCCTTTAAAAAGTTTGAATTTTGCTGCACCTACTTTTGCAGCCCCATCAGTTTGTTAAGAACAGTGTTCTTTCCAGTTTCCGGAATTGACCAGACTGCCTAATTGGATTACCGTAATATCCCGAGAGATAGCCCACCTAAAATCGAGAGAAAATTGGATGAAAATAAGGAGGGGACTAACTTTCGGTGGGCGATCAAGAAAAGTCTTAAAAAATGCTACATTAAGATCATGTTTCCCTGCCAAACTTGTTATCTCGGTGGGGCAATAAAGCAAAGATGACAGTACTTACCAGTCAACAATGTTTGCTTCTATCCCGCCATAGCTAACTATGAAATGCTGGAGAGGGGTGGAGGAAACTCCCTCCAGGGGAAACCGCCTCCTCTGCCCAATGTTGCCTCTGCTTCCTCCTCCTCAGCCTTCCTTGTCCTCGAAATCTTTCCTTAACCTGTAACTGACTATAGACGCTTTTACACCGAGGTCATCATTGATCCCAACACTGCGATTACTAGGAGTGGGCTATTTTTCGGTATTTAAAACAAAATAGCAAATCAAGCTAACAATAATGATGGGTTACCTTTTTGGGGGGTGGGGCATCTCTCGGGATTTTACGGTAAGCTCGCCAGGAATAATCATCGAAGGTCCTTCATCTCTGCCAATTTACTGCCCGCAAAACATTGAGCTCTCGAAACTGAAGTAGTTGACTCTAGGTCAGTCCTCCTTTGCCCACGGGGGAACTGCATTGCTTGCACCGGCCATTTTGAGCTGTCTGCTTCATTCCACTCCATTTTGCCACTCAGGAGTCCCTCAAGCGGCAGCTCTGCCACGCCACCAGTTCTTCAACGTCTGTGCTGGTGAACTCTTACGAGCTGTTCCTGCTTCTCACAGCCATCCTGCAAGGCCAAATCAACCCGGTGCGTCTCACCATAAATATCCTTGCACTTTGTGCAATATTTTTTTTTTTTTTTTAATTTCCACACAGGTTTAGAGGGACGGAACTTTACCAATCTTCTAAATGCGTTATCATCTTATGCCTGTTGCATGCTCCTGGCTTTAGTTTGGACGGTCGTGGTTTGAACTCGACTTGTTTTGTGAGGCCACAGTGCGGTTCCTGCCATGCTCTTTTAGTCTGTTTGTTTGCTCCTTACATCCACTTTCCCTGTTACGCAAGGATGAAAGAGTCTTGCACGCTTCCAGTGACGCACCGCTGTTGACACACACTCCTCTTACGATAGCACTGGGCCTTAGGCACATGGTTTCATTTCCCCAGTACGCAGAACGTAAGCGACAATGTAAAACCGAAGCTCAGTGGCGACGCACTTTGCATGAAACCGCCGACACTAAAGAGGGGAAATCAACTTTTAGAAGACAAAGCGGATTGTAGGCAGCGATCAAGGAAGCTGTGGTGGCTGCATCCTAAACCGCCGACGCCCGGGAGATCAGACTGGCTTGAACGTTACATCAAAAGAATTCGTTTTCGCGGAGTGATTCAATTTTTATTTCTGGTCCTCGCCATTTTTCTTTTTTTTTTTGCTGAAAAAGTTATTTTTGCAGCAGCCCGGTCTCATTGGTTGGGCAGTGGAACTTGTTTCCTAGCAATTACAACAAGTTTGACTTGTTCCCTAGTGATTGCAAGTTTGATGGTCTGGGCTGCTTTTTTCTGGACTACCTACTCAAGCCTGCCACTGATGTCACATCACTGGAAAGTGCTAGAAAATTTTAATCTTGATTTTTGCATCGCTTTCATTTACCGTTTTCTCAGTGGCTATTCTGAATTTAACAATTTTCATCTCATTCCAGTAGTGTAAAGTTGTTGTAGTAATCAGGAAATGTAGTTAATTTGGGTAGCTGAATAAATCGGTGGAGTAGCCCTTCGAAGAGCTGTAATACTGTTGAAATTTGGGCTAGTAGGTGAAGCATGTTTACGGGTAAAACGTGCGAACAAGGACACAGGACAGAGAAGATGCACACAGACGGAGCCCTTCGAGGAAATTTGCTTAGAAATTTATTCACCGCCAGGGTGTCGAACCGGAACCGAATCGAACCGAAAACCGGAACAGAACCGTTATTTTTAGCCGAACCGGAACTGAACCGAACCGAAATCTTTGCCGCCATCTTGGAACTGAACCGGAAAAAAATATAACGGTAACTGGTTCAAAACGGTTCACGGTATTCTTTTTGTTAGTATTACAAATTTTATATTTGGGAATAAAAAAGTGGCACGTGTATTCCTCTACGTATTGATCAAATCGTCATATATACAGAATTGCAATGTATAATAAATTCTGGGTTTTTGCGGCACTTTCTTATTGGCACTATGATTAGGCATGTGTCACATCGTCACGTGACGTCATGAGGTCAAGACATGCTGTAAAGTAATGTCACATCACGTGACCCCGTGACGTCACGTGACTCACCGCGTTAAGTCAATTCAAATTGAGGACGTCGCTATATCTATTAACGTTGTTGATACCGTGACGTCACATGACATCACAACTTCGCACTGAGTCACGTGACACCATGATATACCCGATTGTCATGATTCCGAGTCTAATGCTCTGGTTCATGACAACCAGCATCGCCAAACATTCGGGTTACGGCTCGTGTTCAACTCAAAGATTATGATGGGCCCGAGTCCCACTAGAGCTAGAAACAGAAAAAAACGACAGCGACAAGCCTCAGACACATGCAGCATGCTCGCGATGGTACGTTTATATGGCTTTGAGTTGTTCGGTGCTCGTAAAGTTAGCACGAGTGTTTACAAGCCTGCAAATGGTACCCTCGTGTGCATGATGCTCGTGTTTGAGCATAGCCTTCTTTATTCTCAAAGCCTGTCAAATCGCGAAATACTCTGGTTTAAGGCTTGCCGCTGTCGTTTGTTTCTGTTTGTCGCTTTAGTAGGGCTCGGGCATTATAGCCCAACTACAACTATATCTGAAGATCAGCCCAAGCTCTATGCTTTGCCAACCCTCCGTATGACTATGATAAACACTGACGGTGTATATATTAGGATCAGATCACGTGGCTGATAGTTCTAATTGCGAGTTGAGGAGGGGAAAGCTGTTTCATTTCTTTCTTTCGACTGCGTCTACCATTTCGCAGAGGGGCAAACTAATGGATGGTTTTGCAAGTTATCAACGTCAGGGATTACATCTTAGTGGTATTTATTGAACTTAAGGTAAAAAAAATTCAGTACGACCCATTTTGCATGTATGCACACCATTGAGGCTCCCAAACATGTTTTCGTTGTTGCTGAACGGCCTCAGAAAGTTGTACCGGGAATAAAGGTGTTAAAGGGTCTAAATGTAACGTATTAGTCCGACATTACATGGAACTATTAGTGTGTACGGGAGGTATACCTGAAAAGAAAGATCCCAGTGGCCTCAGGGGGATAGCCGAACGTTGGCAGCCGCTCTGTTAAAGGGTCTAAATGTAACGTATTAGTCCGACATTACATGGAACTATTAGTGTGTACGGGAGGTATACCTGAAAAGAAAGATCCCAGTGGCCTCAGGGGGATAGCCGAACGTTGGCAGCCGCTCTAAGTCTCACAGGAGTGTCGTTCTCAAGTTCTCCAAGTTTCGACCGCCCTGTATTTTGTTTAAACTTCACAGTTTGGTGCAAAGTAAAAGCAGGGAAGAATTACTGTTAACAAGTGACACAAATATAATTGTCAAATGAACACCACCCAATACGGAGCAGGCAATCCCTGAGGAATAAAAAGTATCTTGAGGGGCAACTAAAAAAGAAAAGGGAGTGGGGAGGGGGTGTAGTTTTAAAGTATAATGTGTCGTAAAGAATCCTCTGCCCCACATTTTCGGCGCAGACTAGAAAGCATGGCCTGGAAACGATAGTGACAGATGGGTAGTGGGTACAACTTTTATTTGTGAAAACACTCTTGCCAGAAAGCATGTTTTCGTCGTGCCAGATACTCGCATCGTGCCTAACGGTGATGCACCATCAAGAAAAATATGTGCCTCTCAAATACATAGCTTGCACTGAGTGCGAACCTTTTGGAGCGTGCATTTTGCCCCACCGGATTTCATCTTTTCAGCAACAAGAACTCGCAATGACAACCAGTATATAGTGCAATTACGTCACGTGCAAACCATGTTAAATACTTCAGCTTTCTGGTGAAGTGCGACGTTCGCAACACTAGCACTAGACGTCCAAGGTGTAAAGTTGTGTAGTATTTATAGCAGTCTCGTGATGATATACGGCAGCCTTATGAAATGTTGGAGCACATGACTGATAAAGAACAGAGTCGTGAAGTATGGTCCCAAAACAAGTGAACGTAAAACCTAAGATAACATTAGCGTCCCGAGGCAGTATCTCGCGACGTTTCGAGCTGAGGCAAGCTAATGCCCAAACATGATTTATATTAGGATTCTAAGAATCTTTGTTTGCCCTTCGCGCAATTTATGTTTAATTAGGAATATCATTTTATGCATTTCTATGCATCTCTTTTTGCAGTAAAGCATTGTGTAAGGGATTATTTAGAAAAATAACGTGTCATCTCCTTATTTCTGCACATTTCGCGTATTTGCCTTCCGATATATCATGTGACCACAGTGCTTTTTGGCATCCCTGCAACCCAGTATTTTACACTGCAAAACAGCTAACAAAAGCACGTTTCCGAAGACTCAACATGCAGCTGGCGTATTTTCGAGTATCGTCCTTCCGTGTCGGTTTCGGGCGGTTATGTGAACTTCATAAAGTCAAATTTATCGATGATAATAAAAGTATACTTAATTCCTGTCTGAAGATTTGGCAGCATAAATAAAAGATCCTCACCTCAAAGATACACATATAAGTAAACGCACCTTCAAATTATCTGAAAGATGTTCTGCAAATCTTTTTCGGCGCTTTAATCCTCTATAGACACGTTATAGGTAATTTGGGAAAGCTTTAAATATTTTTTTAAATATTTTGAAGCTAATTTAAATAACTATGTGTTCCTCACTCATATATAACTTCTCAAATATATAGAAGTTTATTATCGCGTCTTTTATCTGTTAAACAGAACTTATACGTGTCTGTGGGTCGAACCAAAACAAAATACACTGGGACGAATGGTGGAACTATGACGATTGCACACGCAAACTGTAAGAAAGTGTCCAATTAAATAGCTTCCAAATTGAGTAGAGCATGAAATACCACTTTGTTCTATTTAACAAAAATCATCAATTAGCGAGGGTGATGCTTACTTGCAAATTAAATTGACCGGCATCTTGTCAAGAACAAACCTCAACCGGCTATGCCAGTTTATCCAATATAAAAAAATTTTCACATGGGTAAGCACTGTTTTAGGTGAGATTCAATCTCGGTACGAAGGTTCTCATAGATTAGAGTGAACAATTTCAGTCACTCCTTTTTGCATGATTCGTCGCCCGCACCATGGTGCTGAGAGCAAACAATGCTGGTTAGAAAAACAAGCATTGTGATTTTCGCTTAGTGTATCTATAAAATATAGACTGGAAGGGCTTGTCTCGTGACTTTCGTGACATTTTGAAAATTATATTGCCTTAAGCTCAGTCGTCTCGTCATTATATATATATTGTGCAACGTATTCCGTAAAACAGATATCATGATATATATGGCGACGAGGTGCCCATTTCATGATTTTCTTCACTGTAATTAATTCCTTAGTTTAAAGGACAAATGCAAAGGAAAAAAACTTTTTTTTTTTAAACAGCTTAGATGGAAAAAGGATATCATAAAACAATTTTACAACCAAGAAAAAAATTTTTAGAACTATATTTACCGCGCTATACGAATTTGTAGTTGGCGCCGGCGGGCGCTGCGGAAAAGTGGCCCTTGACCGGTCCATATTTGTCACGTGGTGCTTGCGCTCTTTCGGAAGCTTCCTATGACCTCTAAAAGTAACTTACTCATCTTTGTTTGAAGTATAACA